CCCTAACCCTAACCCTAACCCTAACCCTAACCCTAACCCTAACCCTAACCCTAACCCTAACCCTAACCCTAACCCTAACCCTAACCCTAAACCCAGAGCTTGAACACAGAACAATGTTGATGCGCATTGCTGATCCCATGGTCATCTGCAACCGGGCCCTGCGGGTTCCGTGGATCCAGACATGCACCATCGCGACATGATCTGCTTGACAATACAGATTACGAAGATGAAAAGAAAGCTAAGCACCTAGTGTGGTCGGTCACTGCGATCAAGACTCATATTGAAGCGGACCGGAACTGCGCAGGGATTGCATCGAGAGCACCGAGCTCGAGCATCGTGGCGAGACGCAGAGCGAAAAACAAAGAGCGTCAAGAGTGTCAAGCGTACTTGTAAGGACCGCCCTTCTCGAGGCCACGCTTGAAAGCAGGACGAGCGTGCACCTTCTCGACGTACGTCTTGATCGCGGCGGGGAGATTCGAGATGCGACCCGACATGGCGGCTTCGAGGGGGAAAGCCATCTGGAAGTCGGCGGCGGTGGGGTTGCCATCCTTGTCGCCGCCTGCGAACCAAGCATTGCCGCCGTCACACTTCTTGACCAGCTCGTCGGCGATGAAGTCCGACTTGCGCTTGAGATCGGGGTCGAGAAAGAGCGAGTTGACGTTGCTGACGATGATGTTGCCGATAGGTCGAACGAAGAAGGGCATCTGAGGCGGGACCATGCTGAAGACAAGCTTCATGACGAGCGTAGGCATCAAAGATCCTTCGGCGAAGTGGTTCCAGAAGACATCGTCGTCGATACGCTCGGTGTCGGTAGGTACGAAACGGCCTTCTCCGTAATGGCGAATGAGATAGTCGACGATGGCGCCTGACTCTGCAACGACCTTGCCGTTCTTGGTATCCGTGATCAGAGGAGACTTGCCGGTGGGATGAACTTCGAGCAGCTCCGGTGGTGCCGTGCCTTTGGCAGTTCGAGCGTAGTGCTTGATTTCGTAGTCGATGCCCATCTCCTCGAGCAACCACAGAATGCGCTGACTGCGCGAGTCGTTGAGATGATGAACGATGATGGCCATGTCTGCGGATGAGCGACGATACTGAAGTCGGCGATGCAGTCGATTCGTCGTTGAGATGAGAGCGAGAACGTAGGACGGCACATTTCAACCGGAAGGCTTGATAGCCGGACAGCCCTTTTTTGAAACGAGGCGCCTGTGCGAGCGTGGAGGCCGACGCGAAGATGCACTCTGTTAGGTTTCCGCCTCTCCTTCCAGCAGTCGACTCAACACCATCGCCAGGTGAACACACGTTTCAGAGCAGATCCGGCAGACGCCAGAGCACGCACAGCTGTCACAATCAAAGACACGATGTGAGACAAGGATGCGATTGAAGAAATATCTACATGATTGAAAGATGAATGGCCGCTACAAGTACACACGATGCAGGAGGATGTCACCGTATCGATCGATCGATGATCGAGACCGTGAACGAAGTCAAGCAGACAATTTGACGAATGTTGTGAAGGGGTATATGAGGGACCAGAGTCGAAGACAGGTCGTGATGCTTTTGGGTTTTGCGTCGGAGACGTCGACTCAAGCCGAGTGTAGTAGAACGATCCTATGAGAAGGGCAGACCAGGACAAAAAGTGATAGCTTGAATGTGCCGCATCGGCCAGCGTGCGATGCGAAAAGTCTGCGGATAGGGTTGTGCTACGTTGCGAGGAAAAAATGGGTTGCTTGATGCATGGTATCTTGATGTTGGAAACTTGATGACTCTCTATAAGTGATGCGAAGGTGGATGCAGGTTGGGTGGATTAACGGAACCAGTCGAGTACCACTCGTGAGAGTCGACCATGCAGAAAGCTTGTTGGAGAAGGGTCCGAAACGGTGCGACGAGGACTCGCCGCACACGTCCGGGAAAAAGAAGTGAAAGCCAAGACGAGAGAAATTGTCCGCTATGCTTTTGAGGAAGAAGACGAAGTTATCGTGCGTGGAGAGAGGCCAAAGAGGAACGGGTCAACCGGCCGGAGACGAGAACGGGAACAGGGTGCCAGAATGAGGACGTGGCGAGATTACCACCACGACGAGTTGCCGCCGTAGTTGCCACCGTTGGAAGCAGGGGGAGGCCCACCGTAAGCAGCCGCGCCGCCCATACTTCCGCCGTAGCCACCGCCCATGCCGCCACCGAAGCCGCCGCCGAAACCACGTCCGCCGCCCGACGAGGGACCGTTCATGGTACGAGCGTCACGGCTGCCGAACGAAGAGGCGCCGCCACGACCACGGCCACGGCCGCGACCACCGCGACCGCCTCCGCCTCCGCCGCCGAACATGCTCTCGCGGGCAACAGCCTCGAGCCACGAGGGGATCTCCTGGTTGGCCTCCTTGAGCAACTCGAGAAGGTCACGCACGATGTTCTTGTTGCCTCGGTTGAAGAAGGCGGTGGCGTGACCCGTGTTACCGGCACGACCGGTACGACCGATGCGGTGGACGTAGTCGTCGACGTCCGAGGGGAGGTCGTAGTTGACGACGTGCGTGACGTTGGGGATATCGAGACCACGAGCGGCGACGGCGGTAGCCACCATGATGGGAGTCTGACCCGTTCGGAAGAGCTCGAGGGCACGCTCACGCTCACGCTGAGTACGGTCACCGTGAATGGAGGTGGCGCCGATGTTGGAGCGGAGGAGGAAATCGCTGAGCATGTCGGCCATGCGCTTGGTCTCGACGAAGATGAGGGTGAGACCGCCAGTGGGCATCGAAGCCAGGACGTCGAGAAGCACCGATCGCTTGTCATCGTCTTCGACGTACTCAATCTTCTGCGTGATGTTTTCGGAGGTGGAACCGACACGACCGACCGAAAGGAAGACGTACTCCTTGAGGAAGTCCTTGGCGAGCAGCTGAATGTCGCGGGGGAAGGTGGCCGAGAACATGAGCGTCTGGCGGTCCATGACACCGGGCATGTCCTCACCCTCGACGATGCGACGAATTTGGGGCTCGAAACCCATGTCAAGCATGCGATCGGCCTCGTCGAGAACAAGGAAGCGAACGTTGCTGAGGCTGATGCGGCCACGCTCCATCAGATCAACGAGACGACCCGGAGTGGCAGCGAGCAAGTCGCAGCCACGCTCGATCTGACGAAGCTGCGTGCCAATGTCGGCACCACCGTAGACGACGGCAGGCTTGACCCAGGATCGGTAGGTGAACTTGCGAGCCTCGTCGTAGATCTGCGAAACAAGCTCACGAGTAGGAGCAAGAATGAGAGTGCTGGGGAACGCCTTCCTGCGGCCGTAGCCGCCCTGGGCCATCTCGGTGGGGGGAGGGGGAGGGCCATGGGTGAAGAGAGCCGAGAGGATGGGGAAGAGGAAACCACCCGTCTTACCGGAACCGGTCTGGGCACAACCCATCAAATCACGTCCGAGCTCGACGATGGGAATCGAGTACTTCTGAACGGGAGTGGGGTTAGTGTAACGGGCGAGCTTGATGTTCTCGAGCAGGTGGGCGTCGATGGGAGGCGAGGTGAAGGTGAGCACGGGCTCGGGAACGTCGCGACCACTGGCCTCGACGGGAATGTCACCGTACTTGTCGAAGTTGATACCCATGCTCTGGTGCAGACCGTCGCCCTCCTCACCGAAGAGCTCCTTCTGGAGACGCGCGTTGGGAGCACCAGGAACGTGCTTGCCGTCCTTCCACTGACCAGTTCCGTCACTGCGAGGTCCGGCGCCGTATCCACCGCCGTTGCTGCGAGCACCACCGTAGCCACCGGAGGACGGGGTGTCCCATCCACCAGCGCCACCGCGAGGAGCGCCGCGGTTGAAGCTGCTGAACGCGGCAGGAGCAGCGGGAGCAGCGTGACCGTTACCGTTGCTGTTGCTGTTGAAAGCGGCGGGGGCGCGAGGGCTGAATGAGGCGGCAGACGAGTTGAGCGAAGCGTTGCTCTGCTGCTGGCCGCGCATGTGGGGTGGGACATAGGCCTTTCGAGGCGCACCGCCAGCGGCGCCGCCGTTCTGAACGGACATGTTGGCGAACTTCGACTCGATGTCGTTGGTGCCAGCACCGTTCTGCTGTGTGTTGTTTTCGTAAGTCATGTTGGGGATGATGTGGGGAAGAGGGAAGGAGGGATGGCGGCGATGGCAATGACTTTGACCTTTGGCCTTTGCCTTTGTTCGCGTTGAGCGGGCTGAGTCGAAAAAAGTTGCTGTGCCACTCGCTCAGCAGTAGTTGGCTAAGTCGGCTGCCATCGATTGTTTGCTCCCTCTGTGCTGCTGAGTGTCATTCCAAAAATCGGCGTTTGTCAGAGACTGAACTGAAGCCACGCTGAGTGGCGCAAATTTTTGTCGACTCGAGCGAAGAAGAACAAGACAGGCGTGAGGTTGCCGAGCTGAGAAATGAGAATTTTATCGACCAGAAGGGGGTCTCAGCGATGAACTCGCCCCCTGTCCTCTGCTCTGACGCCGTCGTAGGGGCCGACTGAAGTTCGAATTTGTCAATTCAAAAGTTTGTATTCACACGCCTTTCGAATCTGTATGTGGGTCCGGATCGAGACACTTCATTTGACATCACTTTAAGGCGCGTGAGAAAGGCAGAGAGGAAGAGAGCAACAACACACATCAAGACACAGGACTTTCTCATTTACGCGACGCGTGTTCGAAGTTGATGCCAGGCCGGAGCAATCAAAGGTGACAATGATGAAAGATGCGATACTGTACAAGGGACGCGAAGGGATATCGACAAGGACGGTCCGAACAGAACGGAGAGAACAAATGCGAAGAAACGGTGACAACGTCGCTGAAGAGTAAGCGACGAGAGAACAAAGATGCAAGGAAAAGACTAGACGAGAAGGGGGAAGGCGGAAAAGGAAAGGGGAAACAGGTCTAAAAAGTCCGAGTGAGGTGGGATGGTGAGGAGAGTGACTGGCATCGTAAGCGATGGCGCGACTAGCAAACCATATCGTACTCGCTGCCGCTCTCGTAGAACTCCGAGGCAGGGCTATCGTAGCCGTTGCTGCCCGGGTAGCTTACGCAGGGTGCTGAAGCTGCGGCGCTGGGGAAGTAAGTGCTCGAGTAGATCGACGACGCCGCCGAGCTCGCGCCGCTCGACCAGGGCGAGGGTAGCGGCGGAGCGGCGCACAGGGATGACCTGCCGCGTTCCGGCGATCCAAAGGCAGAAGGAGCGTTCTTATTCGACCTCGATCGAGGCGAAGACGGCGGCGAAGGGCTGGTCTGCGTGAGTACCGGAATCTCTGCTGGACCGGGTGCGGGCATGCCAGAGCTGGGTATCGATTGACAGCTGAGACGCCGAGGTGAACGTCCGTCTACCAGTGGGGATCGATTCTTGGGCGGAACCGAAGTGGAGCGACTTGGCGAGGCCGAAGGGGCGCGGGCAGCTGGCAGTCCGGGAAGCGGCGGTGGGGGCGCATATCCAAACTTGCTTCGTATCGACATGGCTTCCGAAGAGAGAGGCTCGGTCTGGGTCGACGCCATGCCCGGACGATCGCGCATGTAAAGAGGCAGATTGCGCTCACGCTCCTGTTCACGCTCGCGTTCCTTCTGCTGGCGCAATCGTGCGGCAGGCGTCGTCATGGACCCAGGACCCAATGTCGAATCGGATTCTGCGCCGCAAGCTGGGGGACGCTCCCGAGAAGCGTTGATCGCAGCGACGCCGGCGTTGTAGGCACTGTAGTTTTCGGGCTTCTTGGTGGTGCCCTCCGTGCCTTCGACCTTCTTGGGTTTGCACGCGGCTACGGCTGCCCACCTCGCTTCCAAGAGACCCATCTCCATCTTCATGGTCCTCAGCTCCTCGACATCGGCAGGACTGAGACGATTGATGACGGCACAGCTCTTGCGATCGTACTCGACAGGGCTATGAGTGCGCAATTCCTGCGGAGGTCGGGTGCTAAAGCGGACGGATCGACCGCGAGGAGGATCGCGCTCGCAGGACGAATCTCGCGTCGAGGCCGTCGATTGATGCGAAGACTGTCGACGGAAGCAGGGACGCAGCCTGACCGGCGACGAGTTGCGTCGGCTCGTAGATCTCGAAAGGCGAGGAGGCGAGGTTTGTGCTTCAAGGCTAGGGGTTGCTTCCGCCTTGGGCGCCTCCGACTGCGATGCCGCACTACCATCGACGAGCCCCTTCTCTGAGACGAGAGGTGTCACCTTGGCCGCAGACTCGTCCGCTTTGATGGTCTCGACACTCTCCTCGAGGCCGGTAGTGGGTGCACCGGAAGAGGCTTCCACATTGACGCAGGAGCAAAGCGGCGACGAGATGGCGGGCACGGTGTCCGAAGGGCTGATACTTCGTGGAGGAGCGAGAGGCGGACCCGAAACCTCGCACGACCAGTCGGAAGTACCATAGGAGCAGGGCGCCTTGGGCATGACGGTGGTGTTGATGGCTTCGCCTCCTTCCTCGACAATCTCGGAGATGCGCCCCTTCTTGATGCGACGAGGACGGCGAGCGGCGATCTTGTTGGCATAGTTGTTGAGCAGCCATTCGCTGCGCTTTCGGCGAGCGTAATCGGACGCTGCTGTACCCTGGGATGCAGGTTTGTGAGGGGCGTGACGAGAGGCGTGAGAGGACGATGACGACGACAGACCCAGAGCATAGACGCTTGCTGACAAATGCTCATGGTCGCCGCCGTGAGAGCTAGCGCGTTCCGAGTCCGAGTCGAGATCAAAGCCGACGTCGAGGGAGCAGAGACTGCTCGACTCTTCGTCGCATTCGCTGACGGTCTCGAGTTCCGGTTCGAGGTCGAGGTCTTCGATGTCGGCAAGGTCGCCACGTCGGAAGCTGCTCATGCTCGAGACACTGCCGGGACTGTCTGTGAGGCCCTCGCTCATGCTGGGACTGGCAGGTACGCCGAGGTAGCTGTCGTAGTTGAGCTGCGATTCCACAGAGCTGGAGTTGGACATGCTGAAGTGTCGGCCATAGCGGTGGGCGGGGCTGGTCGAAGGGCCGGCGGCAGGGGCGTGCGAGTGCGAGAGATTGTGCGTGTTGCGGTCCGTGAGTTTGGACGCGGAGGCAGATAGGGGATAGGATGAGCCCAGTCTGGGTTGGGAGGCGTCGGCTGTGCTGGAAGCTGATGATTGGAAAGTGGAGTTGACGTTGGAGATGTTGAGGCTGCGCAAACCTGTTGATATGGATTGGAGACTATCAGGAGGTTCTATCGCGCTGCTAGAGGCGGCAGCGTCGTCGGATCCAGCGGTGGACGTGCCGAGCGCAGCCTCGGAGCGTGATTCGACAATATGTGACATGGTGGCCAGGCGAGAGTGTGGAGTCGGTGGACCGAGATGAGGTGGAGCACGGGTCTAATGCGATGTATAGAGGCCGTTCGACATGATATCAGCTGTAGATGCTGATGTGGGACGAGAATGTGATGAAGCAAGTTGTCCTTGAGGGAGGGTAGAGGTGCAGAGGTAGTTGAAGCTCGAAAGCGAGTGCTACGATATCGTATGCATAGCAGCCAAGACGGTGTTGGTGTGTTGGAGCGACAAGGTCGATTAGCGTACGGGGCAAAGGTCAAGGTCGCTCGGAAGGAAGGACGCAAGGCGCAGTGGTTGCCAAGACGAAGAGAGGGAAAGCGAGAGGGATGATGAGGGTAGTGACGTGAGTGTTGCGAAGGATGGTTGGACAGGCGAGATGAGAACGTCGTTCCTGAGTGTCAAGATGGAGCTTGCTCAACCAAAAAATCGACGGCGGCTGGGCAAGAGGGTGGAGCACTTGCTAGCGAAGCGAGAGGCACAAGGACTCAGGGTGTGTGTGAGCCGTAGCGAGTGTGGTAGTGGAAGAGGTCTCGTGAGGTGTTGACTTTACGAGCTCGCAAACGGTGACGATGGATTGACACTGCCTTACGTGCGGTGCACAGCTAGACAAGCAACATGAGCAAGAGCAGCAGCAGCTGACCATGCAGTGTCCCAAACGATGATGTCCTCTCTCTCTCTTCTTGGCTTTTGTCCGCTCTTCTGGAATCACGCCTCTACGTTTGCCGCTCTTTCCTCGTTCATTGTTCCTCTTCTCTTCATGCAAGCGTCTCCCTTTCGCTATCCTTGCACAGTCTGTGTGAGCAAGGAGAGATAAGTGGCCTCGATGGTCGAGATGCAGTCAGCCGATAACAGGGGTTGCAGCAGGCGTCTGCCGTGTTATTTTGGTGGGCTTCTCTGGATTTTTGGTAGGCTCTGCTGCAGCATTTTTTGTGTGGAGAAACCAACGGGGAATGCTTAGAGCGCCGCTGTGCTGCATTCACAGCAAATTGATTATTTTTGATAATTTAATTCTTCAGTCTGGTCGATCGAGAGTGCTGAGATGCAGTGAACCGGCTAGAGCAACAGGCCTGCTGTGCCGTCACAGTTTCGATTTGACTGAAAGCCGAATCGAGCTGCCGAAACCCTCGCGCCAGGTCACAAGTCCGCCCAGTGGAACCACACTGGTCTCGAGCCATTGAGACATGGTGTTCGCTCCCCAGCATGCCCAACACGATTTCAGCTTGCCGCTTGCGTGCTGCGTCCAACACACTCTTACACGGCAGAGCGAGAAGGGGTGTGCTAACCACACTTCAACTGCCTGTAGCGTGGAAACAGCCATATCACTCGGAGTGCTTTTCTGTTTGACAACATCGCTGGTGATAGGCCAGCTGTTATCGCTCGCTATCACTCGGAGCAAGAGATAGGACGAGGCTCAATGGATGCTGAATCGAGGATCGAGGATCAAAGCCGAAGCCGTCAAGACCGTTATCGCCAAAATGGATTTTGAGCGGCGTGCAGGCGCCAAAAAAGGCTCAGCCGTAAGCAGCGATGCGCCCAGCCATCCTTCGCGGTTCGAGGCAGTTGCTTCGATGCATGCGCTGCTTCTTAGCCCCCACCGCCTGTCGACGTCGATCGTCGCTCTGCAAATTAGAGCTTGGTCCTTGCCCGGATTCTCTCATGCCTTTCTCGCGCAGCGACGGGCAGTTCCCGAACTTCGATGTGCGTCCCGGCCCTGCAGCCCCGGCTTCGAGAGCTGTTTGCTGCTTGGCTAATTGCATCAGGCAAACGTTTCTCCCTCTGTAAGGCTGGCTGCCATTAGTCGAAAGCTACGCGGGGCAGCATGTTGCTGATTTAGAGGATGTGCAGGCGTGCCTGAATATCGACGATGCGCAACACCAACAGCGACGATGACCTCGGCTTTGCCTTGCTGACTGACCATTCACTTGGGTTCCACATCTGGGCTGAGGGCTGCTCTCGCTTGACTGCCTTCCGTTGCCCTAAACCCCTAGCCCTTTTGGCATGCCTAGCGCTTGCTGGTTTCTAGCAGACTCAAGCGGCTGTCGCGCTTACCAATTTCCAACTCAACTCCATCCAAACGCCCCGCAACCGTCTCAAGGCGGAGGCCCTTGCCCGCTTGTCTCACGTCTCGATCCGCTCAAAGCTGGTCCGTATTCGTAGTCCCATGCGTGCTCTGTGCTGGCGACTATCGGATGAATCTCGATGGTGCTAGGTCGAGCGTGCGGCAAGGAGTGCGGCAAGAAGAAACTGGGCGAGAAAGGTGGACATGAATCGTGTTAAGGTGTTAGAGCTTGAAGACCTGATCGACACTGCATCGAAATTCAATCGGAGATCTTGTTCGGGCCAGGGTCGTAATATACAATTGTTAGACCCTCGGAATCTTATATCAATGACTGGCATCACGTGCCTGGTCAGGAGCCTCGGCCGAGCTTTGAATATTAGCGGGGCGAGCAGCGCCCCGCCAGACCAGTCGTCCGAGTCCTCGAACGCCGGCTCACTGGCTCAGCACTGCGAAGCTTCTTTGAACCACTGACCGAGTGCGAGTGCCCAACCTCGAATGTCACCAGGCTTTACCCTCTTCGTCACGATCATCCACCAAGATCATCACCCTATTCAGTATTCAAGATGGCGGAATCCAGCAAGGCAATCAACCCTATGAAGGTTTGTATCGCATCGCAATGATGCTCCACCCACACCGACAGATCGCATCGCCATGTCTGCAGTCCCGCGCCGTCTCTTTGATTCCAGCTGCAAACGACCTACGGCCACCTCATCAACGTCCGCGCGCACTAGCCATCTCCCCGATCATGGGATCATTCGGTCATCACTTTCACTCATCAGCATCGACAGAAGCATCTGCACGTCAGCTTGTAAATCAGCATTTGCGACTTTCGACAAGAGCGTAGGACGATTTCCGGCCATTTCACCGGCTGGACACGCTAGCCATCTGCAGAGACATGTTTGCCCACCTTTCGCTCGACAATCGACGGTTCTATGTGGAGCTTGTGGACATTGGACAAGGCAGATGGCAATTAGTCGAGGGAAACGAAGGTGTGGACTTGCTGGAGTCGGCGGAGGCAATATGACCTAGACGTCGTGAAGGGAGCAAGGGTGTCGCGGCCTCGATCGGATGCGCACAGCATGGAGCCATTGGACTTTACAGCACTGACGATTGCACGATTCGCAGTGCTCGAAGCTCGGATCTGATGATGTGCAATTAGAAGGCGCAATGTTGACCAAAAAAGGCTAGACATACCGCTCACACCGACATACGCCAACTTCCTTTCTCACTGCGACCCTCTGCAATGACATGACTGGTCACACACAACACGCCAGCACGCCAGCCAGAGCAAAGATACAACACCACGACAGCGCACCACAGCACAGCCAATCAGCACAGATACAGAGGAGCGGCCGGACTGCAGACAGCGAGCGTATCGTACCCCACAGAGTGGAACATCCATACTGACTGCATTCCCTCCTTCACCCGTTCATCTCCCACAGGAGCTCAAGGTCGACAAGCTCGTCATCAACATCTCGGTCGGCGAGTCGGGTGATAGGCTCACCCGTGCCACCAAGGTGCTCGAGCAGCTGACCGGTCAGACCCCCGTCACCAGCAAGGCCCGCTACACCCTCCGTGGTTTCGGTATCCGACGTAACGAGAAGATCGCCTGCCACGTCACCATCCGCGGCCCCAAGGCCGAGGAGATCATCGAGCGTGGTCTCAAGGTCAAGGAGTACGAGCTCCGTCGCCGCAACTTCTCCGACACTGGCAACTTCGGTTTCGGTGTCACCGAGCACATCGACTTGGGCATCAAGTACGACCCCTCGATCGGTATTTTCGGTATGGACTTCTTCGTCTGCATGACCCGTGCCGGTGCCCGTGTCGCCCGCCGCAAGCAGCGTGTTGCTCGTGTCGGTGCCCCTCACCGTGTCAAGAAGGAGGAGACCGCCGCTTGGTTCAAGCAGCGATTCGACGGTATCATCATGCGCTAAGTGCTTTCGCCCAGCGTATCACCATCGTTCCGTCGTTTCCGCCCTATCCGCCTCTGCATCACACACATCACACACATCTGTTGTACAAAACATCACCCTGTTATTCGCCACTCGCAATAGCATAAAACTGACACCCACACGTGGGCTTAGCTTCTCGTTTACACGCACTTTGCGGACTGTGCTGCGAGTCCGATTTGTGCGACTGCACTCTGCATGAGTCACATGGGGCGCGCTGCGACAGCACGTGCAGTTCTGCCACGGTCGGAACGAGCGCATGTGCTCCTTGGCGCGTTGCGCGAATTCACGTTGAAGTGTCTGGCCGAGATGCCTCAACTTGCCCCCAAGGAAGGGGCGCACCAACAGGAGGAACGAAGGGCTTTTCGAGCAGAGGAAACAGGCTTCACACAAACAACAAGAGGGCTGAGAACTGAGATGACATTCGGAACCATACGCATACCAAGTCTTGTTCGGGCTAAAAATCTAGTGCTTCTTGTCGTCGGCGTCGTCGAGCGACTTCTTCTGCTGGTCGTCGTACGAGAGGTCGTTGGCGATCTGGGCCTCCTCGGCGAGCACGTCGGTGGAGGTGGCCTTCTGCCTGTTGACGGGGCGGTTCTGAGTCCAGCCGATCGAGTGCCACGGCTTCTCGAACAGCTTGTGGATGTCCTCGAGCTGCATGCCGGCGGTCTCGGGCATGAAGAAGAAGACGAACAGGCAGCCGGTGAGCGCAATCATGGCGTAGAAGAGGAAGGTGCCAAAGTTGCCCCACGCATTGAGCATGGGGTTGAGCGTTCGCGTGGCAGCGTACTGCATGGCAAAGTGAACCAGCGACACGATGGCGACACCGAGCGCACGGACGGTGATGTCGAACATCTCGGTCTGCGTGAGGTACTGCACCGAGTTGACACCGATGGCCCAAGCGAGACCGGAGAGGTAGAAGAAGAAGATGGCACCGGTGGCAGCCGACTTGTCCGAGTGCGTCTCGTTGGCCTTGGTAACGCCGACGGTGAACTTGAGGAAGAGAGCAAGGTAGAGGGAGCAAATGCTCTGCAGCAACAGACCAATAGTGACAGCCGTCTTACGACCAAGCAAGTCGACCAGGAAGAAGGCGGCAGCGAGCGAACTGACGAGCTTGACAATACCGAAGACACCCGTGGTGAAGAGCTTGGTCTTGTATCCACCAGGAACGCCGAGGAGACCAAAGATCTTGGGAGCGAACACAGTGTAGACACCACCACCGCTGAGCTGACCGAGGACCTGGATACCGAGACCGAGGAAAAGAATGTACTGGTTGTTCTTGTTGGTGATGAGCTTCTTGAGGACCTGCAGAAGGCTGAGGCCCTCGAGCGCCTGCTTCTCGGCGTGGATCTGCTGCTCCATGACCTCGACCTCGTTGACGATGAAAGGGTGGTCCTCATCCAGGTTGCGGAGGTAGCTGAGCACCTTGCGACCCTCCTCGTAGCGGCCCTGCTTGATGAGCCATCGAGGCGATTCCTTGGCGAAGCAGCAGGCAACAAAGGTCAGACCGGCGAAGATAAAGTTGATACTAGCGGGGATCGTCCACTGCTTCGAGTCGTTGGCCGACATGTTGACGGCAGTGCCGTAGTTGGACCAGTAACCAAGAAGAATTCCGATGTAGACGGAACCACTGAAGATGCAGACACAGAGACCACGGATCGCCTTGGGGGCGATCTCGGCAAGGTAGACGGGGGCGACGACGGGGGTAAAACCAACACCAAGACCAGCGATGAAACGACCAGCGAGAAGCTGGTGGTAGTTGCCGGGCTGGTGAGAGCCATCAGCACCAGCCGAGGTCATCCAGATGGCAGTGCCGAAGATCCAGAGAAGACAGGCGAGCATCGAGGTGCGCAGACGGCCCAGACGGTCGCAGAGGAAGAAAGCAATCGCAGAGCCAGCAACCGAGCCCAGCTGGAGCTGCGAAGCAATGGTAGCCTCTTGCGGCGAGTTGTCGTCAAAGCCAAAGGTGTTGATGAAGCTGTGCTGCTTGAGGACACCCGAGATGATACCTTCATCGAGACCTCGCGAGATACCAAGGGCACCCACAGCCCAGGCGCTGAACCAGAGCCGCCAGCCTCGGGCTTCGCGGGGTGTGTCACGGAGATGGGAGAGCAACATATTCGAGCAGGAAGATGTTGTTATTGGGGAGGAAAGGGAGGAGGTTGCGTTGGGAAACGTCGTCGAGACAGCTCTCATCAGCCTTCCAGTATATATGCCTTCGCTATGGGGACATTGACCACTCAAAGACGCAGGCGGAGCCCCACAAGTCTCATGATGAGGAGCTCGTGGCGAAGTGCGCTGTATCAGAGCTTCCCGCTTCAACGCATGTCGTGACTGGGGCCAAATTTTGCAGACATGAAGGGCACTGGCACTGGTTGGTCTGCGTTCCTGCAGCTGGAGCCCCGCGATGCACGTCTCGAAACCTCGGTCAAGTCCAGCGACTCCAAAAGGCGCTGCTTCATTGGTCGCAGTCGATGCCACTGGACGAGGCCATCGTTTGACTGGGCGAATTGTAGCCAACGTCCAGATTTGGGGTGCGTACGGAATGATCCGAACAGGTCGATTGTCTCCGTCTGTCAAACATGGCGAGTAGATGTGTCCTGTTCGACTGCCTGAGTTCCGCAGGAACCGCATGAGATGCTGGGATGCGCATCTACTGCAGAGAAGCGTTGCAGCGGATGCAGGTGTCCAAGTCTTGGCAAAGAAGCCACTTGCATGTCTCGGTACGGGGTCGAAAGGTCACCGATCGGAAACGGAAACGAGCGATTCGTTTATAGGAGTGGGCATAACTCCGAAGTGAAACGATCGCGTCCGTCGAGTCCTGTCCTTGACACGCAATGCGTCGATATCGAACTGCCTCAGCTCGTCCCACACCTCCCAAAGCCATGCAGCGCAGAGCAGTACTGTCGAAAGTCGAAGACCAGTGAAGCACGAAGTCACTGAGGGCTTCCTTTAGGCGATTAGATGGAAAGGCTTTGGTCTGCCAGAAGCTGTGGTATTACTGTGGGAGCCACAAGCAGGGCAGGACAGGCACAAGGGCCGTCAAAGGGGCTGGAAGATCAACCGGGTCGGACCGCGAAGCGCTGTCCCCCACGTCGAAAGCAAGCGAGCCAGGCAAGGCAAGTGCCCGCGAGGTGCTGACAAGGGCCACGCAACAGCGACAAGGAGGCACAGAACCAGAGAGCGCGCAAAGCCGATTCCTGCGGTCGGCTTGGTCTCGACATGCGGTTCATGCGGTTGGCGGGGGAAGCGATTGGAAATACCGCCGTTGAGCGAGAGGCGAGACCGGCGAAAGTTGCGGCCCACACCGAACCAGAACCGAAGGGGCGAAATCGCAGAGCTCGACAGCAATGCCAAGCATTGCGGAGAATGAATGTCACCTGCTTCCCGCGTGTGTCCTTTCAAGGACCGCGTGCAGAAATTGAGCGAGCCAGAAATTGATGCTCGAACAGTTCCCTCGCAGCGGATATTCTTGAGATCCTTCATTTGCGGACCTTGCAATCAACGTCCCGTAGTGGGGGAGCTTCTCAACAAGGCTGCAACAGCCAGAAGAGCGGTGCGCAATCCAGCAAAGTCGATTCGTTTTAGATGCGACTCGCGAGAGTCGATGCCGCGCTCCGAGGAAAGATGGACACTAGACGTAGCCCTTCCCTTTGGCACCTTTGGCATCATTCTGATCGATGCGCGAAGGGAACAGCTGCGGTCAGCCGGATCCAATCCATATGCGGCTGGCACACATCCGAGCTATCTAGAACGTTGATGTACGCTGGCATTCCCACAGTGTTGGGCTGAGTTGTGACGGATGCTCGACGGCGTCGGATTTATGGCCAATCGAACCGTTGCTGTCACCCATCGGTCAATTAAGTTCCCCGTCCGAGCGTGCATAAAGTGCTAAGACTGGCCGCCCGAATGTCCTCCGCGCACGGCGCTATCCCCCACAAGCTGTCATTGGCCCGCACCGCTGCTCGCCACCGAACCGAACTGATTTGTCAGACCGGATCGTTCCGTCCCATGTAACATGAGTCCTGTCCTGATCCAGGCTGCTCGTGACCGTGAACTCGAACTCAGAGCAGCTTACAGAGGCGTGGTCTCGCAAAAGTCTCTTTGTGACAGCTCTCTTGCGAGAGCTCCCATTCGTCTTGCAGTTGCACGTAGCAGCTTCAGGGTCGTCAGTCAGTTGCAAGGGATACGACTTTCAGGCTTCAACGCTTGAGCAATTGGCCTCCGACTTTTGGCAGAGTGTGCATAGACTCGCCGGTAGAGCCTGTAAAGCTTCATTTGCAGAGACATTGACTCATTCGCATCGTCTGATTGGCTCCCACCGGTCCTTTCCGCAAACGCATGAATTCATTCGGAGGCCATCACTCGTGGCGACGCACCCTCTGAGCTTGAATCGGACCGGTCAAGCAGGCATTCGGAGAGTTCCTCGCCTGCAAGCCACACTGCTTATGCCTATTGTTCCCCCGAAGGGCCCAGATCCAAGGCAGCAACGACGCCGGTTGATCTCTGATGTCTGCGCGAGCAAACAACCCAGCGGAGAGTTCCGTCCTGATTGGTGGCCCTCCATTCGACCTGACCTTCAGTGCAGCAGCTTGGCCGGCGAAATGTGGTCCCTCAAGCGAGTCGCCGACCGCTGGTCAACTAACCTCAGCTGAGTCCCGCCCACGTCGACCCTGCGGAAATCTCCGCGACATACTGTCCCGTGTGAGGGAGCGTGGTGCCTAAATCCGACAGGGTCGAATTTCGACGATGGCGGAAGCGACTGCTGTCAGACATTCGCCTTTGATCCACCGTGGTCACTTTACATCCCATTCACAAGTGGCAGCTTGTTTTGGAGTGTCAACGACTGCGATCAACGGCGATCGCACTCGCACGCTTTCTCCCATGTGAGTGCTGGAGCATGCACAGTCAAGGTGGTGGGGTCGAACGCCGCAGAGAATCGCTTGACATGTGCTATGAAATTCCGGTTAGAAAAAGGGTCTACAAAAAGCGCGCCCACCGCTTCCGACCCGGCCTCGAAGACCTCCTTCTGGTCCATCAAGACGCGTTCGATTCGTCTCAAATCTCGTCAGAAGGATGTTCTCGCCTCTGTGAACGAAACGAGAAAGCAAAAAATATGCGGTGCCCACAGGATTCGAACCTGTGAGGCCAGAGACCATTAGTTAATCAGCGTAGAACACGACCATTGAATGTCAAATTCAAGACTAACCCCTTAACCACTCGGGCAGAGCACCAGTATACTTGGCTGGGGCGGGCCAAGTTGCGTAAATATTCTTTGTTTTGTTGAAGAGGATCAGGGCTGAGGCTCCGCAGTGGGAGTGATTTGCTGGACCCTCCTCTCCCACACAGACCTCACAACGCGGTCCCGCATGGACGAACTTGCAATGCCTCACAAATGAAGTCCATGGTTTCAACAAGTACAACTACATATAGGGATGATGCCGACGGTGTGCCTCGGAGCTGGACGAGCCGTATCCATGAGTCGCTGGCGGCTGCAGCGTGCTGGACCGTTGGCGACCTGGATTGAGTGGCAGGGGAAGCGAGGGGGCAGCTGCACCTCCCGTGTACGGTCGCGTGTTAGCCATTGGCAGGAAAGGGGCCCGAGAGGCCGATGGACCAGCACTTGGTTCCATCGGACGGGTAGACAAGGCATGGAAGTTATCGGCTTGACCGAGCGAGGTGGATCGGCTAGGATCCATCGCCGCGCGGTGAGAAGGCGGCTGATGGGCAAAAGGCTGCGCATCGTCAGGGTAGCGACCGGACCACGGTCGACTCGAAGCTGGCTCGTAGTATCCCTCGTCTTGGAATCGCGAAGATGGAGCTTCGAACACGGTGGCATCGCCGAGCGGCGCAGAGGACGAAGTGGATCGATTGCGCAGGCCATTGACCAGGTTGAGCTCGGCTCGAAGCGCTTCCAGGCTGGCTTGCTTGGCTCCTGGCGACTCTTCACGTTCTCGAACGATCTCTTCGGCCGTCTTGCCGCTGGCCTTGGCAGCCGCTTCGGCCTCCTGCTGCTTGCGCTTGGTGAGCTTGGCATAGAGGAGACCGCACGCATTGCACAGCGTTCGCGGTCCCATGGGGCCTTTCCTCCACTCTGGCGTCTCTTTCGCTTGACACCCGAGACACTCCTGATGATGCTCGTTCTTTCGCTTTCGGACCCTCTTCATGCCTTTGCCGGCGAGGCGTCTGCGATCCAACAGGTCCATCTGCTGCTGATGTTGGCCTTCTGCGGGGTACGTGGGAAGCATGCCTGCATGCCCATAGGGGTACTGCATTGCCTGACCATAAGGAAGCCTCGATTCTGCGTCAATACGAGGCGCATCTGCCCCATCGCGCTCCGGTGCACCGCTGTGTTGACGTTGCGACAAGGACCGCGGATACTCGAGAGAGATCGCTCTCGATGGAGCGCGAAATGATGGCCCGGCATGCTCGGAAGGTGCCGAGGAGATGTCCTGCGCGCCCCCGCTAAGACGTCTTTGGGATTGCGGATGCTCGATTGCCTCTGCGTCGTGTGCATAGTCGAGATCCGCACGGCGCCGGTCGTCCCAATGTTGGTGCTGTCGGGACGGCTTGGGATGCCAGGGCGCGTGATCAGTCTGTCCCGAAGGAAGGGGTGGCGCGATGAAACTGCTGTCTCGGTCCGCAATGCCTCGAGTTGATCCTGAATGAGATGAGGCTGTGCGGGGAGGCTGGTAGGTGAAAAGCCCGAGATGCTGTGCAACCGACTCGGCGCGGCTCTGAGAGAAGAACGACAAGGTATCCAGCTCGTCAAGAAGCTTATCGTTGAGCATCTCAGCAGCGCGAGGGCTATGGAAGATGGACGGCGATGCAGGGTCACCGACCGCGAGTCCGAGGCGACGATTGATGTCTTGAACGTACAAGAGTCCTTCGAGGAGCTGATCAAGTTCAGCGGCAACGGAGAGAGACGGTCCTCGTGCGAGGGACTGTGGGTGAGGCCGGTGCGGTGACGAGTAGGCACGAGGTCGATTCGACTCGACGACGGATCGCGCTGGAGCTTTGGGAAAGGTGGGTGTTCTCGAGGGGCCTGGCACGTCATGACGAGAAGACGAGGGCGTAGAGATGGATGGCAAGCCAGTATAGGGAGCGTGAGAAGACGAGTTCTCCGCCGAGACTCGTTGCGGGTCTCTCGTTGGATGAGGATGAAGATCTGTAAAAGGACGACGGTCATGATGTCCAAAACGCTCATCTCTGTTGTCGAGCTCGGCTATAGCGAGGCCACGAGGATCGGCTGGTCGATTTTGCGCAGCTGCGTTGGGCTCTTGAAAGGTTTGATGGTCGCGCCTGCGTTCGAGATCGATGGAAGATGTGAGTGACGAGAGGGGAGGGAGGGTCACCCTCTCTTGCCCTGCACGACGATCCATGGCTGAGATAGCGTCCGAGCGGCACGGGCGGGGATGCGGGTGGATCTCTCTACTTGCAGGGGATGCTTGCCATCTGAAGCGATGAATCGAACGGCTGTGCGATGCTGGAAGTTTGTCGAATTTGGGATAGAGGCGACACGAGCCTTGCGAACAAGCGCAGTGCGAGATAGCCTTGGTCAATGGCTGTTCCGGTGTGCCGCTTCAAGTGAGTTCTCTGCAAGAAGAAAGCAACGAGCTCGCAGATGGCTGTTGGCTGTGGGTGTCAGACCGAGTGCAGCCAAAGGCAGCTGTGAGGCGCCGAGGTAGGTATGCGCGGAATGTCCGTCTCGATGATCATGTGCTTGCACGAGTGAGCCACACGGCGAGATACGTAACAGGTTCAAGGGCTTGAGTCAGCTTGCGCGCCAGTTGCATCCATTGAAGTCCGATGACTCTGTATCAGGAGTTCGGGCAGTCCGAGCTTCCAGTAGCTGGGTGCCACTGTGTCGTGGAATATAGTGGAATGGCGAGGCGCTCGCCATGCACAGCTGAGCGTTGGTGTGCGGAGACGGTCGGAGTGTCACAAGGTCGTTGCTATCGTGTGTCAGCAAAGACCGGAAGCAGTACCGAAGAGCTGAGCCACTTTGTCGGCTGCACTGGAGGAACACGGAAACTGCCGATAGCGAGCGGCGTTGGCGAGCTGTGTCGATGGCCGGTAGAGTCGTCCTTGCAACGAGAACGAGGTGGTACGGCGCAAATGAAGAATCTCTTGACTGTGCAGCGAGCTGGAGCGGCGAGTAGTGGTGTGTCGATACGGAACGGGTCAAAATGGATGCTGAACGAAGTAAGGACCGAAGATGTCGGAGGCAAGATCTCGATGCTGATGAGAGAAAGCAGCCGGTGGGGTTAAGGTGAGAGAAGGCGGGACAGAGAGGATGAGGAGGATGTGTTGCGGACGAAAGGTAGAGAACAGAGTCGAGAAAGGAAGGCAAGGATCATCCAGGTCGATGATGGAACAAGTGCAATCTCGATAGGTGCAAAGGAGCAACTTCGGTAAGTCTGCGGTTCCTGCTGCAAGGGCACAACAACACATCAACGCGGGCCAGCCGGATCTGCCCCCTGTGAAGCAAGCGGCAGGCAGCAAGCACTCTGCTGCTGCTACGGCAAGGCGGAAGGATGGGCGTCGTCGGTTGTCAGCAGGCAGGCGGAGACCCTGGATGATGGAGATTGCTGGCGGAGAGGGGAGCAAAAGACAATTGCCTCTGAAAGTGGCTCTACTCGTCGAGCAAGCGATGCTCGACCTTCTCGCCTCTGCCCATGCATTCAAGCGAACCGAAGCGGTTTGTGCGCACAGATGCAGGGCACAAGCAGCGGCACGAGGAACCGGGTCGGTGTCCACATGCTAAATAACGCACGCACGCAGACGCACAGGGCCTTGTGCCTTTTTGTTCGATTGCTTCAAGCGAACGAGATTAAACTTGGGTCGGAATCAGCGCTGGGAAATGTTTGTTGTTGACAAGCCTGCTCCAACGGGACGAGTGAACAATCAGACCGGAGCAAAGCTAAACACAACAATTGCACACAGACGGCAGACTTCATTCACAAAGCTTCGGGGACTCAAACAAAACCCTCGAGCTAATTTTCTTAATGAGTAAATCAATAAATAAATTTGCATTTTTTTATCCTCTGATGAAAACCCATCGAATTTTAAATTGGGCCAACATCAATGAAAAACAGCATCAACATCATCAAGGCCGAGGTCGCATTGTGACAAGCACACTCAGACACAAGATAGAATCAGAGTGGAGTGGGGGATGAATGATCAGCAGGACAGACTCGATCTCAATCTCACTGACGCACCAGCAGTATGCACTTCCAATCTCGGTTCGCGCGACTTAGGACTGGTCGTGGGGACAATGGCGGACGACAGCCAACTTGGCCAAATGCATGTGCAAGTGCTAAAATCGCCACAATAATTGCAGTTGACTCGAGTGCAAGCATCGCCTGGGTTGCGTGTAATAAGAAGCTGCTGCTTCCCATGCAGCTTTCAGCCTGCATCCATGCGTGCTTGATCCGCTGCGGGAGCCGATCAGGGGGCCGAGAAGAAGGATCTGATGCCAAATGAATCCAAGCTCGAGCTCAAGCGAACCCCACCGGTATTGTCACCCATTCTTATGCAGAGCAGACGACGAGATCGTGGGAGCCAAAACAGCAGGTTCATGAGCTGCTATCAACATTTACCACAACATGCTTGCTTGGTCGCTCGGACCTCGATCGGGGCAAAGCAACTCTGTGTTTGCTTCTCTCGCATCTTGTTTTGCGGGACACTCGTCCCGGCACAACAGGGTCGATCGCTTTTCTCGGGTGGGAACAATAGAATGCAACACCCAGCGCCGACCCGGTCCAACCTCGTTGCGATTCCAGCTCCGGCGCTTCGTTCCTCTCCCTCTTTTCCACTTCCGACGACAATCACGCGCCGAGCCATTGTTTGGACGCAGGGTTACAGGGCCCTGGTCGGCTGCTATCGGAGTTTCGGCCTCCAGCTTTGATGATCGCAAGCAGGCGTCATGTAAGCTGAGCATGGCCTCGGTCCCGCTTGTCTCAGTGCTAAGCAACAGATCGGACATATCGCCGCTTCACGTTGTCCTTCTCATTACACGAATGCCTGTTTGCATGAAGTTTGTTGCCCTTTGCAATTCCCACGCTTTCGAACTCTGCCCACCTGCACGACGAAATTGATCGACCGAAGCCGTGCCGGAGTCTAGACGAATGTCTGCTGTTGCTTAGAAAGACGGATGAGGTATGGCGGCACCAGATACCTGCATCAAGGAGGATCGGTTCCGGCACGTTGATAGTGCGCCCCTTCTTGAGCCTCGTCATGCTTCTCGCCTAGGCAGCTGGGCGTGTCGGGTGGTGGGTCGCATTCGCTGCCGTGCCATCGCCGCGTAACGTAGCTTAAGCGAGCCATCTCGGCGTACAGTAGTGCATGTGCTACTGCAGAGATTGAAAAATCGAAAGACGCCGCACCTATGCAGATCCATAAGCGAGGTCCGACCCGCTTAGTCTGCACTGCCCTGTCGCCACTGTGATGGCACCACCCAAGGCATTGTTGGACTTGCTCGCTTATCCCTTGCCGAGCTCGCAAGATTGCGGAGAGCAGATTGGATTTCATTCCTTCATGGAAGGTGTCGGGCGGCGTCGCCGCCTTTCCAGGGATTGACGTCTCTGATCCGTGGTAACAGCTGGCTCATCGAAGACGCCTCTTTGTTCATGCTTGATTGCTCGGCATGCTTTCTCGGTTCCTGTTCCCGATCTATATCTTGGTCTGCTCCGAGACATCAACGTCATGCTGTGCATCGTCGGCCAGCTCTGGGATCCTCCATGATGCTGATTTTGGCGACGTGCGTCTTGAATTGCAGACAGACTCTAAGCTGTGAGTGATGACACTCCTTCTGAGACTTCCGATCTTGCGCTGCGGCTCGGATGCCTCGCGAGAGCAAACTCGGCTCGCAGCTGATGCAGTCTAAGTTAGCCTGAGGCTCGTGATCAGGCATTGTCAGCGCCAACGTAGTTTCGAGTTTCGAATGCAGAGCTCTTTGACGCCTAGACTCTCGACTGAGTCGCACCCATGTCATTTTCCGAGCATCCTTGTTGATGCGGCCAGCCCGGGCATCATCAAGCGGCTCCCACACTAGCCATTCGGTGTCCGCTCCATCACGCATCATCCGGTCCGCTCAATTCACCGAGACGGACCGCCCATTGTCTCGTCGTGGCCCTATTGGCTGCGTCGTAGGAATAGCGTCGCCGCCAATCGCTGTGGATGTTCATCTTGCATCGCCGAGAGAGCCGAGGTGCATTGCCAAGATCACATGTCAACAAGGCGTGTTCGACTCTCACTGCAAAGGTCTGCAAGCAATTGCACAGATTCCAGGTTTTGTGTCCCGTTGTTCTCACGATCTGCAACAACGAAGATCAAGACTGCCCCGAGCTTCCGGGCAGAGTTTGCATGCGTGAACCCAGTCCCACGCGCGCCTGTTTCACATCTGCGAAGCTGCAGCGGGTGCTGTGCAAAGTGCCGGAAAAATGGAAGGCGTGCAGTCCCGTCCCAATCGAGCTACAGTAGTGTGCAGTCGTCACCACTCCTGATTGTCAACACGATGACTCGGACTCGACTGTGATACAGCCGGGAGCGTGCTAGCATGCCAAACCTCTGGAACACGGCGAACCTCGATTTTTTTTATTAATCAAAAACATGATGAAGAAAAATCATCTTTTTCTCGATTTGGATCTCTCCGCCCCTTTTTCTTGTTATGGCCTTCGGATCCATAAGCGAGGGTCCGAGGAAGGCGCTTGAACGCCGCTCTCTGCGCCTGCTAAATGCTCGAGCAAAGAGGCGTCGAGATGCAGGGACTCGATCTCGCTTGTAATAATTCCACTGGCGATACGTGATGGCGGTGGGGCGCCCTAAACAACACAGCCACGTTGAGACGACTTCGCTTCGCGGATGACATGCTCGCAACGTCGTCAATGCGTCGTCTTGGACCAAACGCTCCAGGCAGTGGGGGATAGTTTTCGTTGTTGTTATGGCGGGATGGCATCGCCGTGGCATGGGCTCAATTCCGCGGATCAAGCCCCGGATATCAAGGGTATCGGCCGCCAGTTGAGCTAATCTTGCCAACGGTCTCGGCCTAGGCACGGCGATCATATTAGGCCTTGCTGGCAGGGCAGATCTACTTCGTTCCAGAACGTGGCTCTGTGAGACCAGCCATGTGATGATGCGCCTCCTTCTGCCCTGCCCGGTGGAGTGGTCGCCGATTCGGGTCGTGGCCGGTGGCGACCTCGTTCGGGGGAAAGAAGGAAAAATGGGAAAAATAAAAGAAAGAAAAAGAGAAGGTAGAAAAAAAAAAGAAAAGAAAAAAAGGAAAAAAGGAGGAAATTGGTACACGATCAAGAGCCGACGTTGCTCTGTCACTGACTCATCATCGTCATGGCGACTTGATACCCTCTGCCAATGCAGTGGCTGTCACTTCAGGGGACAACATCGTGGTCTCGAAGCTTTGCGGTCGAAAGCAAGGATCGCAATTGCTATCAGTAGCGTGCGATCCCATCCCGATTCTCAAGCACCTTCTAGCGGCGAGCTCGCGACCAACAGTAGTAATGCGCATGGAGCGGTCAAAGCCTGTTGAAAGGTCATGTCGAAACGCTTTTACCCAAGCGAGAGCGCGTTACGACGATGCCTCCCATCCGAGGGACGCTCGCTACCGAAGCGCAGACGGGAACGCCGAGGGCGCATCGTGTTGCTCCCGATCTGGCTGATTTCGAGCTACGCGGTGTCTAAGCGAGCGGGGGTCGAACCCAGTCAGGCGAAGCGAGTTTCTATTGTTCCTGTGTGCCTTTTTGAAGATCTCAAGCGATTGCATTCGTCTATCCATCGCTTTGTCATCTGCATCCTACTCGCAGCTTGCGCGCGGTCCACCTCGAGATGGCGTGACAGCAAGATCTGGTGCCAGATCTTGTCCGCGTCGCATCGCATCGCTTCCCTAAAGGTACGGCGACTTGCAGCAAAGCGGCGTGGTCGGCAACAGCAAGATAGCAGGCTTGGCAGTACCGCGACCCCGTCCTGGCGAGCTCGCGACTCGCTTTCAAAAGCTGACCATTGCCGACTGCCGACACCCGTCTTGTCGGCCCTCGTTGATCCGTCTACCTTGTCTCGTGATAAGGAACGTGGGTCAAGTCTCAATCCTTAGCGCTTGTGCTCGGTCGAGCAAGCAACACTGGGGCGGAAGAGTGTTTCATGGGGTCGAAGCTCTCTCCAAGGGGGCTGGGGTCTGCGTCGATGCTGCCTCTGACGGCGGAATTTCTCATCTTTGTTAGACCGCTCCCTATTGCCGTCGATCTTTTTTTGCAGCCTCCTCCACATCTTCCAAAAGTCACAAAGCTGAGTCGCGGCATGGTGTTGTTCTCGCCATCAACCCTCGAACCAGCATCACGTTGAAGTGCTCAGCACGCTACTTGGAGCTGTCTAGCCGCTCTCTCCGTAGTCAGGCCAACGATGTCTTCCAGCGGCTGACGCGGACGCTATCGTGATCGACAACAATGGTCCATCTGCGCCTCAACGACCCAGACACCTCGCGCAACAAGCACATCAACTACATCACCTCTCTTCCCCAGTACTCTGATCGGGATGCGGCGCATCATCGCCTCCAACAGCTCGCGGCGCAAGTGCAGCCCGTCATGAAGAAGCACGGCTTCGCCATCAACTCGCTGGAAGAGTTTGAGTGGAACCGCGAGTTCGCCGGTCGCAACTGGAACAATGGCGAGACGGTCGAGCTGGTGCTTCGACGCCAGGACGGGAGCTTTGCCCCTCTCCAGTGGGTGCTCATGGTGTTCTGCCATGAGCTGGCGCATATCAAGTATATGAACCACATACCCTCGCAGCACGGAAAGCTAGACAAAGAGTTGAGGGCCGAGTGCAGGGAGTTGCAGGGGAGAGGGTATTACGGAGATGGATTCTGGTCGGCGGGTCAGCGCCTGGAGGATAACGCCTTCGTGGCCGGGAGCGGCATGCAGAGTCTGCAAGGGCTACCCGAGTATTCGTGCGGAGGCGCATTCCAGAGCAAGCCGAGCAAGGGCAGGGCGAGGAAACGCCGTCGCACTGCCGCCACTGGGTCGCGCAAGAGGGGCTTCAAAGGACCCAGTCTGCATACGGGAGCTCAGACGGCACCCAACACCAAAGGCGGGAGACGAGTGCAGACACTGCTGCCCGGTCAAGGCTCCCGCGTCGACGGCAACAACCACATTCCGACGGCGTCCGCGTCCAGCTCGGCGTACAAGGCGGATGCAAACTCGACCTTCCGCAAACGTACGCAGACGGCATCAGCTCGCGAGCTCAGAGCGCAGGCTGCCATGCAGCGCTTCGCCGCTCTCAAGACTGAGGCAGTCGAGAACAAGCCGGCTTCAGAAGGCGATACGTTCTGGCCCGAGGAGTCGAAGGAAGTCAAGCTCGGCTCGAGCGGGTCTTCGCCGTCCGGCAGCGGTAAAGAGACAGTCAAGGAGGAAGACGTGACCGAGTCTGAGACCGAGACAGAAGACGAGGAGGACCGCAAGGAAGGCGGCCTGGTCATCCGTCTGGACGACTCGTCTGCGGATGAAGCAGACGGACTCGCCTCAACAACGTCGAGCACTGCGGCCAACGGCACGCTGCGGATCAAGGAAGAGCCCGACCACTCGACAATCGCCAGCTCCGAATCGCAACAACAGCGCCTCGAACGGTCGCGGCTCTACCGCCAACACGAGCTGAAGCAAGGTGGAAGCATTCGCTCGACCAACGACGACTGGCAGGACTTTTGCTCGATCGCTTCACTCCCCAGTGTCAGCTCTACAGCCACGAACGGCCCTGCACCTTCGACAAGAAAGAAGCCGCTGCGCAATACAAAAGCTGAGGCAATCGAGCTTCTTTCATCAGACGACGAAGCGATACTGGCCTCGTCTCGACAGGCGGCGCAAGCGAAACCAGCCCCAAAACCACCATCTCCCGATCGGGACTGGTCCTGTCAGGTGTGCACGCTTCTCAACTCGCCCCTGGCCGTGCGATGCGATGCTTGCGCCACAACGCGCGGGTCTTTCTTAGTAGGACAATGATGCGTCGCACAATACCATTGCAATGTAGGACAATGACGACGGACCAGATGATTCTGATTGCGAAGAGCTGGCCGCCATCATTCGTTGAAGCGATCCATGAGCTGGTTCGCCGTCGCCTGATTGGGCAGCCTTGCCACGTAGGCGGTGAACGCATTGCGATCCGCCTTATCCTGGATCTTGGGCACGAAGCGCATCGACTCCTGCACGTGATTGTGCTCCACCAGCTTGACGACAAACGGCGTGTATCCGATCGGTGACCTTTTGGACTGGGCGAAGCTCCAAAGTCCATCCCAATCCTTGCTCTGCACCAGCGTGTCCAGCTTGATGTTCCAATACCTTTTATCTGGGACTTTAAAGTCAGACCGGAGCTTTTCGGCCTTCTTGGCCATGTTGCGGAACAGGAGCTGGCGAATGGTCTCGTTCAACGACAAACCGGTGAAGGTGCTTCTCCCACCATCCTCTTTCTGAACGGCCCACTGGAAGGCAAGTAGGCGAATCTGCTCGTCGACCAGCTTGGCCTCGAGCACGCGCTCCTTGTCGTCGCCGAAAAACTTCATCGCCGTCTTGAGCTTGAAGATCTGTTCGGGCAGTTCGGTCTCTTCGACGTTCTGCATCGAGTTGGCCTCTTGCAGCGCTAGGATGGCCGAATCCGTCCGCCGGTCGTCCTGGTAGTAGAAGTCTTTAAGCAGATCGCGATCGACTTCTTTCGCATACGCCTCGAGGAGGTTGGATGCCAATGACAAATACTGCCGCGAAATGCGACCGTTGCTGCTGACGGTCGCGTCCGAGACGGGCGCTTGGATGATGCGGAAGAAGTCGCCGCGCGAGAGCTGGTTCTTGAGCCGCAGTAGGACGTGGTAGATGAGATCCGTATCGCCTGACTCGATCGCTTTGACCAGCGCGAGCTTGTCTTCCCGCATGTTGAGCAGCAGGGGGACTTGGTCGATGGCGCGAGCCTCGTGGTCCAGCAGCCGCGTGGCGAGGTTGCCTCGGCCTGCTTTCCATGCTGTCCATGCGACCTCGGCGAAGCTGACTGACGCACCGCGATCGCTCAATATTAATGCGTTGCTTTTGGTGGACGGATCCGCGTCGCCACCGTTGAGAGCGCCAATCGCATCTTCGTCAGCACCGTCCAGCTCGCCAGTGCGCTCATTGAGCGTTGTCGCAATGCGAAACTTGTGCACGATATCCGCACAGAGCCGCTCTTCTGCTGCCGAGATGGCAGAGCCTGACCCGCCTAGCGCCGGTTTGGTTCGGGCGATCTTGGCCCTCGCCCAGTGCTTGAGAATGGGGTCAGGCCTGATATGGAGGAAACGAGCAATCTTGAGCGACAGAAAGTGGTGGTTCTGTGCCGTCAGTCGTGACAGTAGCGCTGTTGGACCTGCTGCGACGTACTGCTCGTACGAGATGGGGATGCCGATTTGGTAGTTGCGAGCGGCATTCAGGACACGCAGCGTCCTTGCCATCTCAACGAAGGAAGTGGGGTCGTAGAGCTCGATGAAGCTCTTACCGAAGGAGGCGGCTTTGAGGAGGCGCTTCTGCCATGTCAGGTCCCACTCATAGGCGGCTGCTCGGAGACAGCAGTCCACGGCATCGGGAAGGCTGCTACGGATGGCACGTATCCCTTCGTCTGCGCGACTGCTCTTTGCGCTGAATTGCTCGGCCGCCTCGAAGAGGAGAGCGGCAGGGTCATTGGAACCCGGGCGGAAGACGCGGCTGGACACATCCGAGACCTTTTGGAGAAATTCATGTCGGTCGGAAGCAATGATGCGGACGCCGTCCACTTCGCCGACGAGATGGGTGGGCCCAGAATACGGATAGCGGATGTTGTCTCCGAAGGGTCCGACCATGACCACTTCGTCGTTGAAAGAGAGCGCAATGGTGTTGTTGCCGCACCACTGCACCTCGCGAACACCACTGCCGCCAATCCCGCCTTTGCTGGATCCTGCCGACGCGGGATCTGTGCTACCAGCTCGAAACGCATCATCAATGGGAGTGGCATCTTCATATGCCTCGCTGGCGCGAATGTCGAACTCGCTGAGACTGCGTGAAAAGTCGGAGCTGACGACCCAGAGAATGAGATCGGCGGTCAAGAGGGCGAGAAGCTTGCCGTTGGGCGAGGGGCGTACGGCATGGAAAGGGCCACGAGATAGACGCATGTCCTGACAGGCGGTATCGATGGAGGATGGACCCGCAGCTGAGCGTGTCAGCGAGAGCAGAGTTGGGCCTTGGGCGATGAGCACTGTTGTAAGGCCGGAGTGTGAGACGTTTGGTGGTACGACAGCCCAGGATGGAGGAAGGGAGGATGAGCTGGCCGCGGACGATGTTGACTGGTCGTAGGGCGGAAGCAGCTCCGGAGCAGGCGCCCGAACAGCATCGTCATCAAAAGAAGGCAAGGCAAAGCCATAGTCGCCTCCACCGCTGAGACTGATGGCGCCAGCATACTCGCCCGCATCTGCATCGACGTCGAGAGCAGGAAAGCGCCACTCTACGAATCGTCTTGCTCCGACAAATGCAACGAGACCGCCTGCCCAGATGCGAGCATCCAAAATGCCCGTCTCTGTCGCCTCTGTGCCAAGCGAGTGCTGTGTGTAGTAGGAATTCGAGGTCGCTTCGATGGGGAGTGGGCGATTGCGTGAAGAAGATGTGCTAGATGCAGGATCACCTGATACAGGACATGGTGACAGAAGGGTATAGAGTCGTACGTTGCCCTCTTCTAGCACGACCACGAGCTGTTCGAGTGCGTTAAAATCGAGTGCGATGATACGGAGAGAAGGGTCCCAGGGAATGCTTTCGATAAGCTGACCTGCTGCCGTGTAGACGAGGATCTTTGGCTTGAGCAGCGAGGCCTTTCCGAGCGATACCAGACGCGTTGGATCACGAATCAAGGCAATGAGACCGCCGTTGCTGGATGCTGCGACGACGTAGTCGGCGAGGTTGTCGATGCCCCAGTTGAGCGCGTAGAGCTCGGTGCGTCGATAGAAGATGTCTTGCAGACTGGTCCACTCGGTGGTCGGGTGACTGGCCTGCACCATGGCGGATGCGACAAATCGTGCGCAGGCCTTGAAGGCTCGGACGCGCTTCAACGAGAGGGTCAGCGGTGATTGAGATGATGGGTGTGAGTTGGGCAGTAGGCGTGGTCTGTGCTGCAATGTGCTTGTTTCAAAGCCAATTCTGACAGCGCGAGTCAGCGGAACTCGGATCATCCGCGAAGCTTGAGGTGGAGGAAAGCCGTCCATCATCCACCAAACTGTCCCTCCTTCGATCATATCTTCCCAGTGACACTCGTCAATCAGCCCCGCGTCGCTCTCAGAACAGCATGCCGGCTTCTCCAGACGCGAACGAGGCATCCTCGTCTCGCAGCGCCATGGACTCTTCCGCCAGGAAAGGAAAACTCTCGCCGCACGAGAGGCAAGCGCAAGCCATCTCCAAGCTGCTTGCCAATCCCGACAAGGAAATTCGCATCCCAGACGGTCCTAAGGAGAAGTCAATACGACCGCCACGCGATGTGATGAAGAACGTCACCGGCTCGAGTGCAGGTGCTGGCTCAGGCGAGTTTCACGTGTACAAGCAACAACGTCGGCGAGAAAACGAACGGATCCAGCTTATGGAAGAGCAAAATCTAAAGGTGAGTGACCACGATACCCTCGAACGAGCCTTGAGGTCGCATGCAGCCGACTGACTCGATCCAACCCTTCTGACCCTACAGCTCACGGAACAAGAAGAGTTTGAACGGAAACGAGCCCAGATCCAGGAGAAAGACGAAGCCAAGACGGACAAGAACCGCGCAAAGCGTGAAAAGAAGAAGCTCGCAGCTATGAAAGCACAGGCAGCGCTCAAAGGCAAAGATCCGAGCAAAGTCACCACCACCGCCTCAAGTGCGGACAGATCCAACGGAGAACCAGAGGCAAAAAAGCAGCGGTTGCACAACGAAGCTGTCCATCGAGTCGAGTTCAAACCTAAGGATGATTCAAACGATGATTCATAACCGCGTCTAGCTTCGATCTTCAATCGTTCATACTGTCAGTCAAAACTGATCGTGCTATTCCAATGATACTCGAGCATTGATGTAGATATGTACGACAGAGCAGCAACTCAGAGCAGAGTGCGCGTGAACTTGATCCACGTGCCAATCTGCTTGTACACCTTGACCGCCTTGGAGATCTCGGTGTCGACGGTAAAGTAGTCGTGCACCTGGTGTGGGTAGACGTGGTGAACCACCTTGCAGTTGAGCTCGCCAGGGCTCAGCACGACTCTCTGGTTTGAAGTCGACGTGGGTAGGTTCTTGGCCTTGCGCAGCAGGTTGGCAAAGTGCTGACCTTCGTCCAACAGGGTTTCGCCGCCTCCGTTGGCAATGAAGCATGGTGGCATCGCAGCCAATTCGGCTGGCGTCTTGTTCGAGTGCGTGTTCCACGGGTCCGTGATGGGGTAAGGAAGCTTGTGCAGGCCCTGCGCCGCCACTCCCCAGCTCTCATACGAGAGGTCAATGATGTCGGTCCCCACGTTGGCCTCTCGGCTCTTGAATGACAGGTCTTGCGGTGCGATCCAGGGCGAGAGCAGCACCAGACCGGGGATCTTGAAGTTGTCGGGATCGGCAAACAGCAAATGCTTGTACGAGCGAAGGTAGCGCTCGAGCTGCAGCGTCATCCACGAGCCGTGACTGTCGCCGCCAATGTAGATCTGATCCGGAGAGTAGCCAAAGTCGTTGAGCAGGTGCAGATACGCCGACAAGGCCTGGTACAGCTGTACAGGCGAGGGGGCGAACGGTGCCAGGTTGTAGTCGACCGAGAAGATGTCGACGCCGGCCGTTCGCGCGAAGTTTTTGGCCAGGTTCTGACCCATGTGCAGATCACCGGCGTTGAATGTGACACCAGCACCTCCGTGGAAGTAGCAGATCACGGGTCGGTTGGGCTTGTTCTTCGCGCCAAGCTGTGACGGCACCACATGGGGCTTGTGTGTGAACCAAAGCGCACGAACGCTCCACTTGAGCCACTTTGCTTCCAGCAAGGGTGGACCCGTGTAGTCGTCCGTGACAATTCGGCGTCGGTCGCTGGGACCCGTCTTGACGGCGAGGATGCCGTCGAGGTACTCGGGTCCCGCAGGTGGGATCCACACCTTGTCGGGTCGGCCGTGCGTAGCGTTGAGCTTGAGCGCCTTGACGTTCTCCTTAGCGAGCACCACCGAGCCGCCAGGTCCCGAGAGGTTGAGGCAGCCGACGATGGTAGCGACGAGGGTATTGCGGTCTCGAAGACCTCCCTTGCGTGGCACAATGGGTTGGACGCCGAAGCGGATGAGATTACGCATCACACGGCGTACGACGAGGATGTACACGGCCGAGATGAAGCTCCAGTTCTTGTTGAGACGGAAGTACGGGATGATGCATCGAAGCATGTACAGCGGAATGGCGATGAACGACGTCGGGAAGAAGTAGAGCTGGAACAGGATGAGACGCAGCATGGGTCGCAAATGCTTGATCTTGGGCGGCGTCGCACGCTGGATGGCTGCGAGCACATTGGGATCCACCTTGCGCTTCTCGATCGATTGGCTCGACCCTGCCACGGACTTGGTATCTACGGAAGCGGATGACATGGTGTCGACAGTGCGTGGAGGCTAGCCAGCTCTAATCGATATCGACGAGTATGGAAGTCTGTATCTCGTGGGGAACTCCTTGTTGTGTGGCTCTGACGGTGGACGAGAAGGAGGAGCACGGCAAGCGTAGCTATGCTTCTTTCGTGTGAGGAAGCAGCAAGCGACCGGTACGAGGTTTCCCCACACTTGTTCGCACAAGGACCGAGCGAGGGAGCCGCTGTGTGTGCTCGCGGGTATGCAGTGGTAACCAAGCCGTAAAGCCTCGTGAAAAGACGAGTATTGGAAATATTGCTGATTTTGCTAGATATAGTTGGTCCCTACCCAGCCCTGCAACAACAGAAAGGTCCCAGTTAGTACAATGGTCAGTATATATCGCTCTCAATCTCGAGATTCGATCCGATAAGATCAGGGTTCGATTCCCTGGCCGGGAACTCTCTTTTTGCGGATGTTGGTCAGGGAACTCTCTTTTGGCATTCATTGGCCAGGGAATTTTCTTTTTTGCATTTATTTTGGGTACATTTTCAAGAACATGAGGGCTAACAGTCTTCACCAGAATGGCTGATTTGCTCAGATCGGGGTTCGATTCCCTGTCCGGGAATATTTTTTTTTCTTGCTATTTTTGCGACTGATTGTTAGAGTGACAAGGAGCCGGCACCGGAAAGCGTCATGCGTGGGCGTGTGACTTTGTGAAGGATGGTAGAGCCAAGCCGTGTGAAATGGCCTCACAGCTCCACCTGGCTGAGCTTTGTTCGTGTGGGTGTCACTTCGCTCGGCCCGCATTTGAGAGGTCTTATCTCGATCCAACTCAACTTGACTCTCACCCACCACCGTCTTACCTAATCAACGCTGATCAATCGAGACACGTCTCTCTTCTCCGTTCCGCATCTCGGCATCAAGACAGCGAGCAGCAAAAGTCCACGAGCTACCGTCTGGATAAGCCAACGTTCATCGAGCCTCGACTAGCGCATAGGTCTGCCGGGTTCAGCCATCACTTCCAACAATGGCGACCAAGGCCGCTATCAAGCGCGTAGGTGCTACGCTCCTGACATGTAGCCTTTGACCGAAGCACGCAGCACTAACTCGTCGTGTGTCTTTACCTTTCCGCACAACAGCTCACCAAGGAGGCGCAGCTCATGGACAAAGATCCGCCTCCGCTCGTGTATGCCCGACCGAAGGAGGACAATATCCTAGAATGGTAAGCTCGACCATCATACAATCGCAGGCCGGATCTGATGGCGTGCCGATGTCTTACTTTATGCGTCCGTTCCTTTCCCCGCAGGCACTACATCCTCCGTGGCCCTCCCGACACACCTTACGCCGGAGGCGAATACCACGGCCAGCTCCTCTTTCCGCCCGAGTTCCCCTTCAAGCCACCCGGGATCAAGATGCAGACGCCCAGCGGTCGTTTCGCCCCCAACACCAAAATTTGCACCTCGATGAGCGACTACCACCCGCACACCTGGCAGCCCGGTTGGAACACCTCGACCATCCTCATCGGTCTGCTGTCTTTCATGTGCTCGGACGAGATGACGACGGGCTCCGTCACCGCCAGCGATGCGGATCGACGCAAATTGGCAGCACAGTCGCACGCATTCAATCTGACTCAAAAGAAGTTCTGCCAGATCTTCCCCGAACACGCCGGCCCCGAGATCAAGGACCTGCCCAACATGGGCGACAAGAAGAAGCCCGGCGAGGGAAGCGCTGCCGATGGTGCAGCAGCAAGCAGCAAGACTGAAAAGGTGGGATCCGATACCCTTGTTTCGTCTTCGGCATCGGATTCTGCTTCCATGCAGGGTGCGTCGAAAAAGCGTCGTCTGCAGTAGCACGGCGGCAGCCCATCACTAGTCGAAGGGCCACTTGCAGCAGTGCCTGCCATTGTCCATACCCCCTCGCCCCCCTTACTGATCATCATCCCATGAACCTTGCATCGACCATACGTCCAAACCGACAGGCCTGAAGAACCGAGCAACAGCATCCAGCAGCACAACAGCATCAAAAGACAATAGCACAAGTAGTACCGGCTCAGCGAGGAAACCCGAAGAAGCAGCAGCAAGACCAAGAAACAATGGGCGCCGAGATCTATTTGGCGTACGCAGCTCCCTGGTGGTGCTGGTCGTACTCGCCTATCTGTTCATCAGCCGGGTCATGAACGCCAGTGCCAACGGGATCATCTGATTTCTCGGCATCGATGCCTTTGATCCTGCTTGTTCTTGCCCCGTTATATGTCACCCTCATACCATCATCTTCCGTATCGCATTGCAACGCATCGACCATGTCTACCTCTTTCTCGTGTTGTGAGGGCATGCTTTTTGCGACTGAGCGCGTCCCAGTTGAGTGGTCGTGTCCGACATTGGCAGCGTGCCAGAGGACGCTGCGAGGGTACCCATTGAAAGCGCGACTGGTTGCAACAATGACTCTGACCGCGTTGTGATAGCAGCTAAACGTCATCCCGCGGGCCTCTGAACGGCGTTGAGCCAAATTCCATGTGCGTTTTTTCCGCGCGTGGCAAGCTGCAGTGCTGCAGCGGGGAGAACAACACCTGCAAGTGTTGGTCTAATTTATCATAAGCTTCGCGCAGAGCAATATAAGGAGAACAAGACCTTGCAGCCTCTGAATCTTCCTGCAATCCCAGCTGCATCACCACTCGCTGGCTTCGACATCAACGCCATCGCTGGATTCAGCAGCATAAATTTGTCGCAGCACCATCTTTACTTGGCGCGAAAGCACGCACACGCACGACGTGCTGCCGTCCCTTGACGCAAACAGCTCACCGTGACCGCGTACGGAGCTGCTCACACTCCACTCGCTTCGACAACCTACGCACCGCTCTCCTGGGCCGACATCGATCTTCTACCCCCGCAACCGAGATGACGTTGTGTGGTCTGCTCCCTGGCCCGTCTGCTGGCTCGTCCTCACACCAATCCGGCCGCCTCCAGCGCAAGGTACTAGTGCTCGGTGACGGAGCCAGCGGCAAGACCTCGCTGCTCTTCGTGCTCATTCGTCACAACTTTCCCGACCATTACGAGCCCACAGTATTTGAGAACTACACTCATCTCATGCACTCGTCAAAAGCAGAGGTGGAGCTGACGCTGTGGGACACAGCGGGACAGGAGGAGTTCGACAAGTTGCGGAGCCTCAGCTACGCGGATACCGACGTCGTGCTGCTCTGCTTTGACGTGGCTAACTCGGTGTCGCTGGAGAACGTCGAGTCGCGGGTAAGTGTCCCTCCCCTTTCCACGCTCACACGCTCAATCACTGACACGGCTTGCTGGCTCGGACTCTGCGGTGTATTGCAACAGTGGATCCCCGAAATCCGCCAACACACCCCACAAGCACCCATCGTGCTCATCGCTCTCAAATGCGACCTTCGCGACTCCTCCTCCTCCGAGAAAACCCTGGGGTACAGCGCCGGCGTCGAGGTGGCCAAACGCATCAAGGCCAGCCGGTACCTCGAGTGCTCAGCCAAGAAGAATCGGGGTGTTGAGGAGGCCTTTGCTGAGGTTGCGAACATTGCTGTTGCCAGCCGGGCAAAGAGGAGACGATTGGGTGAGGGAGGCTGCACCATCGCTTGAAGCGCCCACCGCTAGAGACGCAACGCTGTATTCTCACAACTGTATTCTACGCCAACGATACCCTGGCATTCACTTCACACACAACGCATCGGTTCGGTGCTGTTCATGTTCAGCCTCGCATTGCATCGTCACCTCTACTGTGCGGCATCGATCGACGCTCGCCCACACTGTGATCTGCCACCATTGTACCAGAAGTCAGAGTGTCAAGAGGCAAGCGTGCTGATTACAGAACGCGTGCCGGCCGGTAATTTTCCGCTGCAGAGGCTGAGTCAAGTCGCCGGCCTGTGATTCCAAAGTGGAGCGGCTGAGCTCGGTCCATATTTCACCAACGGTTTGGCTCGTCGAGGCTCCTTTCGTCTCAACCATCGCCACTCCACCCGCAGCAGCTCTACACCTCTTTGCTGCTGTCCCTCAGTCCAGCCTGGCATGGCCGGAAACGACTCCGGCCAAGGCTCTCGGCCTCGCCTGACGGTCAAGCTGCGACCCAACTCGAACGCAGCCAGCACCGGCTCAAACACACCCACCTCTGCAGCAGCATCTCGAGCACAGAGCTCGCGCAACACACCAGCATACGGTCGTGATGATGATGGCGAAGACGACGAAGAGCAAGCATATGCGCTAGATGACGGGCTTGTCTCGGACGACTCGGGCGACGACCACGGCAGTAGCAGGAGGGCCGGAAAGGCGGCAGCGTCAAAGAAAGGCAAGAAGAACGCGGATGCGGATCCGGTGCAAGCGATCGCTCGACAGCATCCCTTGTCGGGAGCTGCTCCTCGCTTCAATGGCCCTGCGATGGATGAAGATGATGAGCAGGCGCGGTACGAATCCGGCGAGCTGCGATTCCACACACGAGACTTTACCAAGATGCCGCTCAAGCTCGACCACAGCAGTAGGCCTCTCTGGATCTCTCCCGATGACGGGCACATCATCCTCGAAGGTTTCAGCCCGCTTGCAGAGCAAGCGCAGGACTTCCTCATCGCCATCGCCGAGCCTGTCAGTCGCCCCGCCTATATTCACGAGTACAAGCTCACACCGTATTCGCTGTACGCTGCAGTCTCGGTCGGTCTGCAACCCAACGACATCATCGAAGTGCTCAATCGCCTCTCCAAGGTGCCCGTACCAGACGCCGTGCTCGACTTCATCCGCGAATACACAGCGAGCTTCGGCAAGATCAAGCTCGTGCTCAAGCAGAACAAGTACTTTGTCGAGAGCGCACACCCGGAGATTCTGCAGACGCTGCTTCAGGACAGCATCATCGGTGCAGCGCGAGTGCGCGAGGATCCCAATGCGGTCAGTTCAGGTCGAATGGAGGTGCTGGGGAAGACACAAGCACCGACAAGGGGCGATCTGGTCATTCCAGGAACGGAAAGCGCAGCGAGGAAAGCACGACAAGCTGCCGCCGCGAATGGGCAAACACCTGGACCATCAAATACTGGCCGATTGGCAAATGGTGCAGGCGCCACAGGACCCCAACCGGAGAGCGCAGAAGCCGCACGCCGAGAAGACGAAGCCGATCTCTTCTCGGCAATCATCGGTGTCGACGAGGCCGACGAGCTAGACGAGGACGACACCGTCCACAGCTTCGAGATCGCCGAGGAGTACATCGAGCAGGTCAAGAAGCGCTGCAACGAGATCGGCTTCCCGATGCTAGAAGAGTACGACTTTCGCAACGACCAGCTCAATGCCGATCTTGAGATCGATCTCAAGCCCATCACGCACATCCGACCGTACCAGGAAAAGAGTCTCGCCAAGATGTTCGGCAATGGTCGTGCCCGCAGCGGTATCATTGTGCTGCCGTGTGGTGCGGGCAAGACGCTCGTCGGCATCACGGCCGCCTGTACCATCAAGAAGAGCTGCCTCGTGCTGTGCACCAGCAGTGTCAGCGTCATGCAATGGCGGCAGCAGTTCCTGCAGTGGAGCAACATTCAAGACAACCAGATCAGCGTCTTCACTGCTGACCAAAAAGAGAAGTTCTCTGGCGCCTCGGGCATTGTCGTGTCGACCTACTCGATGGTGGCCAACACAGGCAAGCGATCGCACACGTCGCAAAAGATGATGAACTTCCTCGAGAGTCGCGAGTGGGGGTTCATCCTGCTAGATGAAGTCCACGTCGTTCCCGCTAGCATGTTCCGCCGCGTCCTTACGAAGATCAAGGCGCATTCGAAACTCGGTCTCACCGCCACGCTGGTGCGAGAAGACGAAAAGATTGACGAGCTCAACTTCCTCGTCGGTCCCAAGCTCTACGAGGCCAACTGGATGGACCTCGCTGCCAAGGGCCACATTGCGACGGTGCAGTGTGCTGAGGTGTGGTGTCCCATGACGCCCGAGTTCTATCGCGAGTACCTTCGCGAGAAGAGCCGCAAGAAGATGCTGCTCTACTGCATGAACCCGAACAAGTTCCAAGCGTGTCAGTTCCTCATCGACTACCACGAGAATCGCGGCGACAAGATCATCGTCTTCAGCGACAACGTCTTCGCACTGGAGGCGTACGCCTTTAAGCTCAAGAAGCCCTTCATCCACGGTGGTACGGCGCACCTGGAACGCATGCGCATCCTGCAGAATTTCCAACACAATCCTCTGGTCAATACGATCTTCCTCTCCAAGGTCGGAGATACATCGATCGACCTACCTGAGGCGACGTGTCTGATCCAGATCTCGTCGCACTTCGGATCGCGACGTCAGGAAGCCCAGCGCCTTGGCCGAATCCTTCGTGCTAAGCGTCGAAACGACGAGGGATTCAACGCCTTCTTCTACAGTCTGGTCAGCAAAGATACAGCAGAGATGTTCTACTCGACCAAGCGACAGCAGTTCCTCATCGACCAGGGATACGCGTTCCGAGTGATCACGCACCTGGTAGGGATGGAGAACATGCCAGGGTTGGTGTACAAGAGCCAGGCGGAGCAGATCGAGCTCTTGCAGAGCGTGCTCATCGCCAATGAATCGGACGCCGATCTGGGGAGCGATCTGGCAGGCACCGAGTTTGGTGGTGGTGCGAGGCGGACTGGTGGTAGCAGCAGTGCAGGAGCGCTGAACGGCAGCACTGTAGCAAAGGCAGCCAGAACCACGGGCTCATTGAACGCCTTGAGTGGCGCCCAACACATGTCCTACATCGAACGCAATAGGTCGGTCAACAAGTCGCTCAATAAGGAGGGTGGAAGGCATAAGATGTTCCAGAAGCGAGCGGATAAGGCCAAGCGGAAGGACCGGGAGGAGTGATGTAGCGTTGGACGCAATGCGAAGCAGTGCTTGATCAAAGAGAGATAGAAATACATATGTTGTGTAGTCGAAGGTGACCATGGTCCAGCCCTAAAGGCGAATGACAGCCGAGCATCTTACTTGCGTACCAGATCGATCAAAGGCTGGCCTTCCGCCTTCATCCGACGCTGACGTTCCGCCGCTTCCTCCCGTCGGCGCGCCTCGTTCGAGCGTAGCGCCTGTTGGTCCATCAGGCTTAGCTCGTTGAATGCTCCCGTGACGGGGGCGCCGGGCGCGTGACCTCGAAGGGCCACCTTCGCATCGCTGATGGCCTTATCCGCCAAGAGGCTGCCCTTGGCGAAGGGTCCAGCGAATGCACTGCTGTCGATAAGGGGTGAAGGGCCGCTTGCGCTGCCGTGCCCCGACTCGGATGCTCCTTCTGCCGCTCGAGTGTTGGGAGGACGACGGGAAGTCATAGCCCTTGCAAGTCCGCCGCTTGCGGTCACGCCCGGAGCAGCTTCTTGGCTGCTGAGCGGAGACTCGACCTGGAAAAGGATCGCCTTCTCCTGTCGCAAAATGTAGGTGCGTGCATTGAGAATAGCACGAACCCAATCACGATGAGCCGCAGGATCCGTCAGGCTGAAATAGTGCACGTAGTCCTGATCTGGCTTCTCGAACATCGTGATGGGATCCTGGGATCGGAGCGCAAACCCATTCGCTTTCGGCATCTTGACCGCCGAGCTATCGACCAGATAGACGTCAAAGGTCGAGATCTGGCAAATGGACATCTCGTCCTTGCCCTTCTCGTTCTTGGCGTGGTACAGACCGTGGTCGCGCAGCTCGAGCCAGCGCTTGTTCCACTTCTTCTTTCGGTCCTGTACGTAGACCCAGCCGGCAAGCGCTGGCGAGCTTGACGGCACGGATCGAAGCGAGAGGTACGGCGACAGCTCTGTGCGCTTGATGAGGAGAAAGTCGGTCTTGGGATGCGCTCGCACGTTGACCACGTCGGTGATCATCTCGTACTCTCGCAGAGGACGCTCGATGCCCAGCTGCGCCGAGCAGTCAAAGACGACCCAGCCGCCTTTGCTGTCGTCCATCGGCAGCCTTTCTCGTTCAATCACCTCCAATGCCAGATCGCGTGCGCGCGCAGAGACCGGCACCTCAACGACGGTGAAGCGCTGCCTCGACAGGATGAAGACCTTGTGCGGCTGTCGCGGCACGATTGAGGTAACATGGAGACTGGAGCCAGACTCGTTCGATGTAGGAGCAGCGTTGGTGTGTTGAGCAGAGGCATTCCTGTGCATCGAGGTATCGCCGTGCGCCATCGAGCCGTCCCCTGAAGGTCGTCCGTGGTGTGCGGCGGCTTGCGCGAGCGCAGCAAACGTGGCGGTGTGGGCACTCCGGGGCGAGCTGGAAGCCTGAGAGTCTTTCGACGCGGTGTCCGGCCTGGGCAAGTCGGGCAGCGGCGGTGCAGCGGCTGTGTTGATGGTCAGCGGAACTTGGTTGCGTGACACGGAGCGGGAGCGTAGCCTTTGCAGCACGCCAGGCTGATGAGTGGGAGCGGTGGCAGGAATGGCAGAAGATCCGCCACCCGAGGAGCCGAAGGGAAGCGTTTGACCTCGAGAATCTGTGCGGTGCCGCGCGCCAGGCAGCTCGACGCCATCCATCATCCGCGGCGAGGTGGTCGTCTGTTCCCCCAGCTGACCGTGATTGAAAGTCGTTGCGACAGGCGACGGTCCGCCCCTCTTGACCTGCGCTGTAGCCGCATTGAGGGCGGCAGTGGCAGAAGTTGCCAGTGCTTGTGCCTGAGCCAAGGAAGCGGGGGTAGGATTCGCTTGCGCCATCGCCATCGCCTTTTGCGCTGCAACGACAGTCGCCATGGCATTGGACGGGAGCTCCGGCATCATGGCGAACTGAGGAGGCGTCGGGCTTATTGGAGAAGGACCGTGTGGCCCTGCCTGCGTCATCGCCTTGGCACGCAAGGCGGCTTCCGAGGGCGTCCTCGCGCGCATGCCGGGATGAGCGTAGCGCTCCGCTGGAGCCGTGCGCACCGACTTGGACCTCGAGACAGCAGCCGCGGGACGCTCGCCATCCGGGCGTGCGACTGTCTGGGATCGCTGCACACCGGCGCCGTTCGGCGCATGCGCTCGCTCGCGACGCTGTTGTACCCTGTTCAAGCGCTGAGACAGTTCGTTCGGGTTGACGACAGGTTGGTCGGGCGATTTCCCTTGCTGTTGCACGGCGGGACGGGCATGCCCGCTGCTTGAAGGTGTGGCGGAGGAGCTGCCCTTGCCCTCGAGAGCCTTTGCCGCCATATCGAAATGACGCCTGCGCTCTTTGGCGCGCAAAGCCTTCTGGACAGCTTTCGGGTCGTCGACGAGCTGACCCAGTGGACGATCGTCGGACGAATCAGAGTCGGCTGCTGCATCGGCTTCAGGTGCTGCTGTGGGGATTGAGGCACCCCGCGCAGGGACCGCAGGCATGACTCCACGTCGACCAGCACGAGCGGCAGCGGACGACTCTTTCGCACCGTAATCGTCCTCCGAGTCTTCGTCCGTCATAGCCTCTGCCGCTTCGTCCTCGTCCGAGTCCTCTGCATCTTCATCGCTCGACTTGTCTGCGTCGTCGCGGCCCATGCTCGGACGTCTTCCACCGCCAGCGCCCCCGGCTCCTCCAAAGCCACCGCTTCCACCAGCGCCTCCTCCGCCATCGCTGGATCCGTAGTCGTCTGTGTCGCTTCCATCCGAGTCACCGTCGCCGCCGCCTCCTCCAGCTGCGCCACCATTCAGCACCCGATTTGATCGGTGAGACGAAGCACCAGCGGCCATCAGAATCACCGATGACGGGAGGCCCTCCGCTGCTAGTCTTTCGAAAGCATCAGCACCTTGCTCTGCGATCCATTGCAGCCCAAGATCGGACCATGAATTGTGTCGCGGGAAGCGATCATTCTGCTTGCGGATGCGTCGCGCCTTCTTCATCTTGGCCTGCCTCCTGTCTACCAGGATCGGAAACGGAGCTATAGATTCGACGATCTTGATGGACCCCGCAGGCTCATCGGCCATTGCGGTCGCCTGCGATGCGGATCCGGAGATCGCAGGCAACGGCTCTTCGTTTGCAACGGACGTGCTTGAAGGCGACGCGACATCTGCCGAATTGACTGGCGTGATATTGGCCTGGTGAGACTTGAAGACATCACCGGGCACGATCTTGCGCAAGGTCTTCAGATTCGCGTTCGATGAGAACTGTCGCAAGTGTCGCAGGTTCTTGGGCGGAGCGATCTCGGCGGTGCGCGAGCGAGAGCGCACCGTGCTCGCTGCCTCGAAGAGAGGCGAAGGAGGCAGAGACTTGTCCTGAGATGCAGAGCCGCTGAAGGCTGCTTTTGGTGTCATTGACGACGCGTGCGGGGCCGAAGACCATCCCTGTTGAACGCCAGAGGCAGACATAGGCGGCGTCGGTGCAAGCCTGGAAGGCGCAAAGCCATGGTGGAACGTATCATGATCGACCGACAGGAACGGAGATGACATGCCGGCCGCGCTGACGCCACTGCCGATGAAGTTGTCGGGCCACACGTTGGACCTCGCTTGCGCCTGAATCTGCTGTGTCGTCAGCGGCCCAGAGGCCCCGTTCAAGGATACGTACCCTGGAGCGGAGATCGGCGTTGGTGGGGTGTCGAATGATCGCTGGTTCGTCTGCGCAAACGTGGATGCAAAGGCGGTCCTGATCGAGAGTCCTGCAGCGTCGTCATTGCGATTCGATGACTGTCTCGACATGCTGGTCAGAGGAGGTGTTGCGCTTGGCTGCCGTGGAAGCGCCGGCGGGAAGGAAAACTCGGTTCGATCGGTGAAGCCTGGCCCTGCAGAGGTCAGCTCGCGCGAGCCCGACGGTGTCGAGGGCGTTGCGGACGGACCGTTGAGGTTAGGGAAGCTCTTCTTCCTCAGATTCGGGAGGCCATTGAGAAGCAGGCGTTTCGACAACGAAGGAAGCGCAGGTTTTGACGGTACTGAAAGCACCTGTGCGACGGTATCCGTCTGACCCGAGGTACGCGATTTGCTTGATCGTCTCGCCTGCCTCGCTCCGGACTCGGGCGACATCTCGCTCGCCTCGCGGAGAGCGGCAACGCTGTTCTTGCGACTAGCCGCAAGGCTCTTCCGACCCTTGGAGAATTTGCGGCCGCTCTTGATCGACATGGCCGACTCGCCATCGGATTCAGATCCAGAGCTCCAACGACTGCTGCTGCCGATGCCGTTGCTGTCCATTCGCGTCATGATGGCGGGACCGGCTGCGAAAGTGTCCGAAACGGCAGGAAGAAGCCTGCTGGGCTCGGCACGCGGACGCGCCCCCCAAGCGGCATCACGGATGGCGAAGGTGGGCGTGTCCGGTACGATGCTCTGCTTGCGAGGGCGAGTCATCGTTGTGTCAAGTGACAAAGGCAGGGGTGCGCCGTGAGCCCTAAGCAGATCCTTGTCGTCCATGGCATTCGCGGCAGTCGACTGGCTGGGCCCAAATACGGAAAGGTTGAAGCTTGGCACAGCTGGCGTAGACGCCGGTTCGAGTTGGCTCGACGATAATGCCTGTGCGTGTGTCGAAGGGTCCGAGACCTCCACGACATTTATCGCTTCTTGCTGGTCATCCACGGTCGATTCGCCATCATCGCCAAGCGAGAGACTCGGAGCTTTTCGAGAGTCCTGACGCTGAAGGAAGCCCATCATCGTCTTCATACTGAGCCCTTCGCTGGTAGGGCCCGTCTCTAGGTGGGCAAACTCGAAAGCTGTTACCGATTCGGAGCCAGCGCTGGAACGACCCTGCGCATCGCTTCTGAGCGAGTGAACGCGACTGCTCGAGACCGAGGACCTCGATTGTGGTGATTTGGTGATGACGCCGTCCAAGATGCCATGGTCAGACGGCTGATCCGCTAGTGGCGTGGCTGTGGTCGGGCCATCATCATCTCCAGCGCCCTCAGCAGGCGCTGCATCCTCTTCGTCCGTGTCAAACTCGTAGTAAGCTGTGTGCAATGGCTCAGAGTACTCTGACATGCTGTCCTGTTGGCGATGATGGGAGCGAGAGGTGGACGAGGTCGGTGTTCTCGCGGTCGACAGAGCGTCGGCGGCGGCATCGTCCGAATGCTGTGCAGAAAGCGGGGACTTCTGACTGATGGTGGCGGTAGGAGTGCGTCTGCGAAGGCCGCTCGGCGTACCGGGCAGCGTGCCTGTATTGCTGCTGGCCGGCGAAGAGCTGAGAACGAGCGGAGCCGGAGGAGCCTTGCGCGTACTCAGCGACGCCGCCCTCGAACGCTGCTTGGAGGAGAAGCCGGCGCCTTGTCTGTCCAGCACCGAAGGTCCGGGAAGGGCTGCTACCGGTGGCGAGATGTTTCGTCTAGTCTCGCCGACAGCTCGATCGTGGCTGTGATCCACAGCGAGGTTCGACACGGCAGATACAAGCGGCTCCTCGATTTCGGAATTGGGAACGACGATCTCGAAAGCTTGTCGCTCCTCGAGGTCCGCAGGCTGAGCAGAAGCAGACGGGGCGGCCGACTCGAAGTATTGGCTTGCCTGGTATTCTGGAGTCGATGCGATCTGGGCCAGGAACTCTTCCGCCGAAATGCCAGCCTTCCTGTCCATCTGCCCTAGCGAAGAGACGTCTGGCGAAAGGGATCGATTCGCGACGAAGGTGGGCCCATTGGGCATGATGGGAATGGCGGATCGCATCTGGGGCGTGTTGCATCGAGACGAGGCTTCGGACGCCGGAGGTGGTGTTGTCGAGGCGAAGCTTTCAAGCAGACTCTCGCTCGGTCTGCGACCAGGGAAACGCCGCGCCGTCGGAGGACCGCCAGAGGAAGCCAGGTAGAGCTGTTTTGGACCAGACTGTGGCGCTGCTGCAGCGTTGAGGTCGCTCTGCATGTCTCGAGGAAAAGCCGCGCCTGACTCCAGAAGCGGCGATCTGGTAGGTGTGAAAGATCTCGCCTTGGACGCTTGTGTGAACGCATCACTTGGACCGCTCGCTGGGAAAGAAGAGGCTGGCGCCCCGGATGTGAGCACGACATCGCTGAGTCCGAGTCCGACGAGGAGAGCGTTTCGGTCGCCGGTGATGGTGGCAGACGAGGTCGCGTGATGAGAAGGCAGGGGATGCTCTGTCGAGCCAAATTCGCGACGCTTGCGAACAAGGTTGAGTTCCTTGGGTCTCCAAATGTGCGCAGGGCCGCTTGGCGTGACGGGGGTGAAGGGTCCGACCTGATCCTGGGCGTCAATCTCGGAGGACTGGGAGCGGATGCGGTCGCTGTATACGCTATTGTCGGTGTCTGCGCTGTTGACATCGCTGACGGCGGGGCTGTAGCAGTCTATGGAGCTGTCGGTGGAAGCCTGCTTTCTGGGATGGAGGCTGTGCAGTAGCGACAAGGACGATGTGGATGAGGGGTAGGAAGCGAGCGAATTGACCGACTCGATCGAGTAGGAAGACGAGATCTGACGAGCAGTGGAGCGAGAAGAGTCGGCAGATTCGACGTGAAGCGATCCTTTGAGCGTCGGCAGTGATGGTCGCGCTAGACGTTCTGCCTGGAGACGAGATCGAGGCGGAGGCTGCGGAAAGAGCGTGTCGAAAAGGTCAGTGTCCCTGTGATAAGAGTCTCGCATATGTGACGAGTGTGCCAGATCGTATGATTCGAAGGGGGCGTGCGGTGCGTCACGGCTGAGCCGACGTGACTGGATCGTGGTCGCCATGCTGTGCGAGCGACTGAGCGACTCAGCAGCGTGTGACTCGCTGTCGGCCTGGTTGCGATTGCGATGATTCACCCGAGTCACTGCATCGAGGGGAATGCATCCGAGGGTCTATCTATGTTCTCGGAATGACCGCTAAGTGCAGTGCGGGCGTGAGAAAGCTTCGAGCGTTGCTCAAAGCTGCGATGGAGATGTCAACGATTGCTGAGTGTTGTGATTGAAGTCGAAGTTGCAGTGCAAGAGTGGCTGTCGGAGATGGAGCAGCGACGGTGACAAAGTGATCTTTCAGCTCTTCAAAGATGGTGGTGCAAGTCGGAGAGGGCGAAATAGAATGCCACAAGCACAGCAAAGGGCAGACTGAGATGCGGAAAGAAGGTATCCAAGCGTCGGAAGGCAAATGAGTGAAAAGACGGAAGCAGATGAATGAAGTGGGCGATGGTGGAGAGATGCGCCGCCACTGCAGCGTGAAGGGAGACACGACGGCAAGTGAAGGAAGTGGGCGGGCTGAATACGGTGGCGCAGCAAAAGGACAGAGAGCGGTAAGCGAGAGAGAGGCAGAGAGACAATGACAATGGTAGGGAGGAACGATCGTGGGATGGTGTCAATGGGATGCTTGATTGGTGGAATCGGGGTCAGGCAAATAGCGGCTTCTAAAGTAAGGGGCAGCGAGCGGCAGCATGCAGGGCGCGAGCGCAACTTTTGGATCGCACACAGCATCTTCAAAGGGTCTCTGTAGCTTCATCTGTTGCAATTTCGGCTTTGGGAGCGATCATCGCACCGTGCTCGCACTGACAGACACTCTCTTGCAACTCTGCTTTCGCGATGAAAAGCAGCAACGACTTCCATTTGAACTTGGTCATTGCTCGAAGGTGAGGCAATCCAAGGCAGCAGTTCCACAGACAAGACAAGAATGCTTGAGAGATCACCCTGAAGGTTGGAACAAGGCTTCCGAGCAGGTCGACTTCCTTTCCCACGCTGCTCTTCTCTTCAGAAGAGGTTCTTCGCATAGCAGCATGTACTTGGATGAGCGCTTGCCAGCATGCACACAGGGTTGAACTCAATCGAGATGACTTCACATGGCATGGTTGTGCTGCGATGGCAAAGGCAGCTCGGAGCATGCTTCGAACGCAAGATCATCGTGGCAACCTTGCTTGATGGCGACCAGCCGACAAAGTGACAGCAGAGCACTGCGAGACATTTGAATGCATATGCATGCACGCAAGTCGATTCACCAGGCTTAGAAGAGGAGCGATGGATGGCAGCGCAGAAGAAGATCAACCTTCCTTCGAAAGAAGGAAGAAAAGCAAAAACAAGGGTGCAGCTGACTCTGAAAATCCAAAACACACACAACTCAAACTCAAATCCGACACGCACAGCCAGGCAGAGACGCGCCTCAATGCCAGGTGCTTGTCCTGCAGCCCGAATTGGGCTTGCATGGAAACGCTGCAGCAAAGATCATCACGACCGATCGACAGCAACCATGCTTGCAAACTGCGTTTCGTTCCAACCTTGTCCCGTTGCACTCTGTCGTGGAAGGTTGGCAGCCTTTACTCCGTCCAGTTGCCCGTTCGTCGGATTTGCAAAGGCTGAAAGGGATAGAGCCCAGACTCGAACGGCTCTTGCGACCGAAAAGGGTCTTGCTGATCACGTTGCTGGGAAGAAGGATACAAAAGAAAGCTCAGGGTCTTGGCCGACAATCGGCTCAGCAAGTCAAGTAGGCAGAGGCAGGAACAGCAGCAGCATGCGACGCTTCGACGGTCGGAGACAAGCCGATTGTTGTTGTCTCGGATGGACTTGTTTCTGTGTGGCTTGTCGGATGCGAGGTCAAGCCGAAACAGGCACTGCACCAGTGTGGACCTCAGTTTTTGCAACCGCTTTTCGATGCCCCTTTTTCAGCCTTCCTTTTTCTCAGCTCATGATCGAAAGTCGAGGTGAAACGATGAAGCTCGCTTCTGCCGGTCGTCGATCAGTCACGTCCGAACAGTCATGCAAACTTGACCGGTGTCTGCTGACGTGCAGAATCGGATGCACCGGTCCTGCGGTTCTCTCATGCCAGTCGATAGCGTTTACAGGCTCGCTCCGTCATCAAGTGTTAGGCTCTGCAATTCGACCTTCTTTACACGCTGCCGCTGTCAAACTTCGTCTGTGCGCGAATTGGCGGCCGGACTGGTAATTGTCGTCGATCAAGCAAAGAAGGGCAAAAGTGCAAATGGTGTTCGATGATGGTGGTGTCGAACGATGAGGATTCGGAGCTGTTGGACAGCATCGTAGCTCACTCGAGCTCGCCCTCGTCCTCGTCCTCCTCTTCGACCTCCTCATCGCTGCCGTCCTCCTCGTCCACATCGTCGTCCAGATCGATCTCCTCATCGCCATTGAGCATCTCCTCCAGGTCCTCCAGATCGAGACCTTTCTCCTGAGCTTCCTTCAATGCGCGTTCCAACGCCTTGAGCTCCTCATCTTCTGCTTCCACGTCGACCTCCTCGTCTTCGCTCTCCTCTTCCAGCTCCGCATCGCCGTCCTCGTCGCTGCCGATGACGTCCGCGCCATCCTCCTCTTCCTGCTCTGCGCCCGCGTTCGCGCTCCCTGCAACACCGACAGCAGTCAAGCACGTGAGTCGAGTGCCCTTCGTGTCAAACTGCGCGTTGCTTTCCACCGAGACCACCTGCTCGGCGTATTGCGCGAGCGTGCGCTCCGTTGACGAAAGGCTGTTGACGATGGGGCTGAGGTCAAAGGTGCGAATGAAGCCGTCCGACGAGATCGTGACGGCGACGTACGAGGTCGCCCTTTGCTTGCCCTTTGCAGAGGACACCGAGACGGGCAGGACTGTCACGGAGCGCACTCGGTTCTTGTGCCCGACCAGTCGGCCGACTTCCACGAGCGACGCCAATTCCTCCTCCTCCTCCTCTTCGTCCTCGTCCTCCTCCTTGTCGCTCGCAACAGCCTTGGCCTCCTCCGTAACCGCGGCATCGAGATCGAAAACCTTGACGATGCCATCCTCAAGCCCAGCAAAGAACAACTCTCGCTCCTTGCCCGCCCCATCCTTCACACGGAAGAAGCACACATCGCCGATCCGCCTCTTCTCCTCCAGCTCTGCAACCTTGGTCATGTCCGTCCCGAAGATCATCGCCTGACGATACGCGAGCACCACAAATCTGGCCCCCATCGTATCCCACTTGACCAGATCCGCCTCGATGCCGATCCTCGTCGACGCGGCTGCCTGACCACGCATCAGATCCCACATCCTGATCGTGCGATCTGCCCCCACACTCAACGCCAGCCGCCCCGTCGGATGTGGGGACGCGCTGTTAATCCGACCAATGTGGCCCTTGAGCGTTCGGAGCAGCGCCCAGTCTCTTGTTCGGTAGAGGTTGATGTGCGAATCGGCACTGGTGGTGAGCAGGTAGGTGCGAGAGGCAAAGACGAGCGAGGTGATGGTCCCTTCGTGACCCGTCAGTTGGCCGACTTCGCGTTGCTTGCGGAGGTCCCACACTTTGACGATTTCGTCCGTGCCGCCCGTGGCGAGCCACTTGGAGTCCGAGCCCGCGGTGGCGACGGTGCGGATCGACGAGATGTGCGCCGGGAAGGTGAAGATGGGTTTGAGGGAGATGTTGAACGCGGCGGCGCTGGTGGATGAGGATGCGTCGGCCCCGGCGGTGGTGCTGTCAGAGGAAGGCTCGACCGTCGCCTCGAGACCGTAGAGAAGGCGCTCGTAGGAGCCGGCGACGATTCGGAACGTCGACGTTGGCTGCGGTGGCTTGATGAGAATGGTCGCCGGCTGCTGAGAAGCGCCTTTGCCCGCGACACCCTTGCCCTTCTGCTGCTGGATCTGCTTCTTCCGCAGTTGCTTCTCAGCAGACTCTTCAGCACGACGAGCGGCATTGGCAGCCTCCTTCTCCTTGAGTGCAGCAGCCTTCTTTGCCTGAATGTACTCGTGCTTGGTCTTTGGTTTCGGGTCGTCCTTGGGCCGGGTACGTTGCGGTACGGGCTTCTTGGCGGGCTGAGTCGGTGTTTGCTGGTCAGATCGTTGCTTCTTGGCAGACTTGCGGTAGACGGTAGCAGATGGCCCACTGCCGCCAGCTCGCTGCGAGCCTCCAGCGGCGTCGCTACCTCGTTGTCTCTTTTGTGCTGGCATGTCGACAGGCCACTCTGTTGTGTTGGTCGTGATGGTGAAGAGACAACAGATGAGAAGAAGAGCTTCAGAAGGGTTCTTTCGATTCAGCTCAGTCCTTCGAAATTTTCCAGCCAACTTTTTTCCTTTCTTCCGGATCTCGGTCAGAAAAATTATCATCTAGCGTGCTCAGGCGTCGATCTCACAATCAGGGATAAATTCGCTGCCCGCGCCGACAGCTCATCATGCAGACCAAACCAGGTATTGCTGCGCTTCGGCAGCGTCGTGGGAGAGTAAAGCAGATCGATTACGATGGAGAATGCGACCATGACACACGGACGAGATAATTTGACTAGAAGTACAATGTGAAACGGGCGGTGCAACGAGCAGATGCAAAGAGATCGCAGAGGGGCAAAGGACCGGCGAGAATGCAAAGAGCGAAGACCTGGGAAGCGGTGGATTATGCTGAGAACAGACTGATCAGGGGGACGGTGACCAACAAGCCGGAGCCGGGCGAGACTGATGTGGGAAGCGCGAGACGACAAAGGGTGGAGTGCGTGCCATGCAACGATTCAGAGACTTGGGGTATCAGGACGGTGTAATGCAATCGTCTCGTGCTGATCAGCAAATGACGCAGCAGCAGCCGGGTGTATCCTCGGGCTCGCGATTGCGCGAAGGTGGCCTTGCTTGTGGCGTCGATTTGACGGGTGATTCCTGCTCTACCTTGACCGGCTCTGGCGGTGGTGGAATGGCGCGAATGATGATGTGAACAACGGTGGTTGCGCCAGCCTTGCAGCCTCTTGATGCGAGTGTGGTCTCTGGATTGTCGAGAATGTGGCCAAGATGAAGCAGCCTGAGGTAGGCGACCGACTCGGGTTTGGGCTGCGGCCAGAAGGAGGGCCAGTTCTGCCAGATGTGTGTTCGTACGGTCTCAACAGTGTCCTTGGGGTCAAACTTCCACGACTTGCGCTCTCCTGTAGTGAGAAGCGTGTTGAGGTGGACTGCTGCTGCGGAGGAGAGTGTGCTGCTGGTGGAGGTCTGCTGCGTCGGTGATGCTGTAGGGCTGCGAGTTTCGTGGGCGTCCGCGGTGGACAGTGATAGCTCTTGCTCGATCTTCTTCTCCTTGGGTGTTGACGAGATGGTGGACATGTTGGAGGTTACATAGGTGAGGCGGTTGTCCTCGTGACCGTGCGACGAGCCATTGTCGGTCGAGCAGGTGGAGTTGCGACTCTTTTCTGGAGCGTGCATAGTTGGCGATGTTGTGGACAGGCTTGATGCAGCGTTTGACCGATGATCTTCGTGAAAGACGGGAACGTGTGACGACAAGTAGTTGTTGTGAAGGTATCAAGCCGAAGTATCGTCGAGATGCTGTCAGCGGTCAGTGCTAGCTTGAGGCAGTGTTTTAATGATGCAAGCGATGAGGAAGAAACCCTGAAAGCTGGAGGTGAGATGACGACGGTGAAGATGGTGGTGGGGGGTTGTCAAGGATGAGGTCAATGATGTTCCGATGTTGTACGACGAGGCAAGAGAGGCGGACCTCGAAGCAAACAAGACGGATAAGCAAAGGTTGATGCAGGCGTAAGCGGTGCTGCGGACACACTGTTCCCGGAGCGAGACAGGAAGGGCTCAGACGGGATTGAGCAGAACACGGAAGGAAGGTGCCAAGGGAAAAGGGAGAGACCGGCCAAGAGAGAAGCGAGAGGGAAGCGGCTGCCAAGTTGACCGCTGCAGGAGCGGCAGGCGTGATACAAGACGGGGCGGCGCGGCGCATGGAGTCGAGTGCTTGCATGCATGAAAATGACGGCGTGGGCCCATTTGCTCTGGCCCGTCCAGAGAAACAGGCTCAGACTGGTGGGAATCGAGACCGTTTCTGTTGCAAGCCAGGTCTCCCCTCCAGAGCCACACCCTACCTACCGCGCTGGATTAAATTTAGCTCATCCGAAGCCGTCACAGCTGTGCTTCGTCAGATCACGAAAATCGGCGGACCCTTCTGCCGAGAGGGAGTCACAATCACGGCTGCGTAATCGATCACTTCAAGCAAAGCAACGCGCAATGGCCTCGACTCGCAGGCCGTACTGTATGCAGGGTTCTGTGGTGGAGAGAAGGGCAAGCTCGCGTGACGCTGGGCCCCGTATCTACCCGCACCTCGGCCCTGTCAGCCCGCCATTGTTTTACTGCAGCCGCTTCCCGGGCTCAGCAGAATCGTTTGAGTCCGAGTATGTGTCCGTCACACCGAGTGAATTGATGGCAGAACACATCGTGAGCACTATCTTGGAAGCAAGTCAACGTCATTGCGGTGCTGGCACTCTGCTACTCCGTAGATTGCAAGGTCGGAGCTAGAAGCGCAACAGTGGGTCAAGCGCCAAATTGAGCCGATAAGCTCGGCGGATCCTCAAGCGCAATTCCGAGCCCAAAAGTGGCCCTGTCGATCGGCCCTGCAAATAGATTCATGAACAGCATCTTCGGATGTCATACTCACCGTTGTGCTGCAAGCCTCTTGTTCGCCTTTTACGAGCGGATGACTTCGGAATGCAAATGAGCTGCACCGCCAAGCATTGTCACGTTGAGCTGCTGCTTGTGGCTCTGAGGTCGCGTGGTCTCTTTTACACGGCTCAGCGCCTCAATCGCGGTGCCAAGCCTTTCGCTGTTTCAACGTGGTCGCCGCTCTCCACCGTGGCACGGTGCCAAGACTTGATCGTTCCTGTCCCTTTCCTCGCTTTCCGACCCGACGGTGGTCACTTTCTTACCCCGCAATGCACCTCGCAGCAGGCATGCTGTCGGGTCGCTGTAATCCCGCCGATCTCTCATCGGGTAGATCCCAGATTGCAATCACTACCGATTCATTTCTCAAGTTGCTAGGCCGCCTTCAATTTAGTGCGAATTCGAGCTGAAACCGCGATAGCGACATGCAATGCTTCGATACATCAAGTGATCGATCAGTTGGCGAGATACTTGCCTTGGGAAGCAAGGTCGTTCGAGACGAATGCAGCATAGCTCCAAGTTAGATCGCGAGCTCCTTGGTTGAAGCCATTGTTGCGGTTGAACTCCTCGTTGAGCGAGCCGTTTTGCCAAGCGTGCGAGTTGACGATGTTGACAAAGCCATTTGCCATCGCCTTCATTCCGCTTGTCAGCGTGCTGAATTGGTTCGAGCTGGAGCTGTACGTTCCAGTGGAGGTGGAGGAGGAGAATTGCTGGAAGAAGGGCAGCGAGGTCGAAGTGACCGAGAGACTGCCGCGTGCATTGGCGACCGAGACAGCCGTGTTGAGCACCTCCGCAGCGGCGAGCGTGCAGATGTACCACGGGTTGCCCTGCGAGGTTCCGTCGCCGTCGTACACGTCCGATGGGTAGCGGCCTACGCCTACAGCGTTGGGAGCAGCCGCGTTGTTGTTGATCGCGTACAGTGAGCGGAAGGAATCGACATACTTCTTGTGCGTTGCCAGCACTTTGTCCGAGGCAACACCAAACACGGTTGCGTTGACTGCGGCAGCATTATCCGTCGTGTCCCAACCCTTCAGCGCGCCAAGCATGACGGAGCAATCGATGCCGTTACGCCCGGAGACACCCTGATAGGCCTGAATGAAGCCATTGGACGAGTCCCAGAAGCTCTGGAGCTTTGACAGGATGGCCGCGGCTTGCTGATTGTAGTAGGACGCAGCGCCAGGATCGTTCATTGCACCAGCGAACTTGGCACCGTCAATAAGACTTCGATACTGCACGATCAACGTGAAGAAGTGACTGCCCTGAACTTCTTCCCACAAATCGAAGCTCGAGGCTTGCCAGTTGTGCGAAACGAACTCGAGATCCGTCTTGATTAGGCTACCGGCACTCAGGTCGCTCTTGTATAGTGTTCCGGTCGTGAAAGCGTCATTGAGTCCAATCCTTTTGGCGAAAGCCATCAAGGTGGAGGCGCGCAGGGCGGGGCCGTCATTCTGAGGCCTACCCCACGGGCCAGTGAAGAGGGCGCCGTCAACATTGAACTTGGGCTCTCCCTGACTAGAGCTCGAGCTCGCAGCGTTCTGCTGGTGGACCTTCTCGGCGTTGGCATAGTTGGTCATCAGCGTGCGGTCCAGGGTTGGCTGGGACACCACTATCTTTGCGGTGAGGGCAGCGTCCCGGATCCAAGAGTAGAAGTAGTTTGGCGTGGCCGTGGAAGGCGATGCGATGACGCTACCGGTGAGCACGTTTGGTACTTGGTTGCCTCCAGCGGTGGACGAAGCGCCTCCGATGTTGGCAATCATGCGCTGGTAGGCGTACGAAGAGGTGACAGCACGCGGCATGAGGCGGCTAGCAGCTTTCTCCAGGCCGATCAACGATCTGGCCACGGAGGCAGCGTCAGCGTTGGTGCTGAAGGCGCACAGGCAGAGAAGCACGAGGCAGAGACCTGCGCTGCCCAGCAGGGCGATGGGCTTGGAGCGTCGTTCGGAAGTCTTGGCCATTTCGAGATCGATCTTGTCAGAGGAGGAGTAGGCTGAATGCGTTGATGACGAGGAAAGCAGAGGTGTCGATTCATGGCTCGCTTTTATGCTTTCAAGGCCAGCCATGATGGGCAGGCCCCTCTCGCAACGAGGACCTGGAAGAAGGTCGAAATTGTGGTCTCGCTAAGCATGCACACTCTCAAGCCGGTGGGCCGTGCTGCTAATCCTCCTGTAGGCTCGAGGGAAAGCCGAGAGGGTCGCCAAATGAGCTTGCTAGGCGAGCTCGTCTAGCACGGACATGAGCGAGATGTCAAATGATGGTCGGACGAACACAAGCGTCTCGAGAAGGCTTAAGCGTGGAGGTCGTGCACCACAAAGTACGCTAAGGGTTCCAACTCCGCCTGACGCTGTCAAGAGTTCCACCGAGCCGGCCCTGCGGCTGCATCCACCCCGCACGACCACCATTTGACCCGGCGCGCCTCCTCCTTTTTCGGCAATGTAAAATTCCAAGCTGGCACGCAGTTCGCCAGTTGTCAAGAAACGCAACTGCATTTGGCGGCACGATGACCAAACACAACACCGGCCGAGCATTTGACTCAAGCATGGCCAGTGACGCCCTCTATGAGCATGTCTGATGGCACGGGCAGTGCGACATCGGGCAAGTCAAGCCAGAAGCGAATCAAAGTGAGCCGTAGGAATCTCCTTGAGCTAGCGCCGCGGGGTGAGCAACTCCGCAACTCGCCAAACGAAGCACTGCTGCATCGGCAATCGCTTCGAGACGACCGTGCATGGTTTCGAAATCGGAACGACGATGCCTGTCACGGCCTCCTGTTGCTGACCACCGGCACACGCCGTTCCGAACTGCTGGAGACCCCGCAACATCCAGATCTCGGAGAGATTCAATTATTCCGCGGCTTCGTGCTCACCGTCGGTGGAGATGCTCTCCCTCATATAGCGCACGCTCGCTCTCGGCGGAACTCTGTCAACCTCATCTGGCCCGCTTGCAGCCGTCGAGCGTTGCTCATCCATTGTATCAATTCCCGCGCCACACCAAAGCTTGTTGCAGTCTCGTTGTCAATCTTGGATCTCATTGTTTAGCAAGTTCGTTCTCGAGCTCCGACTATCATTCCATATCAGGCAATGTTGATACTTCGACGTCGTTTCCCTGAGAAGGCCGTGCCACGAACCTTCCGGCAATCTCTGATGTCGAACGTCTCAGAGCACCTCACTCATTGGCTGGCGAGCACTTCCCCGGGCGCACGATGGCCAACCGTGGAAGAGGGGAACTAAATTTCGTGGATGCGTGTACAAGTCCTTCACCTGGCGGCCCTAGCAGCTGCTGCGGCGTGAGCGTCCTGCCGATTAATCCGTTCGATCTCCTTCCACGGCCGGTCGTCCATCATCCAGTACACGAACGGCCCATTGGGGCTCTCCTCTTCATGCAAAGCATCCGTCCAGATGCCAAAGATGGGCGCTCGAGTGCCAGGCGGTCCAGGCTGAATGCCTTCCAGCTGCCATCGATCCTCGCCTTCGTAGACGTGCGTCAACGACCAATGCAAGCCTTCGATCTTCTTCTTGCCCCGAGGACCCTTGGACATGACCTCATCGATATCCTCCTCCCGAGCATAGACTGGGCGGACCTTGCCATGGACCCCGCCACGCGGCATCGGCGCTTCGTTGCCCCAGTAGGTGACCGTCGTTCCGCGGAAGAAGAGTGTTGGGTAGTCGTCATCATCGTCCTGTCCCTCCTCGTTCTTGTTGTACTCCGGCTGTTGCGACTTGGGCAGCAGCTCGAGACGCAGCTGCAGGCAATCGCCCACGGCCTCTTCCTGGCCGACGAGATTCGGCTTCGGTACCTCGTTGTTGTGACCGTTGTGAGACGATCCTTTGCCGTTGCTCGAGTCCTTCTGAGCCTGAGAGTTCGTGATGGCCTGCCTGCGTCGTCGCGCCATGCGTACGTTGAAATCGACAAAGTGCGAGTAGTCGAGGAAGGCGTACGTTCCAGCCCAGAAGCTCTCGCACCGTGCCCAGTCGTGTGGCTTCTCGTCGTCTTGTTCTTTGGTCCTTGGCGGCGAGCGAGGCGGACTGCCGGGTGGTCCAGCCGTCTCGACGTTGAGCTTGGAATGCAGTGGCACGGGCAGCGACGAGATCCAGCCGGTGGGAAATTCGAGGAACTCGCGCTTCTCCATTGGATCGCGGACCAGCAGGCCCGAGTCGTCAAAGACCTTTGGAATCTTGATGCCTACGCCCCAGTTTTCTAGCCAGATGGCCTCCTTCAAGTTGGCGTACATAACAAGCATGATGGCCTCGACGAGCTCCCAGTGAATAGCCTTGGGCCGCAAGCACATCTTTCGCTCCTCGGGCTCGACATGCTTCTGATCTTCGTCGGCTTGCTCCACAAGCTGCTTGACCTCGTCGTCCGCTCGACAGCCGCGGTAGCCCTCTGCTGCCTCCATGGGCCGGAACGTACCGAAGAATGGCGGCCGGAAGAGGTCGTCCATGTCGTCAGCACCATCCTCGTCGTCCCAGTCTTCGGCATCTTCGTCGTAGTCATCGTCTTCCTCCTCTTCGTCCTCTTCCTCTTCACCGGTGTTTCCTGCGGCAGACCTGGGGTAGCCGCTGGTGACGCGCATGGTCTGAGCGGGCAGGCCTGGTCGAATGAAGCGAAGATTGAGCTCGCCAGCGGCGACAAAGTCGACCGTGTCTCCGACGGTGACCTGGATGTTGTCGCTGCCTGTACGAATCCCGACAGGCAAGCTGCCCTCGTACGTGTATGTTCGCGTTTCTTCATCGTAGGTTCCCAGATCAGGGGGCTGATCGAGTGCGCGGTCAGTGCGGGTGGCCGACGAGCCGATCAGCACTGCTGTATCTGGGTTGTAGGGTGTTGGTTCGTGCGGCGTGTCCCAACCCTCGGCGCCGGACTGCTCATTGTCTTGTTCGGGGCTGACCGGATTGCCAAATCGATCTGCCACCTGGAAGGTTCGGCTGCTGCCGCCGACTCTGCCGACTTCGATCTCGATGGGCACCGGGTCGTCAGGAATCTCGTCGTCGCTTAGGCCGGCGGCTTCACGGAATGCATCGTCGTCGCCATCCTGACTTCCGTGGCCCATCACGGCATCCGTCATGTCGACGTCATCATCTTCCTCCTCGTTTTCTTCCTCGATGTGTGCTTCTGGTTGGGCAGGTCGACGCCATGCGTGGAGAGGGCCGTAGCCATTGGACCAGCCATAGTAGCCGGCATCGTAGACGCGATGCCTCATGCGGGCGCGGACCTCATCCTCCTCGTCTGGCGCGTTGCAGAAGCCAAAGCTGGGACCGAAGGTACGAGGCCGATACCGGAGGATAGCAGCAGGTGGCTCGTCGAAGCTCTCGTCATCATCGTCGTCATCACCCTCTTCGTCTGCGGCTTCTTGCTCGCGCCCTCTCGTATCCGCTGTTTGCGCCGCCGCGTCGGTCTCCTGTCCGTGCGTTCCGGACTGCTCTGCTTCTTGTGATCGCTCTGTGCTGGCCGATGCCTCCTGCGCCGATGCTTGCGCTGCACCTTCGTTCGCTAGACCATCCTGTTGACGTTGACCTGGGATCTCTTGAGGGCTCTCGGTAAGACGCGACTTTTGTGAGTCCTTCCAGGCTCGGATACCGTAGAGACAATGGATACGGGCAGCGAGTCGCATCTGCGGCTGCGCAATCTCGTCAATGTCGATGCCCTGATCCACAAGACCGTGCAGAGACTCCGGATACATGAGTTTGAGGAGGCGTGCGGATCTTCTGCGTCCGGTGTCGGGTCGTTCACTGTTGTTCCTGGACGAGGACTTGCGGCGTGAGGGGCCAGCTGATGCTGAAGCTGAGGAGGGACCGCCGTCATCTTGCTGCTTTTCAGTTGAGCGTGATGCGCTAGAGAGTCGACGACGTTTGGAGTCCTGCTGAGATTTCGGTTGATTGGCCGCGGCTTGTGCGGATTCGATCTTGTATTCATCCAGGTTGTGCAACATGGACCGAGGAAACACCCATTCCGCCCATGTGTTCTGACCAGAAGAGAGAATCGAATCGCTGAGCCATATTGTGTTGAGACACTCGCGTGGTGTATCTGTTGGTGCCGATGTGTCGATGACGGATAAGAGCGCGGTGATAACGGCGTTGAAGTTGAGCGAGATGGGACCGCTGTTGGTTGGATCTGAGCCGTACAGACGGGCTGCACGATCCCTGAGCTGGACAAGCGACATGACGGAAGAGGCAGCGCTCTTCGTCGGTGTGTGTGCTACGGAGGACGAGGTCTGTGATGCTGATGAGCTGGATGAGCGCGCTTTCTGCTCGTTCTCCTCCTCGTGTTGTTCCAGGAGCTGCTGCAATGAACTATCGTTGCCCGCGTCCCAGAGGCTGGGGAAGTCGTCGAAGCGCTGCAAGTAGAGCTGTTTCCACAGGTGCATGTCTCCTATTCGAGATTCGCCGTAGACATGTTCGCGGGCGAGTTTGCATGTTTGTGAGAAGTGCTCGATGCACAAGGGTGGTAACGAGAGTAGGATGGCGTGAATGAGCTCGGTGGGAAGAGAGAGTATGCCAGCGCGACCGAGCTCGCTTGTGTCGCCGTCCTGCATCTCGTTCATGATGGCGATGGGGACCTCGAGAGATGATGGTGGTAGAAAGAGAGAGAGAGGGGGAGTACGGTGGGAGAAGGTCAAGGTGACGGCCGCCGATCCCTGCAAGTGCGCAGCCGACAGACAGACCCTGAATGACTATTTCCACGGATGAAATGAATCAGCCGCGCAGCTTCTTCACGGCAGCTCCGTGCGCGCACCGTTCCGACTCAGATGGACCCTGTGCCGTCGGATCAATTTTTGAGATTGTTACATCGCCTGGGCTGCTCTGTGAGCGGAAAACACCCGGCATTCCGGTCCAAACGGTCTGATGACGCCGGTCCACGAACACGCACGTCCCCCGCACTTTTGAACAGCCGCCTCGTATGTACAAGGATCTAGTAAGCGCTATACTCTCCTCTTCGCCTTCCTTCTTCACGAGCTACTCCAGAGCATCCACAATCACGATGTTAGACGTCAAAGCTTCCCGCTTCTATACTACGCCGCTCACCACGCCGCCTTCCAAGCTGGACGCCACGCCGACACAGCGCCGCTACCATTACCTCGACTACCGTCCTCCTGCCGGCGTTCCAGAGATTGCCACCGTGCTGCTTCTGCATGGTTTTCCTGACACCTCTTCCGGCTGGCGCAGCGTCATCGCTCCGCTGAAGCTCGCTGGTTATCGACTGATCATCCCTGACCTTCTCGGATACGGTCTCACCTCCGCACCACCCACCTCAACTGCCTCTGCCCCTGCTGGGACCCAGCCACGCCTCGCAGAATACGGTGGCAGGGCCATCTCGATCGATCTCGATGGTCTTTTGGATCACGCTCAAGCTGCCAAGGGCTCCGAGTATGGTGCCGAGAAACTGACGTCCGATGGCAAGAAGGGCCGCGTCATTGTGCTCTGCCATGACTGGGGATCTTGGCTCGGCTGGAGATTTGCCCAGTGGTACCCCGACCGAGTCATGGGCGTCTGTGGCCTCTGCGTTCCATTCCAGGCCCCGACGTCAAAGGTGATCCCCATCGACTCGGTCATCAAGAACGTCCCCTCGTTTGGCTACCAAAAGTTCTTTTCCGAAGAGAGGAGCACCAAGATTATCGAACAGCACCTCGACCGCTTCCTCGCCATCATCTACATGATCCCTGGCCTCTTCTCGGCTGACTCTGCCAACGAGGAGGAGATCCGAGACTGGCATTTGCTCGGCAAGCTGGAGAGGCTGCTCACGATGCCCGAGTTTGGCGACATCCCACTCAAGTACCTCGGACGAAGCATTCTCGACAAGGAACAGCTCGAGGAGTACATCACCATGTTCCGCAGCCGCGGTATGGAGGGTCCGCTCAGCTGGTACAGGACTCGCGAGATCAACTGGCAAGAAGATCGCGAGTTGGCGTCCAAGACGCTGCCGGCGTCTTTGCCAGCATTGCTCATCTCGCCAAAAGACGACGTCGCCGTGCCCCCTGCGTTGGGAAGGACGATGAAGAAGCACGTGCCCCAGGTAGAGATCATCGAAGTCGCCGGCAGCGGGCACTGGGTGCAGAACGAGACGCCTGGGATCGTCATCTCAGAGTTCAAGCAGTGGGTGGAGCGAAGCGTTTTGCCCAACGAGAAGAAGGGCGGAGTGATCGGCTGGATCAAGAGTAAGCTTTGATGCGGATGGTATGGACTACGTTGGATCATTATGACTGGAAGTTGCTAGTGATACATATGTCAGATGCGCGAGTGTATTGAGTTGCGTGAGGTATCACAGTTCGATATGAGAAGTAGACGCAGCAGGATCGTTGGTAGCAGACCAATCGTCAAAGTCACCCGGCTGCCCCGAGTCGCCCTTCCACCCCCTTTCGCTGCTTGACGAGCGTCCTCTGCCCCAATTCCAGTTGGCCACCGCTCTCGCTGTATCGCCTGCCCATCCGACACCCGTAATGCCCAGCGCTGGAGCCACGACGACTCTCGCAAAGATTTCGCCGAATCCGAGCATGACCCCGTTGAGGAAGGGCAGACCGAGGTTGATGAAGAGCGATCCTGAGATCAGTGCCATCCGCCGTGAAAGCGGAATGGAAGAGTACGGGTTAAATGCGGCCAACGTGAGCGATCCTGTTGGAGGGTAGATCGGTTTCGACTCTCCCTCTTCCTCCTCGTCGTCCTCGGAATCGTCATCGTCCGAATCGTGTTTTGGGCCCTCCAGCTCCGATGGTGCATCTCCATCCTTTTCGTCAATGCGGTCTTGTTCTGCGGAAGAGCGCTTGTCCTTGTGACGTGGGAAGAGCCTTGGCATTCCTGTTGCGGAGACGGTAGGATACGCTTCGTTGTCGCCGGTCGCTGAAGTGCGCGGCGTGTGCTTTTCGTCGTCGGATGACATAATGACGGCGGATCACTTGGGAAGATCAAGGACAGAGATGATGCTGTTGGCGAGTGGATCGTGCGTCTGGTCGTCGGGTGTGGCCAGGGACGACGCGGACGATGAGGATGTGATGATGGGCCGATGGATGGGCTGCAGACGAGGCTTGACCTGTGCGGGTCGAGGCGATTCGTTCTCTACCTTGAGCTGAGGTGCGTCCGAGGAAGTGCTTGATGTTTGTGCTGTGTCGTTCAGGGGCGAGGTCTGCATGCTGCGATGCTGAGCAGGTATGATGGTAGCGGAAAGGGGGAGCAAGCCATCAAGGGTCCAAGCACACCCTTTCAGCTTGGCGAGCAGCGCCAAAGACCGCGCGGATCCGATCTGCTCAAGTGGAGGCGATTTTTCTGAAGTGTTAGGTCAGTCCTACACGCTGCAGGGCGCGTCGTTAATCAACACTAGAAAGCAACACTTTTCATTTAGGACCTTGGTACCTCCCACCATCATCAACATTCTTCGCGAGCTGGCTCGATCCCCTCTTTCCACGGTCATGGTGCCACAAGACGCTGCCTCCAGCCCAGGCTTCCCCTATCAAAGTCCGAGGCCGCGACAAGTGTCCAAGTTGGCCGTCGCTGGGCCTTCCGGAAGCCGAACCGCTCCTCACTCTCCGCATACGCCCGGTAGCCAAATCGTCCAGCCCTTCACGCCAGGCAACTTCAACCCGGACGGAAGCCTCAGTGTCGTCCGCAACGACGACGATGCCAACAACAGTGGACTGCTCGACTTGAGTCCTGCTCTTTCTCGCGTGCTCAAGACAAGACCCAACTTTGGTGGCTCTCCTTCTTCAAAACGACAGCGCGTCTCTTCTTTTCCGCACCACAAGCTCGGCTCGATCGTAGATGATGAGGAATCAAGCGGACCGGATATTTTGCCTCAGCCGCCAAAGCGACGCTTGCCTGCCAAATCTCGACTCAGCAACCATGCCACGTTTCCGGAGGTGGTGCAGTCCTCCCAGCCGACAGAAGACTACCTGCATTCCGACCCTCTATCAGCGAATGGGTTTGCTGTCTCCTCCGATGTTGAGTCCCAAAGTCACAGGGACGCAGCGTCGACCTCACGATTGAAACAGGCTCATGAAGCTGGAATTGCCCTAGACGCAGGATTGGAAGGAGAAGAGGTCTTACTCGAAGAGGAGGAAACACCCTCGACATTGAGCCGTCTTCGCAGATGGCGACAAGATGCAATGCAGCAGCATATCTACGACACTGCCATCTTTTGGGGCACTAAGATATTGGCGCTAGAAACGACAGAGACCGCGTTCAACGACGCCTACCATCTGGCGCAGTGCTACTTCTACACACATCAATACGCTCGAGCGGAACAACTGCTCACGTCTCCACTTCGGTACGGCGCATCCCGCTCCTCACAATCGACGCGTCTCAATGGTACAGCAACACATACAGAAAGAGCACCATCGGCAGCAAAGCACACTGGTGCTGAAGGCTTTCTGGCATCCGAGAACATCCAAGATGACGACGATGCATTGCACGAGGTCCTACAGCAAACGCGATCCTCTTCCATTCTACCAGCTAGCATCATGGCTCGATCAACAACGAAAGACAGCATGTACTCCGGCACCTCTTCTACGACTGGCAAACGGAAGAAGCGCGACTTCAAAGTCACAGCTACGGGCACTGGCTCGTCCGAAACCGATAGCAGCGGCAGAGATGCCGATTCCGACGACGAGTTCCTCCGAGATGCATCCGCCAATGGCCGCGATAGCTCTGTGATTCTTAGCGATCCATCGGATCCTCGCTCTTCTCCACCAGCGTCGCGTCACACCGAAAGACCATCTGCCTCAAAGCCGAATTCCAAAACCGGCATCGACCTGCAAGCCGACGTGGACGAAGTGAGGAACAGCACCCTCGCGCCCGCCCACGGTACCGTTCTGGTCAATCACAGTGTCGCCTGTCGCTACCTCGCCGCCCAGTGTCAAGTGCGCCTGGCCAAATACCACGAGGCGCTCGAGCTGCTCGGCGAAACGGAACATTGGGGCACGTCGACGAGCAACAAGCGTCCCGCGAGCGACGGCGGCATCAAGCTCGGCTCTTCCGTCGCCTACCTTCGTGGCCAGATCTACTTGCGCCTCGAAGACGTGCCCCGGGCGCGCGACGCCTTCATGGCTGCCCTTGCGCTCGACGTCAAGAATTACGAGGCCTTCTCCGCGCTCATCGACGGTGAGATGCTCGGGACGGAAGAGCAGTGGAACTTCGTTCAGAGTCTTGAGTACGCTGCTCAGGCGGGGGACGAGCCTGGGGCGGTGGAGGACTATGAGATGGTTCGACTGCTGTATACGACGCAGCTATCCAAACAGGGACGAGGGCTGGTCGAGACGACAGCGGTGGCGCGGCGACGTCTGGCGGATGAATTCGGTCTCTCCGACGATCCAGATGTGCTCCACGGTCTAGCCTCGGAACTGTTCTCGCGCCTTCGATTTGCAGACGCCTTCGTGGTGACATCGCGCATCCTCGAGTTGGCAGCGGATCATCCCGCGACGCTGCCCATCCACATCGCCTGCACGTACCATCTCAAAAACCTGCGTCCAGCGCTGTTCATGCTGGCACATCGATTGACGGAGCTGCAGCCGGAATCGCCCATTTCGTGGTACGCCGTGGGGACGTGGTACACCACCACTCGACGATGGGTCGAAGCGCGACGTTACTTTAGCAAGGCTTCGCTGTTGGACCCGAGGTTTGCGCCTGGGTGGATCGCCTATGGTCACACATTCGCACTGGAGGGGGAGAGCGACCAGGCGATCATCGCCTATTCGACGGCTGCGCGTCTCTTTCCGCAGAGCCACCTACCCAAGCTATTCGTGGGCATGGAGCATTTGCACCAGGACAACTTGTCTCTTGCGCGGCTGTCGCTCGAGGGGTCCGCAGCGATCTGGTCCGAGGATCCGCTGTTGGCCAACGAGCGAGGCATCGTCGCGTTTGAAACGGGCGACCTGGATGCGGCGAGTGGGTTCTTTTCAACAGCGATCGAGCTGGCCGCTGCCACGCAGCATCCGGCATCCAGCTGGACAGCGAGCTACCTCAATCTCGGCCTCACACTCATGCGTCTCGGCCAGGACGCCAAAGCCACCTCGGCGTTTCAAAGCGTGGTAGAGCTCGATCCGCATAGCTACCAAGCACATCTTTGCTTGGGCATGATCGCACACAAGCGCGACGAGCTGGACGATGCGATCCAGCACTACCACGAGGCGCTCTCGATCCAACCGCGGGACGTGTACGCCACCGAACTGCTGGATTTCGTGTTGGAGGAGAAGGTGCATTACGGCGTGAACAGGTTCGTCAAGTACGATCCGAGTGGCAGGTTGAGCAAGGGCAAGGGGAAGGGGAGGATGGTCGAAGCGGAAGAGAGGAGAGGATTGGAGGTGATTCCGGAAGCTGCGTCGCCTTCATTGCGCTCTGTCCAGCAGAGCTTTCGACAGGATGTGAGCTTGGGACAGTCGATCAGCTCGTCACGCCCAAGGTACGCGGCGAGCCTTTTCCCGCCGGCAGGGCTTCCAGATGCGTCCGCCGTGTCGGGAGGCGACATGAGCATGGACCATTCGCGGTCGGAGCAAGACCTCTCGAGGCAGGATCAGAGCAGTGTGCTCATGGACGAGTCCACGTCCTAATCCTCACCCTCTTACTTCACTGTATCCCTAGCTCACACGCAGAAACCCAAACCAGACCAAGCGGAAACATCCGACCCTACATCATCAAAAGCGTGCTATCATTGCGACATTCTACATCTCAGTTCCTCACCACATCACCCACTTTCCCCTCCCTGCTCCTATCCACCAGACTCTTGAACTGCTCAAAGAACAAAAACAGCAGCGTGGTCTGAGGCTGCAGTCGCAACCACGCCGGTGTCCAACCTCGGAAGAACACCGTTGGTCCATCCTTAGCAATGGCATCCCGAATCACTCCTGCAACGCTCGCGTTGCCCGCGCCCTTCTTGAGGTTCTGCACTCGGCTCTTGACGACATCGATTGGGGTGCAGAGCGTCGTACTCAGCGTGCCTGCGCAGAAGGAGGCGGCGGTTTGCAGCACCGGTCCGTCGGGCACCACGTCGAGCTTTTGCAGAATCCCCTTGAACAGATCGTATGAACCGAGTTGGGAGATGTTCATGACAACAGAGCGGAAGACGTTGGGTGAGAGGCCGCGGAAGAGGGTGGCAGCGCCGTCGTCACGGACGATGCGGACAAGGCCATCGATGCAGTTCTTATACCCGTAGCGGGCGTCTTTGGGGAGGTTGAGGTCGGAACACATGCGAACGAGGACGATCTCCGCTGGATTGCCTACCACACCAGCCACCGCACCGGCGGTACCGGAACACAGAGCCAGTTCACCCGTCGTAGGCGCCGCTCCCGATCGAGCGGTGACGCGCGACTTCATATCTTCGTACACCGCAAAGCGCGTCACTGAGTACGTGAATTGACGGAGGAGCGTGGCGGTGAGACCGTGCCAGAGAGACGTGATGCCTTCCGAACGGACCGAGAGGAGGATGGTGCGGAACATGCCTTGTTTGACCGTGGCCGTTTGGAGACGGTACTTGGTGAGGTCGAGGGGGTGGGTGATGGAGGCTGCGCAACAACCGGCCGCGCCACCGAGCCAAAAGGGGTACGTCTTGGGGGTGGTCCTGTTAGTGGAGCCGGCGGCGGCGCCAACGCCTGCGCCGGTGAGGGCGCCTTTGGCCGCATTGAAGGTGCCCGCGTTGGCGGAAGAGGTGGGCATGCGGAGCGTCGACATTGCGGGAGAGAAGGTCTATGTGCTTGCAGTAGGAACGACAATGACTGCAGGGGGATGCGATGATGTCAAGGCAAGGTCGTCGACGGTTGAGGGGATGGATGGCGAAGGTGCTGTTAGGAGAAGAAGAAGGTGTGCGGAAGGAGGGACGCGCTTTTAAGAGGGGGCGCGGGGCTGTTGCTTCCGAGACCGTGCGGCGTATGCGACCGAGAAGCAGGCTCAAGGGAAGATCCGGAAGGGCGAGGCACAATGAATCAGGATCGGCGCAAGCTCTCAGTCGGGATTCCCGAAACACCAGAGGTAGGCAAAGGCGTGACGGTGCCGCTGTCTCCGAGAGAGGCGTGGGAAAGCACATTCGTCGCCTTGACCAGCGCATTCATCTGAGGTCTTTTGACGGATGCCCCGAACAACAGGCTGCTCCTAGCTCTGCCTCTCTCTACGCTCAAGAAACACGCCTGCTGTTCCCACATTTACTCAGCACGATGTGTTTACGAGTCACATCACATGTGTCAAGATGACAAGAAAGGCTCTTTTCCGAGTCTCACTTCCCTCGCTCCCGTCACAATCACAAGCAGGCTCGCCGTCGGCGAACGAAGAGGTGGTCCTGCACCGCAAACATCGATTCGCCATTCTCCGTGATGGGGTGCTTTTACGCTCCTGCACCGCAGTCTACGAGCGCGTGACCCCGTCGCTGCCAGCCAGCCGGCTCGTGTGGCTGGCGTTATCGGAAAGCACGAGCCACCGGACAATGGCGCTTAGCTGTTTCACTGGCAGAGTGCCTGATGATAAGGCGAGCTAGATTTCTTGACCTGCAGCAGCGCGCAGCAGAAATGCGGGGTAAACCAGGGTCCTGTGCCTCGCGGTCAGGCCAGCTGCAGGGTCCTGTATCACCGATTTTGAGTCGAAGGCATATCGCGATTGCATTTCAGGTCAGGATTTGACGGGAGACTCGAACATCAACGCCAATATATACGTCGGAAGGCGTTGAGATGGGTCGGAAAGATCCGATCTCATCATGACAAAGGTTGCTCATCGTCACCCTTGGCTTTATCGATCCGTCGAAATGGCGGCGGAAGGTGCGAACGATGGAGGACTGACTTGAGTGTAAAGCCGGGTGCTCCGTCGCCCGGTCAACACGGCAGATCCGTATATCACGGCAGCAGAGGATGTCATCACCCGACGGACAGCTCCGAGGACTCGGAAGGATGAATGGAGTCTATGAATTGCTCATGCGGGCGGACAGCGACGTAGGCGATCTAAAGCTAGCAATCTGACAGCATTGAAAAGCCAGGCGTTTCGCTACAACTCGGCGTCCATCTCGGCTTCCTTGCCCTGCTCTTCCCTCAGTCCCAAGGCGCCGAGCAGGTTGTTCATCGTCATATCCGCCATCGCCTGTCTCGTCTCGGTCGTGCCACTACCAATGTGAGGCAGCAGCGCGACCTTGTCCCGCACGTCGGCCGATAGCAGCGGGTGATCCGCGTGGATGCCTGTGCGTGGAATTCGCCGATCAACACAGATTTAAGGTTAGGACGCGGAATAGACGGATGAACGGAGACTGCGGACAACTTGACCGCTCTTTCGTCGAGACGATCCGCAACGGCGAGCGGAACTTGCCGTAACGAGGGTCTTTCCGAACGGAGGTACTCACCTGGCTCTCCTTCGACAACGTCGAGTCCAGCACCGGCGATCTGGTTGTTGCGAAGCGCTTCGACGAGGGCGGCTGTGTCGACAGTGCCGCCGCGCGAGGCATTGATGATGTATGCTGAGGGTCTGTTGTTAACGACAGGGTCCAGAGTTGATGGAATGATCCGGTTCAAAGCGACAGGAAGGAAAGAGCTTGGTTGTCAGTATCGCCCACTGGCGTGCTCCCAATCTCTGATCGTATACCCACTTCATCGCTTCGAGGAACTTCTTGCCTACGATATGCTTTGTGCTGGCATTCAGATCGACCAGCACAAACACCAAATCCGCCTTTTTCGCCAGCTCAATCGGCTCCGGCTCGTTCTCGACCCCAATCCTGTCCACCGGGAAACCGTCCCTCATCAATGAGGCAAAGTACTTGTCCTCCCTGTCGAATTTCCTCTCCCTCGATGTGGTGTACAGTATCCTCTTGGGCTTGAACGGCACCAGCAGCTTGCACAGCGACTGACTGATGTTGCCAAAGCCCAACAACCCCACTGTCTTGCCAGCTATACTTGGGCCCATGAAGCACGTCGGGGTCCAGGGGAAGTTGGGCCATTCTCCCTCTCGCACCGTCCGCGTCGCGACCGGCACCTGCCGCGTCACCATCAGCGCGAGAAGCAGACACACTTCCGCCACCGCATCGTCGAGTACGCGAGGTGTGTTGCCGACGCAGATCCCGCGCGACTTGACCAGAGGCAGGTCAATGTGGTCGTACCCCACACTCATGGTCGAGATCACCTTGAGCGAGGGGCCGGCAGCGTCGAGGAAGGAGGCGTCTACTTTCTCGCTGAGACAAATGACCGCTCCAGCACAGCCAGGGAGATTTGAGAGTACCCACGAGCGCGAGGGCGCCCGCTCGCCATCGGACTCGGGCTGCGTGATGAGTTCGACCTTGCCCGCTGCTTCCGCGCGCTTGAGCACTTCCGTGGGCATCCGACGGCATACGAGGATCTTTGGGACCGTCATTGTGGATCGTGTGAGTGAGTTGAGTGGCCAGTCAGCCAAGGCGCAGGTGTTGAGATGGTGGCAAGATGGTGGGGAGCCGACGGTCGACTTTGTGTACCTTGTCGAGAAGACTTCACAAATCAGCGTGGGGAGAGCCTATCCACCGGCAATCAAGATTCATGCGGCGGTTTTCGCCGGCAGGATGGCTCGAGCGGGATTACGCGTTGTACAGACCGAGCCGATTATCCGTGTGCAACATACCGATCCCACCAGCATCCATCCCTTCACTCCTCCATATCTCGTTGCGATCATGTCTGGCCCACTTGTGCTGATTACCGGTATCACGGGCTTCCTGTCCGCTCACGTGCTCGACGCTGTCCTTGCGTCCCCCGAGAACTACAAAGTCCGAGGTACGCTTCGTTCGGTCTCGAAGAAAGATGGCATCCTCTCCCGCCTGAGCGCCGCTGACCGCGAGCGGGTCGAGTTTGTCGAGGTCGCCGACACTGCCACTTCTGATCTCCTTCCTGCTGTTCGCGGCGTCTCAATCATTCACCACGTCGCCTCACCTTATCAGCTGAACGTGCAGGATGCCGAGAAAGACCTGCTCATCCCAGCCGTGGAAGGAACGCTCAACATCCTCCGTTTCGCCAAGCACGAGAAGTCAGTCAAGAAGATCGTCATCACCTCCTCTTTTGCCGCGGTGACCAACTTCAAAGAGGGAGGACCGAATCGCCCTGGCTTCACTTACACCGCTGAGGACTGGAACCCGTCCACCTACGATGATGCTATCGCCGCCGGCGGTGCAGGCGCCTTCAGCTACAGTGTCAGCAAGAAGCTTGCCGAGCAAGCTGCGTGGGACTACAAGTCCAACGAGAAGCCGCAGTTCGAGATCGCCTGCATCAATCCGCCCATGATCTACGGCCCCTCGCTGCAACCTGGCGTCAGGCTGAGCAACCTCAACACGTCGAGCAAGACGATCTACAACCTCGTCAACAACGCCGATGCTATGCCGGAGGACAGGCTGCCGCTGTTCTGCCATGCGCGCGATGTGGGTGATGCTCACGTGGCTGCCAGCGAGAAGCCCGAGGGAATGGGAAGCAGGTGGTTGCTCTGCGGTGGCAAGTTCACTTGGGCACATGCAGTCAAGTTCATCGCCGAGACCTATCCAGAGCTCAAGGACAGGCTGCCCAAAGGGTGGGAGGAGAGCGTCAAGGAGCTCAGGGATCCTGGAACCATTGCTGATCTGGACACGAAGCCTGCCGAGACCAAGCTCGGCATTCAGTTCAAGGACTGGCAAACAACGCTCAAGGAGTGCATTGATAACCTGCTCGAGCTCGAGAAGAGGTCGGACTGGAAGTCGTAGCACACTAGCCGGACTCCTGGATGTTGCAATAGAATGGAGACTTGAGCATCGTGATCTGCGATTCGTGCTGATACATAGGCTGCCACACCCAACGCCTCTCACATCTGCAATGTCGTCCAAAAGATCAAGCACATCGTCGGATCAAGGAAGCTCGTCATGCGAACCAACTCACACAGGAGATAGTCGACCGGCGATATTTGACCAATGTTAGATCGGAATCCCAAATCTGACGATTTATGCGGAGATAACCTTTTTTAGATTGCCGATGACTCCTTCACTCGCCGCCACCACCATCACCACATCTTTCGACAATGCTAGCCGTACAGCAGCAGCCAACACCAGCGCTGGCATCAACAGCATTACCAGCGGATTCGATCGCTCGTGCGCTTCCCGACCAAGTCCCCGAGAACGCACCTGCCCACTGTCCAGGCACCGAGTCCGAGCAAGCGGGCAAAGCGGATGCCTGCGCTGGGTGTCCGAACCAAGATGCTTGCGCTTCGGCACCCAAAGGTCCCGATCCGGATCTGCCGCTGATCAAAGAGCGAATGGCGCGCATCAAACACAAGATCCTCATCATGTCCGGCAAGGGAGGTGTGGGGAAGAGCACCTTCACCGCGCAACTTGGGTGGGCGTTCAGTTCGCGGTTCTCGGGACATCTCGACGCCGCCACCGAAGAGGATGGAAAGCATGCCGGTGAAGAGGAGGAGGAAGAGATGGAGAAACAAGTGGCGATCATGGATATTGATATTTGTGGACCGTCCATCCCGACGATCTTGGGTTTGGCGGGACAGAGCATCCACTCGACCTCGCAAGGTTGGTCGCCCGTCTACGTCTCCGACAACCTGTGCGCCATGAGCATCGGTTTCCTGCTCCCCTCGGCTTCGTCGGCGGTCATCTGGAGAGGACCCAAGAAGAACGGTCTGATCAAACAATTCCTCAAGGACGTCGATTGGACCGCCGGTCTGGAAGAAGAGGACTCTACCCCCTCCTCCGAACCACTCATCGACTACATGCTCATCGATACACCCCCCGGCACCTCGGACGAACACCTCTCCATCGTATCCTACCTCAAAGAGTCCGGTATCACGGGTGCGATCCTCCTCACCACCCCTCAGGAGGTGTCTCTGCAAGATGTACGGAAGGAAATCTCGTTCTGTCGCAAGATGAACGTGCCCATCCTAGGGATTGTGGAGAACATGGCTGGGTTTGTGTGCCCGAGCTGCACGGGGTACAGCGAGATCTTCTATCCGAGCACCGGCGGGGCCAAGGCGCTGTGCGAGGAGCTTGGGTTGAATTTCTTGGGCTCGATTCCGCTCGATCCGAGGATAGGCAAGAGCTGCGATTTGGGCGTCAGCTTCACGGACGAGTACCCGGATAGTCCGGCGACAAAGGCGTATTTGGACGTCATCGAGAGCGTACGCAGGCTGGTCGATTGAACCTCACCATCAGCATATAGATTCACACTCGCACACATCACACACATTTGTATACTAAGCTACAGTAGTTCCATTTTGCAATTGCTTTTCCTTGGTTCTATGTCTTTGACAGAGCTCTCCTTCACACTGCTGACTTCTTCGCCGGCGGCCCGGTCTCCTCCTCGTCCCCCTCCTCTATCCCATTCTCTTCTTCGACTCCGGACTTCCTCTTCTTCGCCCCCGTCCCAGCTGCGGGTGTAGCCGTCCTACTCGCACTCCTCCTCTTCACTCCCACGCTCGCGGTCCTCCTCTCGCCCGTCACACTATCCGTCAGACTCTTAGCCGAATAATGGCAGCTTGCATGATAATACACTTGCCCTGCCTCGTTGTCGACCTGGATGGCGTTCAACCAGATCCACTCCTCCTCGTCCTCGCTCCACTGGGACTTGAAGGCCTCTTTGCAGATGGGGCAGGGTTGGGCGGCGAGCACCGTGTCGGTGGGGGCGATGACGAAGGATTTAGCGAACTTTTCTTTGAGTTGCTTTTCCTGGGCTGCGTTGAGGCTTTTGCTGTCTTTGTCGCTGGTGGAGCCGGTCGTTTTGTTGGTGGGTGCAGAATCGTCGAATCCACCGCGAATGAAGTTTTCCAACCGGTCGAACCACGATCGTGACTGACCACGTGCTGCGGAATCCTTGGCTCGACGATTTTGCGTGAAATGCCAGTCGAGATGGTCGTCCATCCGTACTTGACCCTTGGTGCTGGCAGGATAGCGGTTGGCACACTGTCGGCATTGCAGCGGCAGATGCTTGTGCAGGATCAACTCGTAGGAGGAGACAGGTTCGCGGTTGAATTCGGATCCGGAGGTCTTGATGTCGAGAGAGAGGATGGCTGCGATGTAGTCTTCGTCCTGATCGCGCTCGACGGGAGGGGGAGTGGCAGCTGCCGATGAGCCAGGCAGGAGGCCTGCTTGCATGAGAGATGCGAACAGAGCCGACGCTGCATCGGTGGCTGGAGGCGCTTGGGCGGCGCCGTTGGGTGCTGCAGCGGGAGCGGGCGCGGTCAGTGCGGAGAGACTCGCCAAGGCGCCTGACAGACCCTGGGGAATCGGCGCGGGTGCTGCGGGGGCCGGTGCGGGTGCGATCGACTGAGGAGGAAGGGGCTGGCCGTGCATGGCCGCTGCGTGTGCTGCCGGATTCAACTGTTGTGCAGCTGCGGAAAGGCTATCGAGCTGGGCGTGAATCTGCGCCATCTCTTCTGTGGAGAGATCCACAGTCAGGATAACCTGCTTGAGCTGAGCCAGCGAGTCGACTCGCTCGTGCAAGGCTTGATCCGATGGATTAGCGGCCAACGACTGTCCATCGACAGCGAGAAGCTTGTCGATGTTCTCGATCGCTCTCGATTTCGATCTGGCCGCGTTGGCACGCGGGTCTGCGACCGGGGCCGCGGCCACATTCGGTTGGGGCATGCCTTGACTGCCAAAGAGGGCCCGTTCGATTGACCACTGTGCATTGTCTCCAAAGATAGGCCTTGCGGCATGGCCTGCAGTCTTCCAGGTCGCGAGCAGTTCCTCCATGCGTCGTTTCGTAGGCTGGTCCACCAGTCGATACGATTCGAGGAAGATGGGTACGATCCGTGCGGACCAGAGTTGCGTGTAGGGTTCGCCGACATTCTTGCAGATCGAGTCGAGCGTGTAGAGTGCAGGGAGACGAATCGAGGGGTGGGACTGCATGATATGGTCGTCGATACATTTTGCAACGACGGCCGACATGCGGATGTGGTCTTGGGCAATGACGGTGAGGTTGGTGATGATGGGCTTCGAGTTGAAGGTCAATGACTTGAGATGGCTGTTGTACATGGCTGCGAAAGCGTTTGGGTCATTGCTGATATCGGGCTGCTGAACATGTTGAGGATGAGGAGGGAGGTGAGCAGCACCGGGATAGCCATACTGCTGCGGCGGCGGTGCGCCGAAGCCATTGTGCGGAGCGCCATACATCTCAACGGACTCCGAGTCTGAGACGAGCAGACGATCCAGCCCGAGGCCGACACAGAGAAAGGGGAAGGGGGAGAAGCCAAATGAATACGATGCGCAAACAGCAGGCCGGAAAGGAGCCTATCTGTAAAGTCACTCGAGGCTTTGCAGGGAGATGCGAGCCAGAGCGAATGCAGCAAGAGATGGGCGTCGACGACAAAGCAACTGCTGTTGCGGTTTCCAAGAGCCGTGGGTCACTGATGCAGCAGAATGATCGAGCGACGAAAGCAGACCAAGCACAAGGATATGCGCTGCGAGCTCTGATCCCAAGCCAAACGAGAAAGGGAGCACAACAAGGCAAGATGCTATTCCCTAAAGAGAACTCAAACTACTGCGCAGGAGGGTGGCAGAGACAAACCGGGCTAGAGACGTGAAGCTGCCGTCACCGAAGGGAGCATGCGCTCACGCGGATCGTTCTCGAGGAGGAGCACGATACAAACAGCGGACAGGGCGTTGTATGAACAACGCCAATGTGTGAGTGGGTGGATGTGGTTGGGAAGAAAGGAGATCGTCGACGTTGTCTCATGATTTCAATCCGCACTTTGCGCAGCCACGCTTCCGCATTCATTTTTTGAGTAATGGGTGTTAGACCACAACTTCACTTGTCAGAGATTATTCCTCACGCACGGTAAGAAGAAATGCTTGGATTGGGCGCGCTTTCATGAGTCACTTTGAGCTGCAGAGTGTCAAGCTGCTTGGCGAGGGTTCGGCCAGGCTCGGCCTGTGCGCCACTCTCACGCTTCCATCTTCTCCACTCCCACCATCGCTTCGTCGCTACGAATCCTCAACAATGCAGGTGGCATCCAACCAGGTGCCATTGCCTGCCGCACCACCGCCCTCCATCGGAGCGGCGGCGTGCAAGAAGGACTATGCAGTCGGTACCTCCATCCCCGCCAACATGGACCACGCCGTCTCGGTCTCGCTCCCGCTGTGGAGCGACAACATCGACTACGAGGAAGGTCGGCTCTCCAAATCGATGGAGACAGGCTACCCTCGCTTCTTCATCCATCGCTCCATTCAGCGTCTCGCCAGCCTCCTCTGCAAGAAGTTCGCCAAACCCAGCGAGGCTTGCATCCTCTTCCTCTCTGCGAGAATCGCCGAGCGATGTCGCGACTTTATGCGTGCTCAGTCTACGAGCAGCGCGCCGCTGCCCATCCGCATTGTGCGATTCTCGATGCTTGAGCACTCCGCTCCGAATCCTACTGGAAATGGTCAGGCGACTTCCAGCTCGAGCACCGCCGAGCATGTCTCGGATCAGCTGGATGGCGCACACTTTCAAGGTTCAAGCACCACCGCGCACTACATCTTCATCGTCTTCTTCCCCGAAGACGTTTTTCCGCTTGCAAAGAGCTTCTGGCAGCACACTGGTGATGGCATCTCGAGCCGTCAGGCCGACCGCTGCCTATCGCTTCTCGAGCAGTCCAAGAGCGCTGATACAGAAGCTGTGACTGGCGAGGCAGCGGCCAACGAGTCCGCCTCCGCTGGCGCAGTTGGCAACGACGACATCTACAAAAAGCCCGCCTCTTCCGCTTCCGCCGGTAAACGCTTCTACAATCGCTACGCGCGCACCAACAGCACCGGTTCCGCTCTCATCCCCGCCACGCCCTCCCCCACCTCGAGCGTGCCTCAAACGCCTTCCAGCAGCGGCATCCTTCAGCGACCTACCACCACCACCGACGATGCCCTGTCAGCTAGCGTCTCGAGTCTGTCCGGCGTGACCTCCGCCACCACTCTCACCTCCGAGCCCGGTACCTCTGACCTGGTCACCTACGTCGAAGAGCGGTACGGCCGCAACCTTCCACTCACCTCTGCGCCCTCTGCCAAGCTCGCCCTCCGCCGCCGCATCGCTGGCACTCTCCTCTCGGACCGCTCGGAGCAGTCTGTCCTCGAAACTCCCGCTGACGCCGTCGGCGAGACGGGTCGGCACGGCACCGGCGTAACAGAACACGACGTCTACCTGTTCCCCTCGGGGATGAGCGCCATCTTCCACGCGCATCAGCTTGCACTGCGTGCCGCATCGAGGCTTGGAGAGGATAGACAGGTGGGCAAAAGCGTCTGCTTCGGCTTTCCCTACACCGACACGCTCAAGATCCTTCAAAAGTTCGGGCCGGGCTGTCACTTCTTTGGGCTTGGCGTCGATGCCGATCTGGACCGACTCGAAGACCTGCTCAAGACGGAGCGCATTTTGGCCCTCTTCTGCGAATTCCCCTCGAATCCGCTGTTGCGTTCGCCGAATCTGGTCCGGATCCGGCAGTTGGCGGATAGGTATGGGTTTCTGGTATGCGTCGACGAAACGATTGGCAACTTTGTCAATGTCGAAGTGCTACCGTTTGCGGATGTGCTCGTGTCCTCGCTGACCAAGGTGTTTAGTGGCGATGCGAATGTTATGGGTGGAAGCATGGTGGTCAACCCCAAAGGCCCCCATTACACCGTTCTCAAGGAGGAGCTGGAGGAGGAGTACGAGGACACGTACTTTGCCGAAGATGCGATTTTCATGGAACGCAACTCGCGCGATTTCATCCGTCGCATCGTTCGCATCGATGCCAACACGAGAGCGATCACCTCGATGTTGTGGTCCCACCGCGGACGGGGTGGGATGAAAGAGTTGTTTTATCCGAAGTTTCAGACGAGGGAGAACTACGATGTGTGTCGAAGGAAGAAGGCTTTCACTCCGCTGGGGAATATGGGTGATGGGGAGGGTGGGTATGGTGGGTTGTTTTCCGTGACGTTTGAAAGCGAGGCTGCGAGCAAGGCGTTTTACGATACGTTGGAGTGCGCAAAGGGCCCAAGTCTGGGGACCAACTTGACGTTGGCCAGTCCGTATACGATCCTGGCGCACTATGGCGAGCTCGATTGGGCTGCGCAGTTCGGCGTCGAGCGCGGTCTGGTTAGGGTCAGCGTGGGGTTGGAGGACGAGGAGTTTTTGGTGAGGATGTTTGGCAAGAGTTTGGAGGCTGCCGCTCGTGCACATGCCGCTGTCACAAAGGCCTAGCTTCGGCAGTACCCATGAAATGCTTCAACGCTATCGTACAACGGTTTCTGGCTCGATCGAGAGCTACTTCTTGGAGCTCTTCGACTTGGGTTTGTGCCGACACTCCTCGTCGACATTGGTCTTGAGCACGAGCTGAACGTCGCCGGTTTGTTCGATGGAATCGCTGCCGGTGGCGACGAGCAGCAGCGTGCCTGAGGGATCGAAGGCGCCCGCTGTAACAGCGTTGTTCAGCTTGGGATACTGCCGAACGCGCTTCTTGGCCGCAGCGTCCCAAATCGCAATCTGAGCATCCCCGCCGAGACTCGCAAACGTTCCGTGTCTGTAATACAAATGAAGGTCAGTTCTTCATCCTTGTCTTCGAGATCTCGTGGGTGGAGGATCGGGACGTACCTTGGGTGAAACGCAACCCCATGCACCGGATACACCACGTCATATGGCCTCTCCAACTCCTCTTCCCCCTCTTCATTCTCCACAGCCATATCTCCATCAATCGTCTGACGATGGCACTTGAACGCATACTTCAACGCCTGCGTCTCGGGTTTGGGATCGAAAAACTCCACCCCGATGCGACCTTCGATGCTGGAGATGGCATACCCATCCCCCGCCGGCATGCATCTCAGATCGCGCGCCATGAATTTGAGCGATGACTCTCGTTTTTGGTCCGGCTGCCAGTGTCGTTCGCTCACCTTTTCGCCGGCGCGCTCGCGATCGATGGCCTGACGCAGCGGGAGGAGGTCGTACACCCATACGTGGCGGCCGGTGAGGGCGACGACGAGACGAGGTGTCGAGTTGCGCGCCACGGCCTTTCCGGGGGAGGAAGCGGAGAGAGTCGGTGTGGAGAGGGACGGGAAGGGTGGGGAGACGTCCATCCCTATCACCTTGTCCGGCATCTCGAGGCGTTTTAGCAACGTCCCACCGGAAGCGTTGACCTCCCAGAAGCATAGACTGCGATCCGAGGAGCCAGACATGAGCAGCTGGGTGGACGGACAATAGCGCAGCTTCGTTACAGAGTCGTCGTGCTTGCCGAGGATGAGGGATTTGCCGGTGGACAGGTCGAGCAGGCGCACCCGCCGGTCGACGCTCGCGGAGGCGGCGAGGGTGGGATTGATGAAGCAGACATCTAGAACGGGCGCTTCATGCAGGAAGGTTCGGATCTTGGTCGTTGCTGAGGAGGTGCTGGAGGAGGAAAGGGAGGCAGTGTCGAGCTGATAGTGATGCACATTGTGGTCCCAACTGGAGACGAGGATGTCCGTTGTTGAAGACGAATCGGAGACCGGGGTTGGGGAGAAGACGATGGCGGTTACCGATGCCGACGGTGGATCTGGAAGGAGCACATCCGATGTTGATGGCGCTGATGGCGAGGAACGTGATGATGTTGGCCGCAACATTGCGATGATGGAGAGGATGTGGTTGGTGATGAGCAAGGATGAAGGTTTGGTGTTGGTCTTTTTGTTGGTCTTGAGCGAGACGCGTCGGCGAATTCCTGTAGCATGTTACGTCGAAAGAGGAAGGCTGTGAGAGAAAAAGCTGTCCGACTTCCGTCGAGGTGATCCTCGCTGACGTAGAGAAGAAGGTGGAGTTGAAGGCTGAAGAAGCTTCTCACCACATCTGTTGCGCTTGTCTCCTTGTCATCGACAGTATGAGAGCATCACAGCAGGCCGTCAGCGCCCTCACAGGGGCCGTACGAGAGTTCGCCGCTCGACCATCGCTAGCGGCAGCTTCGCTCACTCGGCCATCCTCCTCCCGGCTCGCCGTGGCACAACCATCCATCGGACGGCTGCTCTCCAGCACCTCTGCAACATTCGCAGCCCCGCCCACCAAAACTTCCTCTTCTTCCTCCTCGTCCGAACCACCCAAACCCACCGGTCCGATCCGGGACGACGCCATCCTCGCTCTCTCTCAATACGTCCGCCTCGTCGACCCCAACACCGGTTCTCTCGCAGGCCCCTTCCCCACCTCTGCCATCCTCACCAAACTCGACCGATCCAAATTCTTCCTCCAGCAAGTTGCTCCTGCCCAACCGCACCGCTCTACCACCCCTTACGACCCCTCCGCCCCACCCTCTGCTGTGGACGTCACCAGGCTCGTCCAATTCCCCATCTGCCGCCTGATCGACAAAAAGGAGGAATTTGATCGCATGCGCAATGCCAAACGCGCCTCCTCCTCCTCCACACCCTCCTACGCATCCACCAGCGGAGGTGGAAGTAAAGAGGTCCAGCTCACATGGAGTGTTTCGCCCAACGATCTTGCGCATAAACTGTCCAAAGCGAGAAAGGAGATGATCCGGGGTGCGAGGATCAACCTTGTTGTAACGACCGAGTCCGGCGGTCGAAAGTATGTCAAGGGTCTCAACGCCAAGGAGGACGAGCGGAGGGAGGCATTGCTGAAGGAGATTGAGGAGTTCCTGTGCAAGCCAGCGGAGGAGTCGACCGGGGAGGGCGAAGAGAAAGCAGGACCAATAGCGAGACGATTGCAGGACGTGGAATGGCAGCGTGGTGGCAGCGCAGCAGTCATGTCTTTCGAATGCTTCAGAAACAAGTAGCCCCACACCATCCCATCACGCAACGACGATCTGTAACAACATGTTTTCTATTTGTGACAAAACTGAACCTACGGAAAAGAATCTACAACCACTCGATGGTGGCAGGGGGCTTGCTCGAGATGTCCAGCACGACGCGGTTGACGCCCTGCACCTCGTTCGTAATACGGTTCGAGACCTTGCTCAGGAACTCGGCGGGGAAAGGGTACCACGTGGCGGTCATAAAGTCGGTCGTTGCCGCTGCTCGGAGAGCGATAACCTGGTCGTAGGTCCTCTTGTCACCCTGAACACCCACCGCCCTGACGGGCAGGAGCACAGCAAACGCCTGCGAGATCTGGTCATACAGTCCAGCCGCACGGATCTCCTCGATGTAGATGCTGTCTGCATGCTGCAGGATCTTGACCTGCTCCTTGGTCACCGGTCCGAGAATGCGGATCGCCAGTCCTGGTCCGGGGAACGGGTGTCGTCCCACCAAGTGCGCCGGAATACCCAAGAGTCGGCCAAGCGCACGCACCTCGTCCTTGAACAGCTCGCGCAACGGCTCGATCAGCTTGAGCTTCATGTCCTCCAACAGCCCACCGACATTGTGGTGCGTCTTGATGGTCGCCGAGGGGCCCTTGAACGAGATGCTCTCGATGACATCGGGATAGAGCGTTCCCTGGAGGAGGTATTCGAACTTGCCCTTGGCTTCCTGCGGCTTGCCGGCGGCGAGCGCAGCGGCCTCCTCGTCTTCCGCCTCCTTCTCGAGCTTAGCGACTTCGGCCTCAAAGACGTGGATGAAGGTGTTGCCGATGATCTTGCGTTTCTGCTCGGGGTCCTCGACGTCTTTGAGCTTAGACAGGAATTGCTCGGATGCGTCGACGACCGTCAGGTTGACACCGAGATCCTTGGAGAGCATCTCGTAGACTTGGGCGGCCTCGTTGGTTCGCAGCACACCGTTGTCGACCATGACTGCGTGGAATCGGTCACCGATGGCTTCGTGCATGAGCTTGGCGGCGACGGAAGAGTCAACACCACCCGAAATGGCACCGAGCACCTGGCCCTTGGGGCCGACGATCTCGCGAATGCGCTTGATCTCCTTGTCGATGAAGGTCTCCATGGTCCAGTCGCGTCGGCAGGCGCAGATGTCGACAAAGCTGTCAAACAGCTCGACGCCGCGCAGCGAGTGAGTCACCTCGGGGTGGAATTGGACACCGTAGATGGGCTTGGTCTTGTGTGCCATGGCGGCGAAAGGAGCGGTGGGAGTGCGAGCGATGACCTCAAAGTCCTCGGGAGCCTTGGAGAGCTGGTCACCGTGCGACATCCACACCTGGACGCTGCCCTCCCAGTTCTTGAAGAGCGCATCGAGATGGGGATTGCCGGTCTTGACAACCTCGACCATGGCGTGGCCGTACTCGCGCTTATCGTGCGGGTCGACCTTGCCGCCGTGATTCCAGGCGATCTCCTGGAGACCGTAACAGATGCCGAGCACGGGCACGCCAGCGGTGAAGACGTCCGGGTCGACTCGGGGGGCGATGTCGTCGTAGACCGAGTAGGGCGAGCCGGAGAGGATGATGCCCTTAGGCTTCCAGTCGAGGTCCTTGATCTTTTGAGTGCAGGGAAGCATCTCACAGTAGACGTTGAGCTCACGGCATCGTCGAGTGATGAGGTGCGAGTACTGCGATCCGAAGTCGAGGATGAGGATCGAGTCGTACTGCGAGTGAATGGCTTCCGTCATGGTGGGCGAAGGGTATCGAAGTGAGGAGCTGGGTAGTGCACGTCACTTTATGGGTCAAGTCGACGAAAGATCTATCGAGCTCTTGTAGAGAAGAGATTGAGGAAGAAGATGCGTCGGACGATGTCCAAGAAGAGAAGAAGGAAGCTGCGCAACGGCGCACATCTGGCTATCTGTGCTCTCTCGAAGGAGGAAGCCTTGCTCGCCTGTCATGCAACAGGAAAAGCGCAAAACAAAATTTGAGCTTTTCGAGTCAAATCGGCAAAAAAAAGTTCGCGTCGTGTGAAAATGCAAAGATGTGAGATCGACGCTGTGACTCTGACTCCGGCGAATTTCCAGCTGTCTTGTCCGGCCATCAAATTGACCCTGCATAAGCGAAAGCTGCAGCTGCATTGGAAAAGTTGCAAGTCAATCTTGCCACCCTGAATCGAGCTATCCAAACCGACACCATCCAAGTCGCTCATCAAGCATCGCTTGTTGGTCAGCCATACACGACGGAGCAAGCACGGGCATGTCGCAACATGCGATCCTGACGCTCATTCGACATGGCGAAACAACGGGCAACCTGAACCGCCTGTTGCAAGGCGTCACCGACTCTCCTCTGACCGTTTTCGGTCAAGCTCAAGTAGATGCGCTTGCTCGAACGTGGGCGACCACCATCAGCACTGCCACTTCGGATGTAGCGATAACAGATCACAAGACGAAGAAGGAAGCTCCGACATCAAGACTCGACCTTCCACGTCCGACCCTCGTCGTATGCTCTCCCATCGGAAGGGCCCGCAAGACCGCCGAAGCGATCCACAGGGCGTGCGTGGGTCAGGGAGTTGATGACGGTGGTATCCACGAAGATGCACTGTCGGATCCGCCGTCATCGTCCAGGCTCGACGCGGCTTTGAGTCACTCCTCACATCCGGGGCTGCCGCTGATCGTAGACAAAGGCCTGGCGGAAAAGGATTTTGGATGGAAAGAGTCGACTCGCGGTGGTGTTCATGTAGCAGGCTTCCCAAAAGGCTCAGGCGTCGGCGAGACTCGCACCGACTTCACGACCAAAGTGTACCAAGTGGGTCTAGAATGGCTCAACGCTGCTTCCAGCCTGGCCTCATCGTCGGATAGGATACCGCACATTGTGCTGGTGAGTCACGGCATGTGGATCTCGACCTTTCTATCGGCCCATCCACCGACAACCATCACGCAAACCTCGGGTCAGCCGGGCTTCCTGCCTTTTGCAGCGAACACGGGCATGTTCAGCCTCAAAGTCAAGCCTCGCTCCGCCAGCGACGACTCAGCAAGTGCTCAGCGACGATTCGAGACAGAGCTCTTTCGTGCGAACGACATCCGACATTTGGAACATGTCAAGCGCCAGAAGGGCGGCATCGGGAGGGGAGCTTTTGACATCAAGCAGACCAAACTCAGCTCCTTCTTTGCAAAGCCAGCTCAGCCTGCGCGCCAGGACGCGACAATAGAACAGGAAGGGTCACCGACCAAGAAGCGAAAGACATAGCACCCTACCCGCCATCCGCTCCTAATATACCCCATCATACCAGTAGACTCTTGTGACAGAGCAGACGAAGAACCTTGTGTGATATGCTGTTTTTGGCCGCTCAACCTCCACTTGAAAGGCGTCGTGCTGCTGCAGCTCCTTTTTTATGCGATTTTGTGGATCACGCCTCGAGAGGCTGCGCTGAACCCTTGTCATCCACAAAATCGGGTTGGACTCAGCTGAGCAAGCACAACGCTTTGACCCCGCTTTCGATCCCGCTCCTTCATCATCGTCCTGCACATCAATGATCCACCAGCGAAGCTATTCGACGCTATCAGGCCGCGCCTACCCTTGTCCCTCACTTGCACCGGCCGTGAAAACGAGCACTCACCTGACAGAACTTCAAAGCATTCGGACCACCGTCGAATCGAAACGGCCACATCAGCCACATCGCTCCCTGCGAGGTCCACTCAATCATGAATCCGCCATCTTCCGGCAGCGGTGGCAGCGACACTGGAGGAGGTGCAGGGGGCTTCGCTTCCCGCTCCAGCTCCATCAACCAGATGGCTTTCTGTCATGAATGCGGCATCGAAATCCGGCCCCTCATGACCCCAGATCCCACCTGCCCGCGCTGCAACGGCCAATTCGTCGAGATCATCGACGAGACTGCACCAGTCAACGACAACGATGCAGACGACGATGATGGTGTCGAGGCCAACTACCCATTTGGTGCTCTTCCTAGCAGCCGCTCGCAGCCTTTCACCTTCCACACTGGCCAAGCAACAGCTGGCTCGCTCCCGCAGTTTCTGGGTCAGATGCTCTCCGCAGTAGCCGCTCCATCGAATGCGCCTAACACATCGCGGCAGGATGCCTCCTGGAACTCTCAGTCCGACTACCAAAGGAGGTGGGCTGAGCAGGGACCAGGTCATTCTCAATCATCCTCAACCACGCGGTCAGGTAACACTTCCTTTGGACCCTTTGGCATGCAGTGGAATGTGCAGTACGGCTCGGGTGGTGGCGATCCGTATCAGCGAGCGGCACAGAATCAGGCGGAGCACAATCAGCGACAACAACAGCAGCAAACTATGGGCTCTCCCCCCACCCTCTCTAACTTTCTGCGGTATGCCTTTGGTGGCGCCGACTCGACAGACAACAACGCTCGCCAAGAAGACACCTACTTCCACGACGACGGCATGGGCGGTGCAGGCGGTGTAGCAGACGGCCGACATTTCAATCATGACAATCGCGGCACCTACCACCAACCTCCTCAATCTCCCAACAACAATAATGCTGGTCGCCCGCACAACGATCTCCCACCCGAGCTGGGGGCTCTGCGCAATCTCTTCACAGGTCTCTTTGGCGAGTCTGCCACGCAAGGCGGCTCGCTCCTCGACATCCTCGCTGCAGGGGCACAGGGTGGGGCAGGAGGTCCACGCGGTCAATGGGGCGACTATGTGATTGGCCAGCAAGGGCTCGACGACATCATCAGCCAACTGATGGAGCAGACGCAGGGATCAAACGCGCCACCACCGGCGGAAGAGGATGTCATTAAAAAGCTCGAGAGATTCACACGGAAGGACAAGGAGCGCATCGAAAAGGCGAGGAATCAGGATTGCCCAACGTGCAAGGACGAATTTCTTCCCTCGCCAGAAGCGAAAGCGGACGACGACCCGCAAGCAGACGACGACCAGCAGGAGGAGCTCATCGCCATGCCGTGCCGCCACATCTTCCACGTCGACTGTCTCGTACCATGGCTGAGGCTCAATGGCACATGCCCCGTCTGCCGGATCAGCATCGCCAAGCCGCGCGAAGATCAAACATCCGCAACCAATAGCGGCAGGAACGCAACGGCGTCACAACAGGCACAATTGTCCATCAATGCCAACGCGAGCAGCACCTCGACAGACCAATCCGTCCCCGGGGGCTGGCCCTCCCCACCGAACCCGTTCACCTCGCTCTTCGGCGCCTTCTCCAACCGCCACCCGAACGAAGGCGTGCACATCCCCCGCGAGTCCCCTGGTGACTCGACGACAACGTATCACCCCTCACCCCCAACGAGCACGACGGTGACGTCGACCGTCTACCCTGCGACGGCGAGGACGGGTGGCACGCCCGGAATTGGAGGCGGAGAGGTGGTCAACAGCATCATCTCTAGTCCGCCGCTTGTGGATGATCGGGCGGAGTTCTTTGAGCCTGACGAGCCAACGCAGGAGCACTCCGGTGGTCGAGAGGATATGCGCGAGACCTTGAGGCGGGCTGCCGAGGCGAGGGCGCGGAACAGCAGCAATGCAGAGGGTGCGGCGGCAAGAAGGGGTGGGCAACCTACGCTCGAGCCGGATGAGCTGGATTGAGCCGGAACGACGGATCCCTTCGAGAAGCTTCTTCGTTGCTCTCAGCACAGCCGGTTTGTCCCCTTCACCATCGGTCTCCGCCGAACTGTCACACACACAGTTCGTCACCCTCACACAGTCACCTACGTCTTGTTCAGCAATTGCATTCCCTCCATCGCATCACTCGTCCTCCTCATCCCGTCTATACGCGACCATCGCATCCACCCGATGAACATGCGTTGAGAAGCTCCTGAGTCGAACCTGTTCGGCCTGACCCTCTGCGATGAGCCGTGCATCTGAATCGATCCATTCCGCGGGGGCTTCTGCGTCGCGATTCGTATATGCTAGAATCTGAAATGCGCAGGGCTCCTCTAGCACTGGCAAAAACGTGCAGCTTGCGGTGATCTGTTTGATGATGGCAGCGATTTCGGCGCGAACTTGAGCGTCGGTCTTCTTGACCGCCTTTGCTCCTTCTGCCTCGCCCTCTTTCCCTTCTGATACGGGTGTGTTGATGACGTCTACGTCGAATTGCCACCTCTCCCGCGTCTCGCCGGTTTCCTTCTCGACGATCACAACCACCAATCGCGTCACATCCCCTCGCTCCAACCACACCTTCAACTGGCCCATTGCACTCTCGAGATACTCGACCAATCCATCATCCGTCGTCACCAGCATTTGAAGCCCATACTTCTTAACGGTTTTGAAGTCGTCCGATGGATATATGCTGCGCTGATAGAGTATGCTCTGGACGGAGTAGTTGAAAAACTCGTGCACCAGCGCTGTAGAGCCCTTGAGGGTGAGATGCGTTTTTGTCGCGGCTTGCGCTTGAGCGGTCGCCATGATTACTATTGCTCAAGAAGTGTTGGTTGAAGAGAGAAGGGTTGCGCACTTGCTCGAAGCGGGATGGATGGTGAGGCGTGCGTATGCGAGGATGCAACCGTGCTGCTGTTGACTCTGAACGAGATGGGATCCAACGAACGTCACTTGAGTTGTGTGTGAGGCAGAAGTGACGACAAGAAAGCGACGTGTGTGAGACAGAAGGTGAGGCGAGAGTGCCCACGAGACGTTGAATGGCGATGACAAGTGGTGATGGTGAGGAAGACAGGAAGGCAAGCCTCGTCGAGATCAACACCTCTGCGCGGGTTTTCAAAAGTAACACTTTCAGCACGGGCTGCGCCAAAATCACTGCTGTCCGCCTGCGGGTCACGTGTCTTTTTCAACTAAGATGTTAGGCCGATGCTCCACCTCGGCCGCCTCGCAAGCTTTCAGCATGATTGCGCTCCTCGGACAGCAGCCAGATACGATGCGAAGCTTCACACAGACGTCCGAAGAAAGCCGTTCCATATGGACTGAGCACGAAGCACTGACGGGATTGTAAAAGCCGTTTGCCCGCCTGAAAGCACAAAAGCTGGGGAGAATGCGTCACCAGAGAAGCTATGTGACGGTCAGTCGAATTGTCGTTGCGTGGAGCGGCGGTCGAGACACTTCGGAAGTCACGGCAACGACACCGCATGCTCGGCATGCTCACATTGAAAGACAGCGGGTTCGAGCGTGGCTCGATGACACCTCACCCACTATGACACCACTCAGTGGGACTCGACAGCCGCCTTGTCTCCGCTGGACGATGGGACGGCAACCTCGTGGGCGCTGTGGAGCTGTCGAGGTCGACTGTGATTCCACATGGACGGGTCCGCGTGGGACATGCTCATTCAGGCAAGTGTAACGCAGGCTTCCTGCTTGCGAATGTGGGTCATACGAGGCTGAGGTGGGCACACTTCGTTTTTGCTCGCTGAGGAAGCATGCGTGGTATGACCCGCAGACCCTGAAGGCGGTCTTCTGACCTGAATTGCCTAAAGTCCGTGCGTGTGCAAGCGAGGCCAGCCTGCCGGCAATATATTTGCGCCTCTTTGGCAAGGCTTCCCTCCTTCCTTCTCGTCACCGACCACCCTCCCAACCTACGAGAATTCTGCCCAAGATGACGTCCAACGGTACCTCTCCCCCGACCTTCATCAACCAGAAGCCTCTCCCCTGCATTGTAGACAATGCTCCGTTCACCCCTTCCCACACGTATGATGTCCAGCGTACGGATCAGCCCTCCACAGCATCTCGCGATGTCACCCACAAGGTCCACGCCATCTCTCCCTCTGATGTGGAGAAGGTGGTAGCTTCTTCGCACGCCGCCTTCCCCGGCTGGCGCGCCACCCCAGTCTCCCGCCGTAAGGAGATCATCCTCAAGGCATGCAGCCTCCTCCACGAGCGAGTCCCCGAGTATGCGGCCAACACCATGGAGGAGACCGTGCTCTCGCGCGGCATGGCTGGATTCGAACTCGCTGTCCTCGCCACCGGTCACCTTCAGAGCGCAGCTGAAAGCATGACGACCGCACTCAAGGCCGAGCTGCTGCCTCCCGGAGATGACGGCGCCATGAAGATTGTCAAGCGCGAACCATACGGCGTGGTGCTCGGCATCGCGCCCTGGAATGCGCCCTTCATCCTTGGCCTGCGATCAGTGCTCTACGCCATCGCTGCAGGCAACACTGCCATCCTCAAGACTTCCGAGTTTGCTCCCCGCGTTCACCTCAGCGTTGCGCAGATTTTGATCGACGCCGGTCTGCCCAAGGGTGTCCTGAATGTGGTCCATGTCGACCCTTCGCACGCAGCTGAAGTGACCGAAGCGCTCATCTCGCACCCCCGCGTGCGCAAGGTCAACTTCACCGGCTCCACCCGCGTCGGACGCATCATCGCAAGCACCGCCGCCAAGCACCTCAAGCCCGTCGTCCTCGAGCTGGGCGGCAAGGCACCCTTGATCATCTTGGAGGACGCAGACCTGGATCTGGCAGCCAACGGCATCCTCTTCGGCGGCTACCTCAACAGTAACCAGATCTGCATGGCCGTCAACAACGTCCTCGTCCACTCTGCTGTTGCGTCCAAGCTCGAGTCCACCCTGCAGACCCTGTTTAACCAGCATCGCGAGATCTTCACGGCCAAGCTCAGTCAAGGATTTGAGGATAAGCATGCTTTGCGATCGCTCTTCACCGCTGCCTCGGCGGACCGCCTGAAAGTTCTCTACGAAGACGCCGTCTCGAAGGGCGCCAAGGTAGTCGTCGGCGAAGCCGGCTTCGACGGCGCCCTCGTGCAACCCATCGTCCTCTCCCCCGTCGACAACAAGATGAAGATTTACACAGAAGAGACTTTCGGCCCCGTCCTCTCGCTCATCACCTTCAACAGCATCCAAGAAGCCATCGACATTGCCAACACGCCCGAATACGGCTTGGCTGCCAGTATTTATACGAGAAACCAAAAACTCGGGTTGGAGCTGGCCGATCAGATCGATGCGGGGCAGGTGCACGTCAATGCTCAGCCGGTACACGATGATCCCGTGATGCCGCATGGTGGATGGAAGAGTTCCGGTTATGGACGGTTCAACGGCGTCGAGGGTGTCAAGGAGTTTACTCAGACCAAGGGTATTACGGTCCAAGCGGGACATGCGACGCCGTTCCAGTATGTGTAAGTGGCCGAACGATAAGAATGGGCATTCCGTTCCAGACGATTGTGTCTGTGGTACAAAGCGGCGTGATGGAAGCGCAACAGCATGCACAGAACTCGGTGTGTGGTATCCTTCGATAAAGTGCGTTCTACCCATCCAAGAAGCGCAGCAGCATACGAAGTGTCTCATCGGCCTGTTCTCGCTGGGCTCCCGTCTGAGGCTGACCCTGAAACACCGCTCCATTTTGCTGGTACGACTCGCCACCCGCGTTCCCACCAAACATGAGGCTGTTCCAAGGCGCCGCTGTCGTCCCGCCCCCACCCATGCTCCAATCCATCGTGCCCGCCGTTCCCTCGCCGGCAGCGGCAGCAGCACTCGCAATCACATCCAACCCCTCGCGGTCGAAGTTGGCAAACACCGCGTTGTCCGTAGCAGCGCTGGTGGGCCAGCGCTGTTGCGTGGGGTTCGAGGGCGCAGATGGATTGCCCGAATAGAACGGGTCGGCGCTGTTGGCCAGCAGTGTAAAGTTGGTAAACTGAGCAAAGCCGTTGAGGGACGGATCTTGACCGCTGTTGACGGAGGGTGGGTTGGAAGCTGTCGCAGCGCCATTGAAGAGCGAGGTCTGCCCGGCAGGAACGCTGTCTGTCGCCTCTCCAGCGCTCTTCACCCCACCCTCGGGACGGTTCGGCGCGGCGTGCGTAGGTGCAGCGTTCTTCGGCCGCAACAGACTCTCCAAATAAATCGCGATATGAAGCACCGTATCGTCCTCCCTGATGCTCGCACGTCGAAACGCCGCACTCGCCTGATCGATCAACTGGATGTTGCTCCTCAAATACCCGGGTCCCAACGGCGGTTGACTCTTGACCGTCGCCAAGCTGCACAGCAACACGGCAGCATGCGTGGTGCTCGCAATCGTCGCATCCGGTGCACTCAACAGTCGTTCCGGTGGCAACGCACATACCACCTCCAAACACCCCCTCGCCCCCTCCACGCACGGCCAGAACGCGGGCATCGCCATAAGGTTCACCATCCCCGGCTCCAATCCACTCGACAACCCGGACTTGCCAGAGATCGATCCCCCATCCTCCTTTTCCCGCGTCGTCGAACGTCGATGATGATTACGCACGATCTCTTGGTGTTCCTGCAACGCCGCTTGTTTGAGGCTGGATTTGAGGACGAGCGAAGAGATGTACGTTTTGATGTTGTTCTTCCAGAGTTGGAGGCAGAGGCGTTGGAAACGTCGTTCGTAGGCTTCGGGCGTGTCGGCGTCCTCGTCCATGTCTTCGCGCAGACCGAGCGCCTCGTGCCATCGCGCACTCCACTCGTACAGGTCGGAGAGGAACGCAGGCATCATGATTGAGGGACCGTCGCTCGTTGCCGACGTGAGCGCTTCGATGCGGTCGTACAGCTCAACGTACTTGCCTTGGATGCGTCGCATGTCCGCCGAGGCACACACAAAGGCATCGGTGGGAACACTCCCGTCGTGCTTCCACCACGTCTGGCAGCGTCGAATCAGGACGTTGTCGGAGCTGATCGAGTGCGTAGTGATCTTATTCGATATTTGCTGCGACTTGTCCTGCACAAAGAGCATAAGGAAGGTGCGCTGGCGGTTGCGGAAGCGTCGCTGGACGGCTTCGTAGCGCTTCAGACCCGCAGAGTCGAGATTGGACGAATTGGGCTTGACACAGTTGGGCATCTCGGCATGCAATTGGATGTCCATCGCGAGTCGAAAGGCGTAGCCCACCTGGATGACCGACAGGCCGTCGTCGAGGGGTTTGAAGCTGGCAAGGATGAAGAAGGCTTGGCAGCAGAGCACTGTGCGGTCACCTTCGACGAATGCGCGCGCGGCGTGGTTGCGCGCAAGCTCGTGAATGCGGCGGCGAATGTCGCGTGCGTATGCGTTGGCGGCTGAGGGCGTGCGATCGGTGTGCGGGGATGGGTACGCAAGATCCCAAGCTGACTCCGGGACGTGCTCGTCGCGCTGCTGGCGGACGATCAGATGGTGTGCCGCTGGCTTCTTGGAATAGCGTGAGCCGACGTAGAGCAATACGGTGTAGAGGAACGAGGATCGTTTGCGAACAAAGTCGTGCGTGTGGAGCGACGGATCGAACACGCCGCTCCACGCATTGCAGTGGTGCATGAAAAGATCGAAAAGCGCGCGAGCTGCGGGTTCGGTGAGGATGTCCTCCGTGATGGGATCGTGAAGCTGCGGCTGCGTAGCCTGTGCGGCTAGCGGATTGCGGTCGTCGGCGAGAACGCCAGGGGTCTCGCAGTCGGGCCGGTCGGACACCTCGAACGGCTTGAGCATGACTCGTAGTGTGAGCGGCTGCTCGGCGACCAGCTCGAAGCTCTCGTTGACTGCGTTGGTGTCAGCAGCGGTGGTCGCGCCAGGAGGCGGAGGTGTTGCACCGACATCGCTGTTGGCATCGTCGTCGTTGCCATTGGCGATCTCGCTGTTGGTCACGAGGGTATAAGGTGCTCCTCGTCTTCTTTCCAATGATCGCATGGCTTGCTGCATGGCCTGGGTCATGCGATTGACGTCGACACCAAACAGATTCTTGGGATCGAGGGCGGAGCGAGTATCTGTCTGCGGAGCGAATGCTGAGAGGGGCTGCTTTCGAGAAAAGAAGGCGGCCGATGGCGAGGCGACGCGACGAGAATCGTCATCGACGTCCATACTGTTGTACGTGTTGCCGAGCTCTTGCTCTCCCGAGTAGGGAGGAGCGGGAAAGGCGCTGTCGGGTGCAGAGCTCCAGCGCACGCCTGGCGAAGCAGCCGAAGACGAAGCAACAGCTCTTGTCGAGTTGGAGGCGGAGACCGACTTGCGTGCGCTAGGACGCTCAGGGACAGGTGATGCGTTGGTTGCATACGCCGCTTCTGCCAACAAGGTGAGATCGCGACCTTGAAGCTTGCTCTTTGGTTTCCTGCCACGCTTGTGCTGGACGAACAAGCATTCGAAGTTGAAGCGCTGGCAGCGCTGACAATCCTCCGAGTCGTCGGATGGCAAACATCGCACCTTGGCAAGCCGGCATTCGAGGCAGGCCTGACCACCCCTCGGCTTCTCGCCAGGCGTACCCCCTTGTTCTTTCTTGACCGTCGGCGTGGATGAGGGGTCCGAGGCATCGTCTGCTCTTGCCGAACCTGGCGCGTCCATCTTTGCTGAAGCACGCTGTTGTGGCGAAGTAATCGAGGCCAGATCACTCTGAAGATCCGACAGGTGCGATGCGTCGAGAGCAGCTAGAGCGCGTGCTGTCTTTGCTGATGATTGAGCGGAGGTGGAAGCAGTCTGAGTGTGATACTGCGTAGGCGATCTCGAACGGTAGTAGTGGGACGCAGATGGGGAAGGTGCGTCGTCATTCCTGGCGGAGGAGGCTGTGTAGGGACGCGACGAGGTGTGTCCTAGACTAGAGTAGGAGTACGATGTTGGTCGAGGAGCTGCAAGCGAGTGAGGCCGCAACGAAGGTGAAGCAATGGGATCTATAGAGGGCGAGCCTCGCAGACCACTGGTAGCATACGGTGATCGTGCTTGTCGTGGAGAGAGAGCAGAGTCGATGTCGTGGTCCCTCCTGTCAGGCGAGGTAGAGCGTCTGCGTTTGGTTACGCGCGAGTCGGTGATGGACGGAGGAGAAGCCATGGCGAAGAAAGTCGAGACGGCTACGTGCCTCGTCGAGTCACTGATTGCTTGAGGATGGTGATGACGACGAGATGCAAAGCTGCGGATGGCATTCTTCCACGCCAAAAAAAACCGCGGCTTTTGGGAGTCACACGGGGCTTTACACGGCAGTCGCTCGGCCTTTTCGCGCCCCTTTTTCCAAGTGCCCTTTTGAAGTCACAAACTTGGCTGAGTCGACTTGGATCTGAGCCTCCAAGACGGAGCGCAGCTGGACCCTGACTGACGCTGACTCTTCTCAGAAGGAAACGGCCCTTTGCAGCTTCTGACCACCTCACAGGGCTCAAAGCATCACTGCCATGGGCCGTCGTTGCCATGGTCACAACACGCAAGCGATCAAAAAGCGGCCAAGCTACCGCTGAGGCGGATCAGCTGCTCAGCGGACCGTCCACGAAGCGCAGGAGCCATCTCACAGCAAAGGGGCATAGCAACGACATCGTCAACCTATGGCAGGAAGGCGTAGCTGTCGCAGACCTCATCGGGGATGTGATCGATTACGAATGCGCGCCGGAATCATCTTTGTCCATCGACGCCCCAGTGAGATGCTACTCGATCGGCTCATCGATGGGCAAGCGTTACTCGACATACCGCTGTCTCATGCAAGAATCGCAGTTCCGCTACAGAAGTTCCTTTGGCGGTCACAAGTCGTGCGTCAATGCCCTTGCCATTTCCAGAGGCCAAGGTCGCTATCTAGCCAGTGGAGGCGACGGAAAGGAGATCCACATCAACGACCTCTTCGTAGACCTGCGAGATGGCGCCCAAAAGGTACCGATCGCGATCCTCAATGGCCATGAGTCCAACATCTTCTCCATCGACTGGTCTGCCGAGAACAGGTATCTGTTCAGTACGGGAAACGATAGTCAAGTCTTAGTATACGACGTAGAGCACTCTCAGATGCCAACACGCGGTGCGGCACCAACAGAGCCTCAAATGCGGTCCCTCTTCGGGTCGATAGGTGGTCATGACGACAGTGTACCTGAGCTCTCGGCCCATCCCACAAACCCATATCTGCTGCTGAGCTGCGACGACAGTGGTACTCTCAAGCTTTTGGACATTCGTTTGCCCCATGATAGCGTTGGCGCGGCTCGTTCCGACATCGCCGCTGGATTCTCTTCCGTAAAATGGAATCCGAGCGCTTCCGACGGCAACACCTTCGCAGCAGCAACCTGTGGCCGTCTCACCGGCAGCACACGGCTGTACGATGTCCGACAGTGCTTCTCGGGCGACACGAATCGACCCCTCACAAGCAAGGATGCGGTGCTCAACTTTCACACGAATCTGCTGCAGAACTCCTCGACAAGGGGATTGGTTGGTGCTGCTGCGGAGACCAACAGTCTCTGCTTCGACCCGCAAGGCCGATTCCTGGCCTCGAGCATTTCGCGGTACCATCCGACGATCTACGCGGTCAATGATCCGGACCCTCTGGCGACGCTCCAAAGCACTGTTGTTGAGGAGAGGATCGACGATGGCTATTGCCAATGGCTGGGTTTACCAGCTGGATCTCCCGCTGCTCCCAAGAAGCTCTCCTCGTGCTGTACCATCAAGCACGGCTCCTTTGGCTTGGAATCGCACACAGGCAGGCTGCACTATGCGATTGGAAGCGACGATTTCCGCGCGTACATCTTCGAGATTCCAGATAGAGCTGTGCTCGAGCGTCAACGCGAGTTCATCACCCGCGAGGCTTGGTTGCACTCGACCTCTCAGCTGCATCGGGAAGCAGCACCGAGATCTCAGCGACAAGCTTCGCAGCCAAAAGAAGCGAGCGACGATATGGACAGCGACACGGACAGCATCACCGAAGACCAGATTGATCGTGAATCGGAAGTAGCGTATTGCGCGGGCAGCCTTCAACGAGGCAATAGCATCGTTCGTCCCGCTAGAATCCAGCAACAGGCCTACGTACTCTGCGGTGGACGCAGCATCCTCAACACGGCACTGATCCATCCCACCATGCCGTTGGTTTTTACGAGTGGCATCACCTCGGACATCGGGATCCATTCGGCTGCGCCTCTGCATGCGAAAGATCTGTACACGGAGCACACCTTTGACTCGGATGGCGACGTCAGAGTTGGCGGAACTCGACCGCGTATGCTGCTCCAACCCAAGCTCAAGTTCTACAGGAACTCGGACTCGGAACTCTCCTCGAACGAGAGCGGCGACGAAGACGAGGACGAGGACGATGAAGAGGAAGGATCGGGATCTTCTCTGGCCGAAAACGAGGAACCGATAGGGCATGAAGATAGCAGCGATGACCCTCAGCACAGCCTGCGAGATGACCTTCGAGAAGCAGAGCGCGATGCAAGCGACTCAGGTCAAGCAACGAGAGCTGCCGAACAGAGCAACCGCGAGGAGCAGCCTTCGGGCACAGTCGAAGACTTCCTTGCCAACATGCGTACGGATCCTCTCTTCAGCACCGCCAGCACGCTCGACTACCAATACGACCGGCACATCGGGACCTACTCGCTTTCTCACTTGTCCCCTGGCGTTGTGTCGGCCGACTCTTCGTCACCGCCTTCCTCGGCGCCGACCGTTGCTTCCGTCTCCGACGCTGGCGAAGGTGCCAACACGGACGTCACCTCTGAAGGCTCCCATAGCACGGACGACAACGAGAATCTGGATGACGACGACGACGACGACCTTGAAGACGATTCCGACATCGACTGGACGGATTTCCGCTACCAAAACGACGGTTATGGCGACCCGGACCTTCTCGACTACGAATACCAAGAGCGATTGGACGACGATCTTCGCCACGCTTTCCAGCCCGAAGACGAATTTAAAGACTCGCGTCATGGCGAGATGTGGGCGATGGTCAGAGCGATGCGCTACTCGGACCGGGAGCAGAAGCGCATGCGACTGTTTGACGATCTGCTCAATCAGGACGAAAAGACGCACTTGACTGCCGAGTTTCGCAAGATCCCAAAAGTCACAGAAGCGGTCGATGGGCAACCTTGGCGCTGATCAGCAATGAAAAGTCGACTCGAAACACTCTCGAAGCCATTCCTACGTGTTGTTGTGTGCGAGTGTCCCGATGGGATGCGGCAACTCATGAAGGGATGCGGTATACATCTGAAAGCCACCCCCAACCCTAACGTACCCAACACCCAACGTACCACATCCAAAGCAGTTTCTACAGTTCGAACCAACTCCAGGACTTGCTCCTCAAAGATTCGCTCTCTGCCGAAACCAACTCTCAGCCTGTTGCTTGTTAATGTCATGTCTCATCGTGGCACAGTGTCGTGCTCTCCTTCAGCTGGATACTCCACAGAATGCCAAAAGTAAGAACGAATAGGGTCGTACAGTATCATTGCATTGGTGTCATTACATGGTCGTCAAGGCTGAAATCAGTCTCGATAGTACTCGAACTGGAACTGAGATGGTCGTTGGCCTGGTTGCGGTCCTTGAAGGTGCTGCGGCCGTTGCGGGTATTGCTGCTGTGGGTATTGCTGTTGTGGGTATGGTGCAGCTCGCGTGTCGCGTGGGTACTGCGAGTGAGGTGGCTGCGGGTGTGGGTATCCAGATGGCGCCGGTGCAGGGTATCCTCTTGGAGGTGGTTGTGCGTACTGAGGCTGGCTGTGGGCTTGAGCTCGCTGCTGCTCCAACTGTGCGCTGAACTGCGGTGGTGGTGGAGGTCGATATTGCTGCTGCTGCGAACGTCTCCCTTGTGGCGGCACGTCGTACGTCTGACTGCCCCGCTGCGGCATCGGCACGTATCCTTGACTCGGGTGAGGAGGCAGCATCGCAGGTCTTGGCCCGCTCGTCATTGGCGCAAACGAGTGTCTCTGCACAGGTACGCCGCGAACTGATCCAGCACCCATCTGAGGCGGAGGCGGAGCGAACCCGCGGCGGACCGACCCGTAGTAGTCGCTCAACGGCACATTCGCCGGCAACGACGCGCGCACGACAGCCTCGCGAGGCACGATGTTGCCCACCTCGAACGACGTCGACATTGTCGACCGAGTTTGGGTGGTGATCGCGCTTGCTGGTGGGCCGATTACACGACGTCGCTCTGGCATTGGCGGACTGCGTACTGTGGGCTGGTCGACGGTGTGCCGCCCAGCAGCGACGTACGGCCCATCACCAGGCATAGCGACCGAGGCAAGCTTGGAAGGTGCGGGGATGTCCAGCTTTCCTTCTCTCAGGATCGATTTTGGCGCTGGTCCGTCCAATCGCTGCTGCTGCTCGCGCTGCTGCTGTGTGTCATTGCTTCGAGCTTGCGCCTGAGTTTCAGCCTCCGCCTTCTCCTGTGCTGCCTGAGCTGCTTTGGCTTGCACCAGGGACATGCCTCCGACAGTAATAATGTTCTTGCCGCTCGGGACCTTGGCTGTCGTGCTGCCGGAAGAAGCCTCGGCCGGATGCTTGGTGGGCTTGCTCTGGTTGGCCCATCGCAGCGAGCCGTCGCCCGCATCAGCGCTCTGACTGGGCTGACCTCGATGCTGAGGTCGAGCATCGTTCGACGGGGCGCTGTTGCGCGCGTTTGCGGAGTCAACCGACTTGGTAGGAGCCGAGGAAGCGGCCGGAATGGGCTGAGGTACGTCTCCTTCCTTGCCGTAAGGGAAGCGGGCAGGTGACAGTGGTGATGGCAGCACGAGGTTGAACATCTTACCCTTTGGACCGACTGCCGGCGGCAGGACCTTTGCTGGCGCCGCTTCGACTGCGCTGAGGTCGTTCGGCTCGGCCACCGGCTGCGCGACAAGCGCATCTGCAAACACGATCGGATGCTTCGCGGTCGAGGCAATGTTGGACAGAATCTGGGCCGACGATGAAGGCAGCGGAGGCGGCGCTTCTATCGTAACAGGACGACTCGAAGCGGTGTTTCCAGTGCTAGCCCGTCTCGCAGATGCAGCAAGCGACGAGGTGCGTGGTGTGCGTGGCGGTCGAATGGGCGCTTCTACGGAACGTCTTGCCGGATTGCTCCCGGAGACACCTCTGTCCTTTCGCACTGAGAGCGGTGCTGTTCCATCACCCACCGGCTGCGAGCCCTCTCTCCTAGGAACGAGGACCGAAGATGTCGGCAGCGGTTGAGACGTCGACGAAGCGAGCAGCGACTCACGAACCTCGTCGCGGGTGAGCGAGCTGAACGAGTCGCGCGATGTCTGGATGAAGCGTGTCAACGGTGACTTGTCGTGCGGGCTGAACGAGTTGGTGCTGTCGACGCTTCCGCCTCCGCTGTGAGCGATGCGTGGAGCGTCCGTCTGCAGCTTGAGTACCGGGAGCGCTGTTTGCGAGCGAGAGGGGTCGCTAGGAGCTGCGGGCTGCTCACGAGGAGGTGTCTGGGTGCCCCATGATCCCGCCCTGACCTCTCGCATCACAGCAGGAGGCGCTGCGTCGAATGGCTCCTTCTCGTCGTCGTCACCATGACCAAGCGCAGAAGGCTCACGGCTACCGAGATAGGACATGCGGTCCCAGTAGTTGCGCCACCACCCGGTCCCTGCGTCATCGACATCGAGAGAGCGAGGGACAGCATCGGCGCCGTAAGCGTTGCCTGGGCTTAGGTAGTCGCCAGCGCCGATAGTTGATTTGACCGTTGCTGATTGCTGCTGAGGGTGCCCGTCTCCGCTGACGGCATTGCTCCACCCCAGCCAGGACGCGATGCCACCAGCACCGACGCCAGGTACCGTCGTCGATGGCTGTCGTGCATGTGCTACCTCCTCATCCACAGCAACGACGCTGTACTCGTGTTCCCTCTTCGCAATCGTTGGTGTCTCGTGGTCGTACGTGAGGGAGGGCACGTTGGCGAGCTGAATCGTCGCAGTGTGGTATTGGATGCTCTCTGGGTAGTCGTCCTTGGAGGGTGACTCGAGATTCTTGGTGCTTCTGAGGTCCTTGTGCTGGTGCATCAGTCCGGCGCGCTCATACCTGCTGTCGTCGTAGCCATAATCGTGATCCTCAGCGCCAACGATCGACTGGTCGACCACCTGCAGATCAAGCTCTGCAACAAGCCTTTGCAGCTCGGCGGTCCTCTCTGCGTGCGAGTCTCCCGACGCATTCATCTGCAAGTTGCTCACCGATCGAATGTCCGATCTGCCAGATGGACGAGGTAGCGATGTGTACGTGTCGACAGAGTGGGAGAAGGCGAGTTTGCTGCTTCCCAGCGCTGAGTCGGTGTTGGTGCGCGACTGACCTCCTCCCCGAGCATGATCCTTGTTCTTCCAAAACGTCGGCAAGGCGGCTTTCTCCATGTCGATCTCGGTTTCGAGGTTGGCGGTCCGCTCCTTGCCGAGGGCCTTGAGCAGATGCTGATGTCGCTTGGCGCGCAGGCCCTCTGCGAGCGTGTACTCTCTGCCCTTGGAGCGGGCAGCCATGTACCGAGAGCTCTCCTTCATCTCAAAGAACCAGTCGCGGTAATCGAGCGAATCGAGCAGTGCCCGCCCGCGCCTCGTCGTACGCGAAGGATCCTCGGGTTGATAGGGCAGATAGCTGAACGCCTTGATGTGAACAAAGCCGATGATAAGCATCTCGAAGCAGCTGAGCAGGGCATTGATGCCGGCCTGGATCTGCTCAGCCGTGAAATACTCGGTCTCCTTGATGACGTTGAAGCTCACGAGGAAGGAGAGCATCGTGTCCTGCCAAAAGGTAAGAAAAACGATGGTTTTGACGGCGAGGAACTTGAGGATGGGCTTGTACGGATCGACGAGCTTGCGGATGGGCATGTAGAGCTGGATGAGGCAGTACATGGCGACGGTGACCGAGACACTGATGAAGAAAGCACACCAGACGTGCGTAAACCAGGGCATCCAGCTGTGGAGACAGTAGTAGCCAAAGTACTCGGTGCCAACGGCGATAAAGGTGCAGAGGGGTCGGATGATGGCGTACTGCAAGACGCAGATCTTCATGAGCCAAAGGAAATGGAGACCTTCGGGCTTGTACTTCCACGAGCCCAGCGGCCAGACCCAAAATCGGTCCTCGAGCTCGATGTTGCGGAACACGGCGTGCTGCTCTGCGCGAGTGTCGCCAGTGTAGGCGAGGATGAGATAGAAGAAGGAGGTGACGAGGACAGCTTCGTAGCAGTCGCGAATGGTCTGGTAGTAGAGGGCTTCTTTGTAGAAGAGGTAGGAGAGGAACGAGACGATGGAGTAGACGGGCACCATGACGAGAAGACGGACGATGTGCCGTTGTTGTTGAGGGCATGTGTAGTAGGTGAGATGCTTCCATATGAGCCAGATCGACGAGATGGTGGCGACGAGGGTCATGAAGCCGCAAACGATCCAGCCAACATCGTGCGCCTTGAAGTCGATCTCGCCGTTCTGAAAGAAGGATTTGGGGTCGGTGGGCTTGTCCGGGATGGTGGGACAGGTCATGTTGACCATGGTGGGCGAGCTGAGAAGGCTACAGCTTGCAGCTCAGGCGAGCCGCTGCTGTAGCAAAAGATGAGGAGGGGAAAAGGGTGGGTGTTGGTTTCGGTAGACGACGAAAGGCCGGCTGTCCGAGCTGATGAGCACGTTCCGGTGGCCGGAGATGTCGTCCGATGATGATTCACGAGCAGTCCAGGTATATGTGCTCAGACATGATGGCGGGATGATGAGGGCAGGAAGAAAGCCGTCCGAGTCGATCGCAGACAATCGTGGGGCGAGCGAAGTTGGGTGCGAAATCGTGATGAGGTAGGGTGTGACTGGCGCCGAAGGTGAAATTCTGGTGATCGTGACAGCGCGGGCGTGAGATCGTGCGAGCGTGACTGTGGTCGTGTTTGTGATTGTGACTGTGATCTCGGGAGAGTCAAGGACGATGGGTCGTCAGAGTAGCTAGGTATAGAAATCAGGAATGGTGCTATCAATCTGGAACCCAGAGCAAGCGTCAATGCCAAGAGGACCGGAAGGAGAGTGCGAGGTGATGAAGAAAGGTGAAAGATTTAGGCGGCTGGCACCGCAGGCGGGTTCGTTGCGGACAGTCTGCTGCAGCTTGCGTGGGGCAGCAATGCGCCTCAAGTGTGTTCTAGAGTAACATACGTCGACTCCTAAACCCTCATGATGCATCATTGAACAATGGCGTACGACCCTCGGACCCTTCTGTTGATCTTGCAGGTGCATCCACCCACCTCCTATCGAATCGCAGTTGATCCGGCGATCACCTCTTCTCACCTATCCTCACCATGACAGCCATGCTGCTGTCACTGCTTCTCTAGATGAAGCTCACGATAGCAGGCAGAGCCCAATGCTGAACAATGAATAGCGTCGCTTCGATAGCGGAGAGTGAAAGGGCTCGCTTGATCAAAGTGGATTCTACATCTGCAGGAGTCAGGGTCCAACCAACACTTTTTCTATTGTGCCCCTGGTGGTGAACGCGAGCCAAATTCAAAGCTTCAAGCTCTTGACAGCTGTCGAGGAATAGAGTTGGAAATACAAATTCGGACAGGGGCTCCAGTCGGTGTGAAAATTGAGGAAAAATGGACAAGTCGTGCGATGTAACAGAAGAACCATTTTCTCGCGATGTAACAAACATAGAAAATTTAAGGCTCATCGGGATCATCACATCGATTGCCTCGACGGCCTTGTCGGTGTTCCGACTTCGTTGGATTCAACGTTCACCATCCTCTTCCGCATCAAGCAAGCATGGTGACGATCGAGCGATACAAACGAATTTTCGGGGCGCGATCAGCGACGCATCGAAGCCATGGGAAGCGGAGGCAACGTACGCCCAACACAACTTCTACTGAGCGCCATCTGGGTCCCGAATGGCGGCAATAGAAGCATTCCGTTTCCTTCCTTTGAGCCACGAATACGCCCCGACCGCCTCGGCGAACATGTGTACCACCAACGCGCCTGGACGACAACGCCTTGGGCGTCCCTTGGTGGAGCCAACAATGACTCTCCCTTTGATGGAACAAAGCGACCGTCCTTTACGCCGCATTTGCCTCACTCGGTGCTGCTGGTCCCGACGGAATTCTGAGCTGGATGACTGTCCCGTGATCGACGATCTTGCGTGCTGATGGGCACGCAAACTCCGCAAGGCCATTGCCCATGCAGAGTCTGCCATGCCATGACTTTTCAGGTACCGCCCATGAACGTGCGGGTCCTTCAGACGGCGCTTGGGAGCCGAGCCGAGCCGTCAAAAAAGCGGAGACTCAAAATGAAAGCGCAAAAGACCATCGAAAGGTGCTTTGGCGAGTGGAACGGGATGCAGCTTGCTTGCCTCTACACTGAGCTGCAGCGAATTGCTCTTCTGAACAAGTCGTTGGAGGCTAGTTCACTTTGTAGTGTCAGCTTCCCCATGTGCGTGCCAGCCGCATGTTTCACCGCCTGACAAGTCGTCCGAGTCTGGAGAGGATAAAGTTTGAATTGGGTATATGTTTCGCGCTTGCATGCAACGCGACGGTGATTCTCACGCTCTGACTTGGTATATGCGCGACGCCGGCGACTGCATGGACGGATCCTGTTCAATGGCAGAGCGCCTCTGCTACGCCATCTACGCTCAGAGATGGCAGCTGCAGCCCGTTGACCCCGATGGACCTGACACGCCACCGATTCATTTGTGCAGAGGTAAAGCGGCACGCCACCTTTTTTGGTTGTCATCCGTTGTTGGCGTTGCTGGACGTCAACGCCTGATGGGCAAAGAAGGCAGCCGCGGGGACGTTCATGGCGGAGATGGCAAAGCTGCTGCCCGACTGGCCTGTGTAACGCGAGCCACCCTGGAAATCATCTCGACGCGTACGCCTTTGATGCTTGCCTCTAAGCGAAACCTAAAAGTGGCAGGCACCAGGGCAGTGGCTGTTGGTCTCGTCCAAACCTTTTTCTTCTCAAGGATTTTCCCAGCTCGGAGCTGCAAAAGATGCGCGTCAAAAGAGACACAATCGAGCCCCTCTTCCCCCCGTCTCCGTCGAAATGAACTGTCATGCAGGAGGAGCAAAGCGTCGCATCAAGGTCTCGCTTGCGCTTGCCACTCGCGAGCAAACAGACCAATCGCCAAGCGAGTCCAAGTGTTGTTCTGTCCCGCTCAACAGTCGGCTGCCCAGCTTGAGTGACGTCTCGATAGGGCCCCTTTCGAGGTCTCGAGGCCCACTCTGACCGGGGGAAACTCATCAAGCTGTGACCGCGACGAGGAGTCGAGTCGTCGGCCTGGTTCATACGACGGCGCGGGAAACGGACGAGTTCCGAAGGCTCACAAAGAGGCTTGCGGAACAGGGTTCAGACCGCGGCGAAGACAGGGTCGAGGTTTCGGCGAATGTCTCAGGTGTGGGTTTGGGCAGTTCACCGCCAAGGTGCGCGCCTTGTACCTACTCTGTACCTCTGCAGCCTACTGTATCCCTTCCCGCGACGCGAGATGGATCGCTGATGCCTCTTCGCTTGAGGTCGTGCCTGCGTATTTGTCTGCGGGTGTCGGCTCACGTCGGCCATCAGGGCTCGTTGACCGCTCTGATACTCACACATGGGCAGTCAAAATCAACGTCGACTGTTCTGAGGTTCGACTTGCATTGCGCTCAAGTCAGCTCTCTTGTCATGTTGGATCTTCGCGCGTCGCTCCACTGGACGGCAAAGTGGCTCTGCATGGCGCTCTGACGACGTTCCAACGCTATCGAACGGTGCAAGGGCATCTTGGCACGGACCTAGGCTTTGTACGAGGCTCGCACATGATTGGCAGCTCTTCACAGGCGAGAGACAGAAAAGAAATGAGTTTCAATCCTTTCTCCCACGTTGCTCGACCCCCAAATTGAATTTTTATTGGGCTTGACAAGCGGTTGACAG